TGCATCAAATTATACTGCAAACATTAAAAAAATTATCGATGAGTCTGAGTGTCAGCCTTCTCATTGAACGTGCTTTTTTATTTTTCAATGTTTATGTTCATGATAGTGCGTTACTTTTTTGTTGTTATTATTAACTATTTTTAAATCATACGTGACATGCCGTTGTGGCTGGATAAAAGTTTGTGTTTATTTTTCAAAGACGTTCATTTGATAGGTAGGAATGTAGCTATGAACAAGTACGTACTAATAGTAATATTAGTTATTTTGTTATTAGTTTATTATTAGTATTTATGTATTATGTATTACCAGTTAAATAGTAAAATAAATAAATATAATGATAAATTAACTGTGGATTATTTCATTTACGTTGCGTTACGTGGCTTCCGTGTGGGTAGCTCGCTGTTTATTCCAAAATTAACAAAGTAGCTCAACACATTGAAGAGGTTGACCACCACTCATCTAACGCTATTAGAAATTCCACAAAAGATTCATTGCTATTGAATACTTCTATGTAAAATTGTAATAACATTTCAAAAATAATTAGTGTCGACTAATGTTCGTTAGTCGTTGTTTTCTGTTAGATTATCTTCTATCTATAAATTTCTGTCACTTTGGAACTATTCGAAACAAGAAAACGACTTTTCGGTCTTAAATGTGAAACTCAAAATACTGTTATAAACAATAGTTGTTCTTCGAGTTTATTAATTCATTTCAAATATTTCAGAAACAATTTTTAATCAGATCACTAGCCTCAACAGAAATTCAGTCAGATAACCAGACATAATAAGTATTTTAGCATGCCATTCGGACTCGGTAATTCTCCAGATACTTTTCAAAGATTCTACAAGGCTAGATCCCAACTCAATTGTATGTTTTTTGTTGACAACTGAATATATCAATATGAGGTTTCAAAACTTACTTCGCAAATCGTTCCATGGCTTCAATTAAATGATTAATAAGTCTATATAATGAAGTCCATATCAAACCATCAAAATTTGAATGCATATTCAGTATTGATCAGTCACGGATTCACAAAATCATACGCATCACTGAATTCAAAAGTGATTATTGGTCTTCGATACTTCTTAATTATACAATATTTTTACATGTGGAGAAAACTCATGTAATTTCCCACTTATAATCTGAAATTTTTACGGTAACGCAAAGGATGCATTTCCTTCAAAAAAATGTTTTTTGCTTTATTCGAAATTAGTTTCACACCCAACCAAAATGTTAAAATGAAATTAAAAAACTTTCAGTCCATCACACCAATGCGATATCGAAAGTAATGAACGGACTGTTAACAAGCCATTATTGATTACCAACCTGATATTGCCAACAATATTTTTCTGCGAGCGCCAAACGCGTTTATTCCAATTTCGATTAGATCCTTGTCAGTTAAAGTCGGAAATGTAGTCAAATCAATTTCGTGCCTGGTAAACAAGCCGATGTATCTCTCAAGTCCTAGCGAAGTTAGCATTGTCGGTAAATCGGTCCATTCCGAGGACATCAAACAGTTCAATATGTGACTGGGAGTGTGATCCAAGAAGTTGCTCGTATTAAGAGAAACCGAATTCGAGAAAGAGTTGCAGACGTCGCTTCGTTTTGTCGATGGAGTATTCCATACATCTTCCTCCTGGAAAATTTTGAAACAATTAAAAAAAATAACCACCTAGGATTCACATGAAACTCAGCACAGATGTTCATTTTATTTTGAACGAAAGGCGGATTTCCACCAAACGGACTCGTTTGCGATTCCAAACACAGAAACACAAAACTTGTTTCAGTTTCGAAAACAAACTTGAAACTCGAATTTCCCCAAACACACAAAAACTAGTCTGAGTCGCGTGTTTTTTGTTGTGAAATGTTTACATCGCTTATACTGCATCAATAGTTTTCATCATGCCTTCTCTAGACTATGTTTTTGTAATGTGCTGCGATTCATTTATGATAGCGAAACCATGATACTAGATGAGATAATTGTTGAAAAGACGAATAGATTATGAAACGGATAGCATTTTGGCAGACTCGATAAATGATGACATAGGAATGAATGATACTGATATCATAGTATCGTAATTTTTAAAGAATGTCCAATAACGAATTTGAGAACTTTTCAAATGTACCGGTACCAAAAATTTTCAAACAGGATACACATTGCATATGCGTTATATCTGAATAGTTGCTTGTTGTTGTCGCCGACACCTTTTGATATTTCCGACTGCCGACGGGACATTTTGTTCTTGACAAAAACAGTTGGCCGTGACATAAAGTCTCGAAAATGTTTCTTATTTTGACAACTCAGTTGTTGTTTAGTTGTCGTTTTGTACGTTTGGTGGAAATCTGCCTTAAGAAATGTGTAGAGTTTTAAGTTTTAATGAGCCTGTTTATTAGTATGCGCTATGTTCTGTTTCAGGTAGTATAGCATGTGGGTTTGCTGGCCAAACTTCGAAGCTATGGCTTCGGATCATTCCTAAAAGTGGCTGTCGACGGATACCTCTCGAATACTCTTACCATCCACGATGGTGTACCCCAGGGATCTATACTGTCTCCAACCGTCTTTCTATTGTATATCAACGACTTATTGAAAAAACCAAGAATCCAATATATTGCTTTGCTGACGACAGCACACTTGTTTCGTCATTCCATTTGGATTCCAGGACATCGCAGCGACGGATACACATTTTCATCGGCAGCAGAAGGTTGCATATCCTAATGAGGATCTAGAATTAATTTCGAATTAGGGTGAAAGTAACCAGTTTCATAAACCCAGGCATCGGTTTTCTACAAAAAGATGAATGTCTCCGAACAGGATATAATAATGTCAGGTCAGTCAATTTCACTTTCTGCTTCGCTAAGTTTGTTGAGGGTTAAAATGGACACCAATATGTCTTGGCACAATCATGTCGCAGAAATTGCATCACTTGGAACCTTGATAGTCTGAAACATCGAAGAAAGGTTGAAGATTTGTCTCTCTTCTATAGATACTTCCATGGGAAGTGTTCAAGTGACTTGACACATTTGATTCCACCAAGAGCGGTACATATCAGAAATACCCGACGGACTGTGGCTGCTCTTCATTTTGGGGTTCAACTCAGTACACCTTGAACTTCACTGTTCAAGAACTCTTCCATCCGGAGAACTGCGTTTATGTGGAATAAACTTCCTGAGAACGTTTTACCAAATGAATGTAATCTCCAGCGATTCCAATCCAACGTGAATCACTACTTTCGCTCAGGCACCGCTCTTAGAGCGTCTTTAGGATTTTTCTGTAGTGCTTGTGTTTTGCCTTAAAAAATTAGTTTGTTTATATATTTTCATAATTTTAATAGGTTGTATTTATGGAATAGAGGTATGAAAATGAAAAGGCTCGAATATTCTACTACGCGTTTGGCTGACAAAATTATAATCAGCAGGAGATGAGTAGGTATGACTTAGTCATATCCTGTATTCCAGAGATCTCAAATATTTTACTTGTTTACTGGAGTAAATTTCTTGTTTTCATCTTTCTTTTTCAAGATTTGAATAGCTGAGTTTATAAATTTCTACTATTACTACTTTTCCCCGATGTTTCCAGGTTTATTAACCTGCATGTTTGTTAGTTTTCATGTTTTTATACTGATGTTTCCTCTGCTATTGCGGCAGACATTATCGAAGGCAATGCGGCAACGGTGGAACGGACCGTTGCTGCAACGCCTTTGATCTGCCGCAGTAGCAGACGAAACGTAAGGTATAAAAACCTGCAGGCCACGGCTAATGAACCCTGAAACTTCGGTCAATTCGTGAAAGCCTACCCATTATACTACTACTTTTGTTTTTAATTTAATTTTAATGGAAACAATGCCTTACCTTCTTGCTTTTCAATTTATCCGCCAGACCAGCTGGGCTAGTGTGGCTGATGAAGTATCCAGACCAAGAGTTATTGGGAACTCTGTAGGAACCTGGCTGTGGTCTACTTTGCATCGCTCTGATACCCGCTAGTTTCTTGTTTTCCACCTCTGAGGCACAAATTGTGTTATCTTGTCGTTTATCCACCGATGGTCCATGATAGCCGGGAGAAAAATTCATATCTGACAATACTAAAGATATGTCTAAAGAATATATACTAATAAATGTGAAAGTTAGTGAGGATGGATGTATGTCTGTATGTTTGTGGCTCTTTCACGCCTAAGCGACTGAACGGATTTAGATGGAACTTTACATAAATACAGTTCATACATCAGAATTACATATAGGCTACAATTTACAAAGGTTTTGTGTAACTTTGGTCATAATATTATAACGATAAGTATAATGTAAGTCGGAAAAATTCATGATACCGTTGGAGTTACATGCAGACAATGTACCGTAAGATTGTTTACGTTAAATAATTCTAAATTAAAGTCCGCGAATGCATATATCTACCTCTTATGTGGTAGCCACTACATGCAAAATACTGAGCCATAAATATAATTAAACTGGATAGATTTTTTACAATGCAAATTTCAATATATCTGTCAAATTCAGTAAGTCATTATGCGTCACGTCTACTGTAAGACGAGGAGGGACAATGCACGGGACGGTCTGAGCAATCTCCGAGAACGCGGGCAGACGCGTGAGGGCATACGTCGTTGACGGTTGTGCTAGTTTTGCAAATTTGTTTATAGGTAACATAATTCTATTCTCGAAGCTATTCATCACTTGGTGCAGTTGGCATATTTTTCATTTACTGTATTTTTAAAGTAAAAATATATATTACTAGCTATTATCCGCTCTTATATTAACGTACAACCGAGGCTACTGAACCTTGAATCTAGAATGCAGGTAGGTTTTTTGTATAGCGTAGATAAGCATCAAGAAAGAGAATCAGGAATTTCCATCCCCAAGGGTGGAAATGGGGGTTCAAAGATCATATTGAATTTCCTCAGTTTTGAAAATGGAAATTGGGTCCATGAAAAATATTGTACTTGTATAAAATGGCCTGTCACGAAACTTAATGAGACAAACCAAACTCTACGCGCGGGCAACAAGTAGTAGAATATAAACTCCAGGTATGAGTTCAGAAAGTAAACGAATTTGTAGTTGAAGTGATTAAAGTTTCACATTACAAAAATGAATGAAAGTTGAAATTTATTGGGCACTTTTTGAGAGTTCGAATAAGCTGAGTGAAAATTATGATTTTTTTCAGTTCATTGCAACGTATTATATTCTTCACCCTCACAAGTGTTTCTATTTATGATTTACATAACTGAATTTTCTCAAACAAAAATGTTATATAGGGTCTTCCAACAGGGACTTTCTAACAATGGATAACGGCCATTTTGTTGAAGCTACATCTGTCAAATTAGTTGTCATTTATTCAGTCTGTGTTGCCAAATCACCATGGACGGATATAGCAATCAACAACACGTGCAAATACTGAAACTGTTTTATCAAAATGGGTGTTCTGTTCGGGTCACGTACTGCGCGCTTCATCCATTTTTCGGGTTTCATAATAGTTCTATCTGGAAGACTATTCAGTGTGGTGAATGGATTTGTGTTCACCCGGTCAATAAACGATCGATCAACACACGTACGTCGACGAAATGCAAGATATGTCGAAAACATTGCCGCTGTCTGTGAAAGTGTGCAGGAGAATCCGAGACAGTCGATTTCACGTCGCTCACAAGAACTCGGCCTCTTGCAGACCACAACATGCGAATTTTGCATCGTGACTTGGGCCTGCACCCGTACAAAATTCAACTGACCCAGGACCTGAAGGTAAACAAACATAGATAATGACGGGTGTTCGCTGAATGGGCGGCTCTGGAGCCGTTGGCAACTGACCCTAATTTTCAACGAAAAATTATCTTCACCGATGAGGCCCATTTCTGTATGAATTGGTATGTGAACATACAAAATTGTCGAATTTTGGACGATACCAATCCACATGAGATCCAAAAGCGTCATCACTGTCAATATCGAGCACTATAGGTTGATGATTATCAACTTCTTTTGGCCTGAATTGGAAGATCTAGATACCAACGACATGTAGTTTCAACAGGACAACGCTACGTGTCACACAGCTCATGGTACATTGGATATTCTGCACGAGCGATTTGACGGTATAGTCATCTCATGTGGAGGTGATGTGAAATGGCCCCGTTAAATCACAAACCACAGTGGTCCTTAAAGCCAACATAACCTATACCATGGGTCGAATTCACCCTGATTTATGCGCCGGAGTCAGAACAAATTGGACGTTTCGGATACGCTTCACCCAGAGAAGCCGTGGCGATGTTGAATTCCACACATAATGGCGCATTTCAAACGAATAAATAATTTCATAGTATCTCACACACCCACTTTCTTTTATTTGAATTCAAAGATAGGATGCGCTTAAAGAAATACCCTATCTGAAATCCAAATAATAATTTATCAAAATATATAATATTTCATTTTTTTTTTTTATTTCATATTATTATGTAATGACACGAAATTAAAAAGTATGAAGTGGAACGTGAACAACTTAACTTACCCAACTGTTGAGATTGAGTTTCCGGAAACTGTCTGAAATTGGAGTTTCTCGGACTCGATATGTTACTGGACAGTGAGCTGTTGTTACTAGAAATTGCTGAAAATTTACCGGTTTCAACGTTGCCTTCAATTCCTGTGGAAGTTGTAGTAATCTGATTCTGGGTCAGCGATTGATATCTGAAAAAATAATATCCTGCGTTAGGTAACATTTTTCAGATTTTTAGCCCTTCAATTTTTGTTAAGATTCTGAACTTTCTGTAGCAATGCGGTTATTTGCTATTCCGTTTTATCACGGCGACATGCTTTGTGTAGTTGTAACGATGGATACTTTATGTGTATTACGAAACCGTAGCTTCAAAAACCTCTAAATTTCTGTGTTTGATTATAATGACTCAGCAAATAACCTACTTTCATTGGGATGCAAATAGTATATTTCTTAAATAAGCAAAAAAATATGTCCGTCATTATAACAATATATGTGTCCCATAATTATCAATTATTCTTCAGCAATGTTCTAGTGGAGAACTTAGAAACATCGGCTACACTATTTAAGGATTATCGCATCCACCAGAAATCAAAATTGATGCGAATTTTGACGGAAAAATGCCCAACTATTATGAGAGTGAATTAAAATTGGTTCTGTGGATCAAACCATTGTGGCAACATTGTTTGACTAATAAAGAGGACATTCAGAGTATGGAAGTATAGCTGATTGGTTGTAAATATCAGTAATTTATGAATAGTATTGATGTTTTGGTAAGTTCTGTGAAAAACTAAACATTTAAATTTCAAGGAAATGAATATTTCGAAATGAAATCCCGAAACTACTTACACATTAGGTTCTGGTAAATGCCTGCCGGAAAACAACTACTTCCCCGGGTAATACCACGCTGGATATTGAATTATATCCGAGAGAAATTCATGAAATATACCACACAGAGGTTAGTCTCGCAGATGTTTCTCGTTCATCCAGCAGCAGGACTTCGCTGAAATTATTCGACTAGATCACCTACAGACCGGTTTCGAAGTATTTACTCTCATCAGTGCAAGACAAATTCGACCCAAACATCAGTGTGCTTCGGACTCGATTGATTTCAACGCGGCTCGACATGCATCTTTCCTCATAACATAGTCCTTGTTAATAATTCCAACAAAACAAAAATTACTACTGGAACCTGTCAACGTGAACTAGAATCGTGATAAAACAAACGAATACTCCTGAATAACAACAGCAATGATGCCTAAATTCGATGCAATGAGTAAATATTATCGCCATACGTCTATGCTGCCGTCTATGTCACGCACACTATTTCTATGTTTAACCATAGTCAGAGATCCTCTTTCACCCAACACAAGATTCATCACCTAATTAGGATGAGCGTTGGACTCTGGAGCGTTCTAGATTAGTGTATAATTTTATTTCTGTGACTCCTGTCACTAATTTCATAGATTCACAAGACACTAAATTATTATGATGTTCCATGACTTTACGCAGTGCAGTACAACAATATCAAAGTCAGGGTTAGCACAATTTTTCATTCCTGAATAACATCAGTGCCAGGGTGACCACATGCGGTAGATTTCTACTTTTTTGGTAGATTTTCAACACATATTGAAAAATTGCAGTAGATGAATTTTCGCCGGTAGATTTCAGTAGATTTGGATAAGATGCCTTGGCGATAGAATTTTCATTTCAACGTGAGTGGCGACATCTACAGCAAATGATATGAATTAATTGTTTCTAGGTTCTGCCCGCTTTGATATACAGAACACAAAATGGATACAAATCATAAAACATCCATTTTCCGATAGCTTATTACTGTTTTCTGAATATCTGCGACCAGCGACCTCGGAATAAAGGAAGAAGAAGATAATAACACATAACTTCATTTCATTTTTCGTTTTCAGACTTGCAAAGAATTGAAAATTTCATTTCAAATATGGAAACATTTCTGTTTTTGAATCTTGAAATCGAATACTTGTGTTCAAAATAACTAACAACAAAAAACCAACTAGTATTAGACCACGCACATTGGCCATACCCGTAAGAAGGCCAAGGCCTTCGAGATTCAGTGATGTTATTCAACTGATTTTACAAGCACCACCTTGTGGTCTAAAACTCAAATTTTCACTATGTTGGTGATCTTCAAACTTCAAATCAAAGAGTACACCACTTCAAATACATTGCAGTAGATTTCAGTATATTTTCGATGACAACATAGGTAAATTTCTCAAATAAAATGTTATCACGCTAATCAGTGCTTCTGTGCCAGTACTCACCCGCTAGTTGCCGATTGTTGCATGACGTTGTACAGAAACTGCGGCTGCTTCGTGATACCCACGAAAGGGGGGCCCGTGGGAATCGCAGGATACTTCCACGTGGGCGAAACTAGAGGGCTGACCAGCGGCGACATAGGGTGGACGTTGTTGTTGGTGGCTGCTGCAGAGGCGTATTGGGTGGGAATCACCGAAGTTAGATGATATGAAGGAGGAATGTCCGCGCAGGTGGGTGAATCGTCGAATCCGAGAATCATATTGCGAGCCTTGTAAATGTTACCTGTGAACAGAGTGTTGGAGTGAATGTATGGAATAGATAAAATATTGTATTGGGTGTCCCAACACTACGTATTTGCTCAATATATCGGTAATACTCAGATATCTGCTTTTCTAGTGTAGTGTCTCAAATAATGTTGTGGAAAATATTGGAAGCTAAGTTTTTAAAACAATCATCAATGTATAGGGTCTTCAATGAATTTGTCATTCAGTACAGATGTGGTTTTTCAATTCAACAAAATGTCAAGTTCGGACAAAAATCATGTATCAAACTTCATTTTCATCAACTTTCGTTGAAGAAGACTATGATGAGCTGAGAGGGTGATACATTTTTTTTTTCAAATGAGAAGATATGGATCTCATGATACATCATTTGACATGTTTTTCAACTCTTTATTCAACATTCTTTCATTCTTGGATAACGGATTAGTGGTTTCTTGGTAATTATCAGTTTTAAATTCGTTTTAAAAACATGTAAAAACGATAAATTTCATAATTTGGAATCATAATTCCTATTTGTTCCAATAAATATTTGGAATATTCACCGTTCACTTTCTAAAAATAGTGGAGTTTGCTTGAAAAATTAATTTCTTACATAATGATATGTTTCTGGGTAGATTTGTTTAAAAAAATGTTATTGTATCCTTTAGCTTGGGAAAAGACTGGGCTGTATACTTTATACCTTAGATACTGTATACTTTAGATTTCAGGCATGCATACAAAAAATATAAGCGTGATCTAGAGGAGCCATTCTTACCTGTCGTAATGAAGAGGTTCTTCATTTGCTGAAAAGTATCATTAGTTGAAAACTGATTTGGGTTTGTCAGTTATGCAAACGACGCCTAACATGACGCCTCTAGATATTATGTGAATCAGTGAAGTGTGGCAATTCATTTTTCATGAAGGTTTCTGGTATCTGTTCACTATATTGGTGAGTTTTATTTGAGTGACTGTTGACTCTGTGGAGTTAAGGTATTGCCACTGTAAAGACAGATTTCCACCAAACGGACAAAATCACAACAAAGCAGTAACTGTGTAGATTTCGTAAAAAAAACCTGAATTGCCAAAATAAGAAACATTTTGAAAACTCTGTGTCGCGGGCGACTGTTTTTGTCAACAACGAAATGTCCCGTCGGCAGGCGAAAAGATCAAAAGGTTTCAGCGTTTTGTCTGTGGACACGGTCAGCAACAACAACAAGCAACTATTCAGTTCACTATTTTGTTTCGGTGTGTGACTTCATGTGACGTTATTACTTTATTCAAAGTGTTAATTCGTGGTGGGTAAACTTTTTGATAATCTCAGTTCTCCATCCATCCATATGCCATGATTTATCAAATCTGCCGTAATTGTATCCGTTTAATGATCTATTCGTCTTCTCAACAATGCTCTTATATAGTCTCTTTGTTTTTTGCTTCCGCTTCAAATTTTCTATTATAAAAAACCACAAGCCATTATAAAAGCATCGCCTAAAGAAGGCGGAAAACTATCCGTGTAGTGGAAACGACAGAAACTCAGACTAGTTTTTGTCTCTTTGGTGGAATTCGAGTTTGTTATCGAAACTGAAACAAGTTTTTTTGTTTCTGTTTTTGAAAACAAAACTAGTCACAATCCATTTCAATAATAATTATAATATCAAACTGAACCTGCAAATACCAGTAGACTTCGAGAGTCACGTATGATTCAAGAATAACGACACCTAGATGCTAATTTCATGACTAACAGTTCTATCGCTGTTGGGTAAAAGCGTTTTATTGCTGTAAAACTCTGTTTTGGTGGCCCTGCCTCCAATTTTTTCATTATTTCATCGGTTTGAAAAAATACTCATTATTAATCCTTACCAGCATTCTTCTCCACGCCCTTGACAACACAAGCTTTGGTGTTCTGCTTCGCTTTCTGCCTGATATTGATCACCACATCGCAACTAGTCTGAATTTCCGAGATCTGATCCGGCCTGGTCCTGGCGATCGTTGACTCTTCCGGCAGGTCGAAGATTATAATTAACGGAAGGCTACCCAGGAGCAACTGTCTCGCCCTGTATACGTCGTGGATATTGCCGGAGATGTTGACGTTGCTCTTCTTCAAGCTCGGAATGTTCGGGTCTTGGGCGTCCGGAAACATTATCTGGCAGCTGGTATACTGGATGATGAGTTTGAGATTGGCGTGGTTTTTCCCAAGCACGATCTGGTGGTGGTGGGGAGAGATCTCCATTGACATCTGGACTGGGATTTGGTTCTGAAAACGAAGGCAATAATGGAGACTGCATTTTTGTATAATCAAATAATTGAGGAAGCAAAATGATTTCTTGATTGTTTGAAAGTGGTTCAAATAATTTCGAGCCTAAATACACAACTTCAAAAGTAAAGTAAACTTCTCTGAAGAGGTGGAATATCTTGGTACTACCCTCGACAGGAAGCTAAAATGGAACTCTCACCTACAGAGTAGAGCAAAAAGAGCATATGTGGCTTATGAGCAATGTCGGAGGACAATGGGACGCACATGGGGGTCTTTCATTTCGTGTGATCACCTATATCTACACTGCAAAAATAAAACCTATGTTAACGTACAGGGCCATTGCATGGGGACCAAAAGTTCTACGGCCATCTAAAAATTATATCAAAGAGAGCGATTGGCTTGTTTAAACATCACAAGAGCCATGAGAACAACACCAACCACGGCAGTGGAATTAATTACTGGTCTGACCCCTCTGGACCTGTACGTTGAGGAGGTTACGTTAATAGCCATGTTACAATTGCGCACGGCTGGTGTAAACCTCGAAGAAGGAATGGGTCAATTGAGACAGAACCTATGGCGAGAAGCCTTACTGCGCAACCTCTGCTGCAGGCAGCTTTAATGAACAAAATACAAGTGATACAGAACACAGAGTCAGATGCTACAAATGCAATACGCATATATACAGACGGCTCAAAAACCAAAGAAGGCTCAGGATGTGAAGGAAGTGGCTGGTATCTCAATCGCCACAAAAGAAATAACCAGAAAAGGAATTTCTGGCAAAAACATAACAATCTGCACTGATAGTAGACAAGCCCTATTAGCCTTGAACAGAAAACGTGTTACCTCAGGGCTAGTACTAGAGTGCCACCAAGATTTAGCCAAAGTCTTGGTAGATAATAACATCATCCTGATGTGGGTTGAAGGGCACGACAGGAGTAAAGGTAATCGCATTGCCGACTCTTTAGCCAAGAAAGCGGCTGGACTAAGAATTTTAGGACCCAGTGACACCTACGGCCTGATGACTTTGACAATTAAGGAACTAGCCAATCGTCACACCCATGGTCAATCCCTAAAGAGATGGAATAGAATTAAAGGATGCAGTCTTGCCAGGATCACCCTGGGCGACCCAGGGAAATTGGCGCCGAAGAAATATATGGCTATGACAGGAAAAACTATGCTTAACAGTAGGATTTCTGACTGGCCGCGGTCAACTAAGGAAACACCTCCATAATATAGGGTTAGTGGACAGGATGTATGAACTGTAAGGCATGTCCTATGCGAGTGTCCGGAGTTATCGTCAATAAGAGAGTCTTGGCCTACCCCTGCCGATATAAACGTGCTGTCTCCTAGTTACCTGTCCACCTTCAGAGAACAGGACAGAGTGGACGATGACCTAGGAAGACAACTCCTCGAGATGATGTACAATGGGTCACATGTGGTCTAAGTGCTGTAGGCCTACACTCACCCTCGCTACTCTACAGATACACAACTACGTGGTCTTCAGTGGTGCCTTACATTTTGTGGACAGTGGAAGCCCATGACAAAACTGAAGGTAATATCCTTCTTTCACCCGTCCTATAATTGAACTTTACTGGAAACTGTATGGCTTCAGGGTGGATAAGATTTACGTCATCTCTTCCAAAGTTGTTCGGATCGAGAGCGCCGTTTACCGATCCTTTCAATACGTCTCAAAATTGGAACGCAACATATTGTGGTAGTTGTGAAATAATATGTAATCCGCCGTTTTGTAGCTGCGGCTATTTTAAATTTGCATCTTATTCAAAGTGTACTACTATTCTGCTTGTCAAGCCCCGTCATTTGGTACCCATATTGAGGTAGTTGTGAAAAAATATGTAATCCGCTAATTTGTAGCTGCGACCATCTTTGATTTACAGTGATATAGAATTTATTAAATTGTATTGTCATCAAAACTAAATGAGTGTACCAAATATCAGATCAATCTGTCACAGAAAGGAGGTGAAACTTCAATTACTAAATCTGACCCAAAGAAAACAGGGCAAGCTGAATAAAACCATTTAAAAATGCAAAAGCTCAGGATATTATTAGAGAATTTGAAGTATCTCAAAGAAATTCAAAAATAATATGAGATATTTCAAATCATTATCTAAAAAAAAATTGTTTTTAAAAAGAGTTGGCGCCCAACATGGGGCATTCCTTATCACTCATTGGAAAAATATAAGGAAAGATTTCATCACCAACTTCCAAAAATAACGATAGCTTGAAAGTTAAATTATCAAAATCTTTTTCTTTTGGGATTTTATAATTTGTAAAATAAGTAGTGTACCAAAAATTTGAATTTTTTTCTCTAAAAATTCACTCTAAAGTAAAGTTCTGTGAAAAACTTCCAATTAGTTATAATTGTTTTCTATTGAAGGAGATGAAACATGAAATGTAATTTTATACTTTCCACAATGGTGAACTTTCTTTAAATAATTTCTCCGTTTTTGATCCAGACAGATGCTATTTTGGCGTTATGTGATAATGCTCTTCAGCCAAAACAGTCACCAAATAAATCCTCATTGGGTTTTTTTTTGAACCTTTCAAAGCCTTCGTATGGGAAACAAACTAGATAAAAAATGTACCGTCAACCGGTAAATTTGAATCTTTCCTCTAACTTTACAGTTCAACTACTCCCTTACCGCCAAATTTTCGCACATGTACTCCATCAGAAGAATAGTGGCCCGCTTGACTTGCTCTACCTCCCACTCAACTCCTTTGACAAGCACCAGAGTAGCGTGGAGTTTAGGCCTGGTCTTGAACATCACTTGGACTCTGTATTGATCTTGAATCTTAACAACGTAGGACGATGTCGCATCTATATTCTGGGTCATTATCGGCAATTCGAAGCCGAAAATCAGCGGAATCAGTTCCTGAAACGATAACGAATTATTAATAACCTGACTTCGGAGTTAGAATCCCCCTCAGAGCAGATTTTACTGTGATGATAGGTGGACTGAAACATATCGTAGGTTAACACACAGATGGCGCAACTAGTGTTGAAGCCATATGATTTTTTGTTAACCCTAACCTTCAAAAGACACGTGCACAATTTGCAAACCAAAGTATTGGAAAAAAGACTTCACGCATTTGCTGCACACTACACTTTTTCTACGGTAAATAACTGCTTAATAGAAACCACTAAAGAGTCCAATTAGTGAGTAACTTGTCGTATTAACAAATTATACTTACAAATAGCGTAAATGATGGAAACAAAACTAATAACTCGGCTTTTATTTCATATTCGTTATATATTCTTCACCACTCAAAAACAGATGTATCGACAATATAATTTACTGCCTCGTGTATTTTGTGTACAAAATATGGAAGTGTTTGATTGAAAAAGGTAAAAGTTTTATTGTTGGAGACGACTGGAGACGTAATCCCGCTATGAGTCTCATCAGTGGTACTAGGCTTAACCGCGAATGCATTGATGGACTTCCTGAGTAGACTCAGCAAGATATTGAATCCGTTGTGGGGAACGCGAAGTGCCAAATACATTGGAACTATCAGTTCCTTACCCTCAGGCTCATACAAGCTAAAATGCTTGATGTCCTTCTCGACCACCGGAGCAAGAGGATATTTGCGTGGAGTTTTCAGCTCCTGGCAAAACGAATATTTTCTGGAAAGAGGAGAAGATATGGATAAAATATCGAGATTTTCTCTTCGAACTCCACAGACTCTATCCAAACCACTCTGTCAAGATGGTTTTTCTGATTATTGGGGTCATTGGAATACATTGTTGGACAACATGTATGCGACTTCTTTGAATTTCCTTCTAAACCAATGTTCCTACCTGAGTATGATCTCAGCTTGGGACCACTCGATGTTATGTTGATGGGTCCAAACATGCTCTGCTATTCCTGATTTGCTGGTTTCCCCTCGCTGTGTGTGTTTCTTGTGCTCGGCAATGGGAACTTTCAATGGCCTCTTAGTTTCATCGATATAGGATTCTCCGCACTCACATGGTATCCGGTAAATGCAATTCTTGGAATCGAAATACATGTTTGGTGGCCTGGTTTTCGTGAGGCTGCTACGGATAATGTTTCCGGGTCTGAAGCAGGTTCTGATGTTGTACGTAGAGATCCAATTCTAGTTATCCTTTCCGATAATCCTCTGATGTAGGAAAGTGCCAGCACTGGTTGTGCTGGCACTTTCAAGTGATTTTCAAATCACTTGAAAAAGCTAATGTCTTAGCGTAACCTGTGGTGACCATATTTTTCAAATAAAGTTTGTGGAGATCAAATCGTTGAGGTGTAGTTTTTGAAAATACGTCTAAGAATGGTAATTCGTTTTGAACTTCCTTCTAAATTGTGAAAGTGATGGAAGGTCTTACGCTGTTGATGTATTTCAGGAAGGCGTCTAGTTCAGTACTCCCATGATTCCATATTATGAAGATGTCGTCAACGTGTCTCAATCAGTATGGCGATCCCATTGGTAATCCTTCATCTTGTGTGTACTAGGATACACAGTATCCTAGTTATTCTATAATTACTTCTATAGCTAAGTTCGTTCTATCTTCCAGGTCCCCGTGTTCGGATAGTTTCCTCTGTATGATTTGGAGTGCTTCTTCGACCGGAACGTTGGTGTAAAGGCTTTTTGTTCAATTGTTTTATTTTAACTTTTATTTCATTTCACTGTTATTTCATTTCAGGGTTTTTTGCTTAATATAAATGTTTTTTTTTTCAGCTATTCTTTTTTAATTCTTCCTTTATTAGTTCTTTCAAGGATTTCAAAACATATAATATCAGACAATGGAAGTGCTAACTAATGAAAGTCATCATGAAACAATGTCAACCACCTTCAAAGAAATAATAGTATGTTAGATTTACTAGAATTCATCTGGAGACAATGGTTGTGAAGACCTTCATTAATGAAATTAGTATTCCTGTAAGTGGAGATGTCTTCTCTGACGTTTGTGGTTCTGCCTAGCACAACAATTGACACATTTTTGAAATGTTATCAAGTTAGATGTTGCAATCTGTAAATATGTTACTGGGTAGATTATTGATCCGTAACTGTGTCCTAGTCGTAAAGGGTAACGTTTTGAATATAAAGAGTTAAATACATACCCTAACGCGACTTCTGGCGTTTTCGACTCCTTCGATGTCTCCGGAAATGGAAACCTGGTTGCTTTTTTCGGTGGGATTTGAACGATTAGAGTCGGGAAAGTGGACGTGGCACTGCGTCTCTTCCATCACCCGTTTGATGCTCAAACCCCCTTTTCCGATTATGTGAGAGTGGTCAGTGTAGCTGACGTCCATTTTCATCGTAATGCGATTACACTGAAAAACAAACTTGGTTGGGTGGAAGAGCAATTTCTGCCTTGTAATTCATTCACGGAGAGAAATTGAGTCCTGTCGTTTCAAGGTTCAGAGCTACTAGATTGTTTCAAAAGTTTTGTCCGTTTCAATGTCATGTGTTTTTGTAGCTCAATCTCTCAATGAATATTTATTCTACTGTGTCATGGTATATACCGTGTTAGGAATCACACGTTAAATGGTAAGACGAACGGCAACTTCTGAGAGTTGCCATTCGTATGGGGGCGACAGCTGATTAACGGAAAAACAGATTTTAAACAGATAATGATCGATATGTTTTGTTTTAATGTTCTGCCTCTTTTCAGCTTATCACTGTATGATGTTGAATGGGTAGGGTGAAAATAATACTTCTCAATTTATACAACTTTTAAATTTTGCCTCTTTCATTTGGCGCGTTGGTTAAAGAAATTTCGTTCCGGAGATTGTAGCACCGAAGATGAGCCTCAAATTCGTCAACCTACAGTAATCCAGGACGAGGATTTGAGGACTCTGGTAGAGACTGACCCATCAGAAACGGTGCGCGGGATAATAGACCAGGGCTGAAGTCTCCAAAAATGGTAAAAAGTGAAAAAAATATAGTAGGAAAAGGAGTTCGGGAAATGGGAAGGGGATGAGTTTTTAAGTGTAAAAAATGTTTATCTCGATTTCCAGCAAGACTACAAGTCCTATAGAAAAAAGATAAATTTCAAAGTTGTAGGTAATAAAAAGATCTACAACTTTTGTATCCACAATTTTTTCACATAACCTCAAAATTTATGTGAAAAATTCAAATAAGCGAGATTTTGGTTTTTATTTTCATCTTTTTCAAAAAAATTTGTTTTTCTACGAAATTTGGTGAAAACTTACCTTTTTATGACCCAAGTACACTGTAATTTATTTGATTTGAAATATTTATTTTTTCACTTTATTTTGACTTAACATCAAAAAAAGCACCCTAATTTTCATTCGAAAATTCTCGCGTCAAAATATCAGCTTTTTTCAAAAAGTCGGTGTGCTCTTTGTCTGTTGAAATATCTACTTTCTGATGATGTAAAAAAATACATTACTATATGTTCTCAGAAAATGAAAAAAATCGAAAAAACTCGAATTCGAATTTTTTTTAATCATTATGTTCATCAAAAAAATGTGATTGCTGCAATTTTATTCAGTTAAAAAATGTATTCATTAAATTCTTCAATAAATTACATTTATGTCATAGAAAATCCCATAAAAAATAAATATACATGTGAATCCTACTATCGAATTAAGATACTTCATTCTGATCACTCATTAATTATAATATTTTTATAAACGTTAATCTGTTATTATGAGATACCTACAACTTTCCCGTTTAACTTTTTACCATAGGACCGGAAATCGGGATAAACCATTTTTTACCCTTAAAAACTCACCCGGGTGAGGACCAATTATGGTCGTTTTAAGTATATCCAGTTCAGTTAATCCTCACACACTGAATCCTGAATCTAGAAAACGAAGCATTACAAGACCTATATTGAACGAACTTTTCGTCCTAGAATTACTCGCGTATAATTACGTAGTTACATGTATTTACTACAGTTCACAGGTGTATACACAGGGAGAGGTCTTATCGCCCCTTCTTTGGAACATAGTTCTGGATACCCTGATTAATCACCTCAACAATAATGGATTCTGCACAATTGCATATGCAGATGACATATTTATCTGGCAGACCGGCAAATTTCTGAACACACTGAAACATGGTGTAAGGAAAACTCACTGTCGATCAATCCCAAGAAGACTGAGATGGTCTTTTTCACCAAGAAAAAAAAATTAACCTCCCGAAATCTTCAAAAGCAAACTAAACTTCTCCGAAGAGGTGAAATACCTTGGTACTATTCTCGACAGGAAGCTAACATGGAACTCTCATCTACAGAGTAGAGCAAAAAGAGCATACGTGGCTTATGAGCAATGTCGAAGGACAATGGGACGCGCATGGGGTCTTTCACCCCGTGTGGTCAGCTGGATCTACACTGAAATAATAAGACCTAGGTTAACGTACGGAGCCATTGCATGGGGACCAAAAGTTCTACAAGCAACGGCCGTCCAAAAATTATATCAAAGAGAGCGATTGGCTTGTTAAAACATTACAGGAGCCATGAAAACAACACCAACCGCGGCAATAGGATTAATTACTGGTCTGACCCCTCTGGATCTGTACGTTAAGCCATGTTACGATTGCGCACGGCTGGTGTAAACCTCGAAGTAGGAATGGGTCAATTGAGGCTGGGTCTGTGGCGGGAAGCGCTTACTGCGCAACTTCTGCTGCAGGAAATCAATCATTGATGCAATTGAACCCAGGTTTGTGTTTAATAAACTCTACAAAATACAAATAAAACAGAACACAGAGTCAGATGCTATAAATGCAATATGCATATATACAGATGGCTCAAACACCAAAGAAGGCTCAGGATGGGGAGTGTACTCCAAAATCACTAAGCCTAAGGATTAAGTGGAGAATGGGAAAAAATACCAGCGTGGTTCAAACAGAACTGGCTGGTATCTCAATCGCCACAAAAGAAATAATCAGGAAAGGAATTTCTTGCAAAAACATAAAAATCTGCACTGATAGCAGACAAGCCCTATCAGCCTTGAACAGACAACGTGTTACCTCAGGGCTAGTACTAGAGAGCCACCAAGATTTAGCCAAAGCCTCGGTAGATAATAACATTATCCTGAGGTGGGTTAAAGGGCACGGCAGGAGTAAAGGTAATCGTATTGCCGACTCTTCAGCCAAGGAAGCGGCTGATCTAAGAATTTTAGGACCCAGTGGCACCTACGGCCTGATGACATCGACAATTACGGAACTAGCCAAACGCCACACCCATGCTCCATCCCTAAGAGATGGGATGGAATCAAAAGATGTAATCTTGCTAGGATCACCCTGGGCGACTCTGGAATCTGGCGCCGAAGAAATATCTGGCGATGATCAGGGAAAATCTACGCTCAACAATAGGATTTCTGACTGGCCAACTCTCAACTAAGGAAACATCTCCATAATATGGGGTTAGTGGACACACCTCTATGTAGGATGCATGAACAGGATGCATGTCCTATACGAGTGTACAGAGTTATCGTCAATAAGTGAGTGTGTGTTCGGCGAGTCTTGGCCTACACCTACCGATATTAAGATGATGTCTCCTAGTGACCTGTCCACCTTCCTGGAAAGGACAGGATGGACGATGACCTAGGAGGACAATTCCTCGGGAGGATGTACAATGGGTCACATGTGGCCTAAGTGCTGTGGGCCAACACACACCCTTCCTACTCTACAGATACAGAAGTGTATACGAAACTGATTATTGCTCACCCTAGTGTCCAAAATAGTCATAATCCTTTCTTTAGCAGTTTTCACATCCTCTGGTCTTCCCGCAATCCTAACATGCGGATCTGAAAAACATATTACAATATAAGAACATAGGCTTACTCGGCAGTAGTCACGATTAATGAGAAACAAATCCGGGTTGATAGATCGTGGTCGAATGGAACCTGAAAAACCGAACGCTTCGTCTGCCGCAGTAGCAGACGAAACATTTGTAGTTCAGGTACCCTCTGACCATGGCCTACAAGGCCTAGATTTTTTCACATTTAAAAAAATTTCTGTATGATTTCATGTTATATAGATATACGAGGTCTGTTCAAAAAAATAGGGTGAATTTTCTATTTTCTCAAAAATCATATATTTTTTCATCAATTTCCATTTTGTCCCCTTCAAAGTAGTCCCCTTCAGTTATAATACAGCTGTACGTTATACCAGCGTTTTTTCCAATCCTCTAAGCAGTTCTGATACACACTTTTCGGTATGTCCTTGAGCTCTCTCAGCGATTCGTCCTGATTCGTCCTTTCATGCGTCTCTTCAATCTTGGTAACAGGAAAAAGTCGCAAGAGGGTCAAATCTGGTGATTACGGTGGCTGAGACATGATTACGGGGTTGTTTTCGTCCAATAAATAAATGTTACAATATAAAATCAAATACATATATTATATTACATGGAGAATTATTCCCAAGAATTATCACTCCAATAGTCTTTCAAAGTATAAGAAGAACTATAATGAAGAATTTTTCGTTTTGAAATTATCACTTTTGATTCATCGTCGTATCAGGCACAGGCGATAACGACGAAGGCGGAAAATGTGGGTGAATCCCATTTACGCAAAAAGAAAGGAGTTCGGTGAATTTTCTCATTTTTGGCACGACCTTCAAATCGTCGATGAGCACCACTTTTCTTATTTTCGAATTAGAAAAGACACATTTCAATACAGAATTGTAATTATTTTCGCACTAGGCCACAATCAAATCCCAACAGAACGGAATCGGTTCGCAATTCGCACCTAGTCTGACGAAAACTGACGAACGATACTGGCAAAGTGGACGCGGTCCCCAACCGATCCATGTGTTTGGATCGTTCGTGCGTTGTCGTGTGAATTCTGACGAATTGATTACGCAGCTTTCAGCTCCCAGTGGACGAGAGGCCAAATAGTGTTTCAACGAGTCTTCATAATAATTTTCTTCACTTTCTCTACATTTTCATCGGTTGTTGATGTGCTGGGGCATCCAGGGCGAGCGTCGTCATTAACATCTTCTCGACCTTCTGTGAAAAACTTGTACCACTTGTTAACATTTTTCTGTCTCAGAGTACAATCACCGTATGCCACTGTCAACACTTCAAGTTTTTCTGAGCACTCAATTCAATTTTATACACAAAATTCGATGCAAATTCTTTGATCCATTTTTTTCGATAACAGAAAGTCACCGAACACGCAAAACACTTCCAACTTGTATGCATCTCACCAACAAAGTAAACATGCCTAATAGATGAAACTGTGAGCATATGTTCGAGACGAGTGTACCAATATAAAAAAATCACAAACCGAATGTAGGTATTTACCTCAGAGTAACAAAAGACAATAGAGAGGCCTTTTCCATCCTTACATTGAAGGCACCATAACTTTGTTTGTTTACGGGAAGTAAGTTGGACCATAAAACAGTGGCGGTTGGTTTACTTAATAACCGGAGGGATATTATATATTTATAAAATAAATCATTTCAGGTGAAAATGTATTCTGTTCAAATAGTTCCTACAGGAAATCTGATTTATTATTAATGATTATGGAAATGGGGCCAGTTTTTCTACCACATACTAGATTTTTATTTATGTATGGCTTTATAATAAAGCGCGTGGTTTACTGGGTTAAAATTAAATTATTTCAAATGAAAAAATTCATAACAATGATAAATGTTAATTTCAAAAGTAATGAACTCTGCTTCATAAAATCAGATGAAAAAATTTGTGATTTATTCTCAGATTTGATAAACAAGCGGTACGATTTGTGAGATCCGATATAAAGAATTTTCGAGTAGAAATCATGAATATTTATAATTACGATTGAGGTTTGATATTATACTGTGATTTTATTCAAAATTGGTATCTAGGGTTCTTTGTGGACCGACATTATGAAAGGTGATATTTTTGATGTTTGTAATGATCGTTTTTTTGATCTTATTCTTATAAATGAAGTTTTGAAACTAGGTTCACATTATTTCATTATTTGACATATTCCAACCAAAAAGATGTTAAAAAAATGGCAACCGTCATTTCTTACTGAACATTGTCTGTATGCAATTTGAAAGCCTCGTGCAAAAAAAGAAAAACCAAAACGGAGATCATATTCTTTGTGTGACGTAAGTTAGTTGTTAAGTGAGCAATAACAGATATAACACTGTTTGCACAAGAATAACTATTTAGTATACAAATTGAACATTTAGCAGAAAGCTTTTCAATCTGTTGATCACAGAATGGATATGACCTATGGCACACATATGAAAAACATATTTTTCATTTTTGAATACAGAATTATTGAAAAAAAAAACAATGTCGGTCCACAAAGATCCCTAGATACCAATTTTGAATGAAATCACATAATAATATCAAATCTCAATCGTAATTATAAATATTCATGATTTCTAATCGATTTTTTTTTATATCGGAGCTCACAAACCGTACCGTACCGTACCGCTTGTTTATCAAATCTGAGAATGAATAAAAAATGTCTTCATCTGATTTCATGAAGCAAAGTTCATTACTTTTGAAATTAACATTTAACATTGTTATGAATTAGTTCATTTGGAATAATTTAATTTTAACCCAGTAACCCGTGTTAGGAATCACACGTTAAAAGGTGAGACTTCATTAGTCCTTAGCCCGCACAAATTTCTCAACTTCTGAGAGTTGTCGTTCGTATGGGGGCGACAACTGATTAACGAAAACACAGATTTTAAACAGATTCTTTTTAAACCACGCGTTTTATTATAAAGCCATACATAAATAAAAATTTAGTTAGTGGTAGAAAAACTGGCTTCATTTCCATAATCATTAATGAATAATAAATCAAATTTCCTGTAGGAACTATTTGAACAGAATACGTTTTCACCTGAAATGATTTATTTTATAAATAGATAACATCCCTCCAATTATCAACTAAATCAACCTCCACTGTTTTATGGTCCCAAATACTTCAAATGTAAATAAACTCTCCATAACCTTTCATTACCCGCCACCCTCCCTCGCCCATAAATTGTACAGAAAAGGATAGTCATAAGTTGTACAGAAAAGGATAGTAAGATACCCGTTTCAAAACACATGTATTGTATTGGTATAGGCACCTTACAGGCATGGCAAGTCTATGTCTTATTATTACTCTGAGGTATTTAGGTAATTCGCGAAATTTGAACGTTCACCTTATTTTTTGAACAGACTATCCCACGGAACACCAATATTCCTCTTGGCATGCATATTACTCTGAGTAAATACCTTTTTTTGATTTTGCTCCAATCTTCAATTTGTTCGGCCAAGTGATATGAGTGTCTGTGTCTTCCATTATTTTAGCAAAGAATACGTCTGCTGGGATAAGGGCCTCATTGTCTCCTGAAATCGTTGTTAAATATTATTTCAAAAATGTTTTTGAATAATAGAGCAGGGAACTGTATTAGGTGGGGTTCTACAAGGATCTATTCTGTGGCCAGTACTTTTCCTTATATTCATACATTCAGTGACTTCAGATTTAGTAGGGAAAATTGAAATGTTTTGAGATAATAAATGATTGATATATAGTATGGGTCACAAGAAAAGAAGTTTCTCAATTTTTTACTGATTTTTATTATTTTTCTTTTTTTACACAAAAAGTGACACATGGTTATTTTTGTCAATGAATTGATGGATGTAGCCGTTACTATGTGGTAGGAAATCATAATGAAGAAAAGAGAAATGAAAGTTTCTATGTTTTTACCACTTTTATTTGTAACTAACATTACTGCAGTTTCGTCCTATACGGACATTTTCAAACTTATACGATAAACATTATTAATTTCTCAAGTATGATTTTTTATAACTATTGCAAAATGAAATATCTAAAAATTGTTGATGAATTTTTTTCAATCGATATTTAGCTATGTCTGTTTTCACAATAAATTGCTTAAATATTAATATTTTTTGAGTTATTAACGAAAAACTAAACACCATTTTTTAAAATCTTATTTTGTTAATAACAACTTTTTTCTCGTGATGATCCCGAATCGAATGAGCTATCGCTCATATTTTTAGGACCTTTATCTCTATTTTTCATGTTTTTGAACTTGTTGATTAGACTATGAACCTTTCAGCTGTCTTTACGGAACCTTCGAGACACCGGGCGCCCTCTCGTTGGAGCATCGCCTTGTCACGGTAATGCGGGGCTCTACCGTGATTGATCTTCTTTCCCTAGCTACTCGTGGGACTTTTATGGATAGACTAATATTTCTGACGCTGAGTCTACAGAGGAGATGGATGTCGAGCTTACGGCTCCAACTGACCTCCCTGTAAATTTAGATCAGGAGCGAGAGCTTCTCACCCCTCCAACTCCTGATCCAATAACTGAACCTAAAAAAAAGATTTGTTGATGCAGCCAGGAAACGACTGAGTCGTCTCCTCGAAAGCGGGGTACCTCTTGAAACCGCCTTGCACCAAATTCTTGTGCGGCGTACGCAGAATCTGTCGCAGGTGGAGGAACAAACCCCCCATGAGCAGGTTAGCAAACGTTTGCGCTCAAGTGATAATTCACCAAAACCAGAGATGAAAAAGCCCTGCACGGCTGAATCTAAGGCATCGTCAGGTGTAGCTATCGTGCAAAAAACCCTCATATGGGAAGGTTGTCGCGGGTATCAAGGTGGGAATCTTGCACCTTGACTATCCGACTACCTCATTAAGAAGTTATGTTTATTTGGTCGAGTGTGAATAGGTGTGAACCACAATAAACCCTTGCGGGTTGCGGTGGAGGGTCTAACAAACTCACTCCCTTTGAACGTAACCTAACCTAACCTACTCTCGTAGATGGTTTGAGTATTACAAAAAAAACACCGAAGAAATGTTCCATTATTACACAGTCTGGTGCATATTAATATCAAATGTCAAAATTGTCAAGATCACGAAAGTTATTTCTGAATCGAAGATGCTGTTGCAAGTAGGTACCTACATGAACTGTAGTTTCCTAAAACATGGGGTTTTCAATGTTGTTGACATTGTCAAAAGTGTTCAAAAACCTTCATTATTCAGTTATTCATCATTGTTCACCGCTTTTTGATTTTGAGATATACCTACGTGTATAAAAACTATTTTGGTTAACTATTGGTTATTTTAATGGATGAAGAAAAGAGTGCTGTCCCACCTGTTAGCATTTGTTCCAACTTTTTCCTGTCCACTCTGAATCGGTCCTGATGCAAGTCCGAGACGTCTTTCAATCCCAGTTTCGTTAGAAAATCTTTGAGTTCCTCCTTCGAATCCCAGTTTGAGTTCCATTCCGAAGTTCCCGTTCCCGATTCCGATACTTCCGATAATGTGTCGGAATTTTTGTTCACGTCAAGCACATGGTGGGGTAAGAAATTGCACGCCAATGACATTTTACATAAACGATTATGAGCTCACACCAAGAACAATTAGACGATTCGGCACAAATAAATTACGAATAAATAAATAAATATTTTTCTTACACTAACGCGCAGCGTCACCGGGTTTTGAAATTGAGCGCGTTTCTGTTAGTTTTTCGGGCGTAATTTGTGAAAACGCTGCTGGAATTGGGATCGAACCCAACTGACGATGTATTTCATGAAGTTTTTTGTTCGTACTTTTTTTCACGAGGTTTGTTTTTGTTAGTTTACGATACTTTGGTGGATTTATAGAAAGAGAATAACACTAGCCTTTACCGGGTGAACGAATAAAAATTGAAAAATAGTAATAAGTCAATAAGAAGTAATAATCGTTGAAACAGTAATAATAATAGAGTTTATTCATCGAAATGTATATGAAAACTCCAATTACAATCTATTTGAACGATAAATGAGCAAATACAACCTAAAGAATTTGGTAACTTGTACTTATACCTAGGACCGGATCCAGGGGGCTAGAGGGGCATGCGCCCTGGTGGCTGTTGTTGGGGGGCATCAAATAATGGGGCACCAGAAACATCATCAAAATTAGTAACGGCTTCATAACCAAAAACATAAATTTTAATGTCAGGTCCAATTACTCAATAAACAAAAGTTTTATTGAGAAACAATGAAGTTGTAATATTTTAGTGCCAATTCCCAATTAACTGCATTTGTGCATAGCCACATCTAGTTAAATATACCTAGTAAGAAACATTTAAACAGGGCGGGGAAGAAAGTGAAGGCAAGACACCATGAGGCAGAGAAGTCGTCAAGATTGATGTCATCTTGGTTGCATTATATACAAAAAAAGGAAAAATAAAAAATTGTTATTATTTGTTGAGAACTTTATTTATATTGAAGGGAGACATAATTGCTCACTAAAAATCAAACTTTTTTGCATGTATGGGATTTTTTAATAAATATTCGTTTCCAAATATGCTATCATTCGTTTTTAATGTTTTCAAGCATTTTCGAGTTCGGTATCTCAAAAGAGTTTTTTTTTCAAATGGTTACAGGGATAGAATCCAATTCGAGGCTCAGTTTTACGCGTTTAAGTTTGGTAATTTGGGTCTCAAAAGATTAAATTTCATTCAGAATGAGTTCAACCGCTGATGAATTGTTTAGTTTGATAACAATAAATCAGTTATTTATGTCATTGTGAGTTGTAGAGCACTTTGATGGTCAGGCGCCAAGATCAAATCATTACCCCCCTACCCTAATAATAATCCTAGATTCGACCCTGCTTATACCGGATTTACTATAGTACTGAAAATAATTCAATATAAACAAAAACAATGTTCGAATCTAAATAGTTAATTTTCTTTATTATAATAGAAATACAATTTTGAAACAATCCTTTTGAAATTTCTCGGTTCAATAACAGCTGCTCATTTTTTTTGGACTGAAGCTCTTGTTATTACACAGATGTAGTTCCGATAATCTGTGGCGTAACCTTGAAGGTTCTCTAGACCCAGATTACCTGTTCTGTGCCCAAGGTCTGCAACATTTATCTGAGAATTATATTTCATGAGTTCTGAGGCCTCTAGTTAGAAATACATACAAATTTTGAAACAGCGGACACAGGTCGTCTCTTCGATATAATAGGCTGATATAGCATTAAAACCCTTCAAACGGCGGTATGAATTTCAGCACTTGCATGTCTAATTTGATGATTCCAGCGGTGTAGTTTCGTAATTTACAGTTGAAGACCTTGAGGTAAAGGGAGGTGGTTTATCTATACGCTTAAACATCTTGCTGCCAATTTTGTTCCGGTCAGTCAACATTGACTAAATTCTTTCAATAGCTCAGGCTACAACGCCGTTAAGTAAATAAAAAGAAGAAGTATAACTTTTAAGTATTTAATAATTTGACAATCTTGACATTGACAATTATTTATCAACAAACGGTCGCAAAGACAGGAGAGAAACTCGACAAAGCAGGACGAGCGAGTATAAAGTCACGTAATTTGAGATCAAATCAGAAATTATGGGAGATGTTATGAAAGAAATACGTGAAAAATCTAGAAAAAGAAAACTTTTATTAGCACAAACTGTGAGTTTATTAATAATACAGTAATATAATTCTCTAAACTTTAAAATATTTCTTTTAGCTGGGTGTTTCTGGTGCTGACGAATTGAGACATGTCTTGGGAACCGGTGAAACCAGCACTGAAAAAACGACAAATAGAGAAAACAATCAAGATAACGAAAAATATGACTACAAAAAGGAATATATGGACGAACTTGTGTATCAAGACTCTTCAATGTTTTTAAAGGTAGCATACTACAATGTAGCATACTACATTGAGCAAAATATATACTCCAGCAAACATTTTATCTAATATTTAGTACTGTAGGGGGTTCCTCAGGGCTTGGTGCTGGTGGCTCTGAGGTGTTTTTTTATGCCAGTTTCGTTGAAAGAAGTGATGAATCATTAAAATTCAATTTAATAATATTATTAAATCAGAAATTATTAATTGTGCCTGCTATAGTGAGAATGCGTATCAATTGAGTATTCCATTCATACATTTTCAGTTATCTCACTAATACTAATTTACAGGGTACACAGTCATCAAATCCTCACAACGATTACTGCCAGCACTTTGTTGATACAGGTCAGAGACCTCAGAATTTCATTCGTGACGTTGGTTTGGCTGATCGTTTTGAAGAGTACCCAAAGCTGCGGGAGCTTATTAAACTCAAAGATGAGCTGATTCAAGAAACTGCCACTCCACCTATGTACTTAAAGTGTGACCTAACGACGTATGATTTGAAGGATCTCAACACTAAATTCGATGTGATACTTATTGAACCTCCTTTGGAGGAGTACCAGAGGACTATGGGAGCAACGAATATGCAGTTTTGGTCTTGGGACCAGATTATGAGTTTGGACGTGGGAGAGGTAGCAGCTCAGCGAAGTTTTGTGTTTTTATGGTGTGGCAGTTCTGAGGGACTCGATATGGGTAGAATTTGCTTGAGAAAATGGGGTTTTAGGAGGTGGGTATATTAAAAATTAAATTGATTTTTGTTTGTTTAGGTAGAACTTATTCATCAAAAATATACATAAAAATTGATTTCAGTAGGATAATAAGTAAACAAATACAACCTAACGAAGTTAACAACTTGTTAGCTTAATATATTTTATTTTCAAACAGGTCTATATAATATTTTATTCAAAAAAATACTTTTGAATAACTTACACCTGTAAGTTGCGACTTAATGACTGCAAAGTGGATGATTTTTACAGATATTTGAATTTTGTTAATGATATTAACTTTGTAGGCTTTCACCGCTGGCGTCAATGTTTTGGTTGGTTTCCGGGTTTTGCCGTGGTCTTCTGTGATTATAATCTCCTAACGTAAAATGTTTTACGCTTGACAAAGCTATTGTATAGAGAAACACATGTCACGGTTTTTGTAATGGAAAAATCATACAACAAACTGTATTAATGAGTTGAAATTGTAATCTGAATATGTGAATAGATTCATTATCATTATTAAAGTGAATAGGCCTATAGTTGACCATAATCATTTCAGATGCGAAGATATTTGTTGGATCAGGACCAACATAAAAAACCCAGGGCATTCGAAGAATCTTGACCCCAGAGCAGTTTTTCAAAGGACAAAGGAACATTGTCTTATGGGTATAAAGGGTACGGTTCGTCGGTCAACAGACGGGGATTTCATTCACGCAAATGTAGATATCGATCTAATAATATCAGAAGAAAATGAGTATGGCAGCCTGGAAAAACCTGTAGAGATTTTTCATATCATTGAACATTTCTGTTTAGGTAAGTTTGTTAGGTTGATACTTAACTTGATTTCAACTTTCCCAAGGAACATTATTTAAAAATATTTTCTATTATGTTTTATACATATTATTTGAGCAAATTAGTTGAACTTTGTTCTTTTCCATATTGTTTTTTCTCTTGCATAAACATTTTATATTTCTTGGGGAATGAATTGTTATCATTATTATTATGGTACCTACTTTCTTCAGGAAGGCGCAGGCTCCATATCTTCGGCAAAGACAGCACGATTCGTCCAGGTTGGCTCACTTTGGGCCCAGAGTTGACCAACTCCAATTTCAACGTAGATTTGTACTCCAGCTACTTCACCAATAACACCTCTACCACCGGGTGTTCAGAGAGAATCGAAGCACTTCGACCTAAAAGTCCACCTCCTAAAGTTAAGGGTAACACAGGAGGGAGAGGAAGGAGTAGCTTCCAGAGGGGTAGAGGCAGGGGGAGATGAATATTCCTGCAGTTTTGGATACATAAAGTCTGATTATGTAAATAATTTTAACTGTTTGACATGGAATTTTAACATCATAGATTTAATAAATCATTTTATTTAAAGCCACCAATATTAATTATTTTATCATAATTCATATATACAACTGCTAATTTATAGTTTGTAATAACTTCATTATGGAAAAAGTTGATTCAACATGTCATCTTTCAATTATAAAATCACATTTGTATTTGTAAACTAAATAAAAATTGAGTTGTATATTCAAGTCTATGGCAACCATAATTATTGAGAGGAGTAGCCAGATAAAATCATTTTATTTGATTGCTATTTCCATTCACAATTTTACTCCTGAATCCTGGAACTAAAAATGGAAACCTTGATAAGTTGTTTGTGCTTAAATCAAAATATCTAGAAAAAATTCAAACTGAGCTTAAGGAGACTATTATATCCTATTATTGAAACAGTTGTCCCAAAGGGTTAACCTGAGATCTAATATCTTGTAGTATATGTAGAAACATTTATTTATGGCAGAATGTGATTTACAATCTGACCATAGCAAGTGGCAATAATAACCGAAATAATCCAAAGAGAACCGTTTCAACGACTTTGAATGTTTGTATTTAAAGACCGACTGGCCGAATAGCCCTATTAGCTAAGGTCGAATCACACCAGAAATAAGAAGTAATACGTCAGCTAATGGCCTCTGCGATCAATGCTTTCCGGCAATTTAAAAAATTTAAGGTAATTCAATTAGAAGGATTGAGGACTGGTCGGCAGTTATTCGTTGAATTCGTTTCCTCACAAAATAGGATTAACTATGGTTTCTTGTATGAATAGAGTGGATAAAAGGTGTGTGTATGTGTGTGCAATTGTGAAAGTCTTTTTGTTTCTACATGTCGTTATAAAAAACTTTCGACATTCAGTCATGAGGAACTGGATAAAAGTTTGGTACAGCTGCGCATACACATACAGTATTTCAAGTACTCGTAGTAAAATCTCTGTCGAAGTGTATGCATATATATTTGTCATTTGATTTACCAATTCTAGGTATAATTTTCCATTTCTTTGCTACTTTCGGGTTTCAGGGAAGGTGGTGCATGGATATATACAATAGCCAATGTTTTCCTCAAGTTTCAAGTTCAAGTTATATTAGTAGATGTCGCTCATTCCCCCTAACTTTGGTATATGAAAATAAAATAACAGCTTGTAGTTTTCTGAAATAAAAATTACGTTTTTTCCTCCTATATTAAATATTTTCCAATATGCATTATTGCCATTTCCAAAAAATATGTTATTTTATTGACTTATTTTGTCAATATCAATAAATATCCAATAATGATTTTCACTTACTTCTTTCATTGAAGTTCTGAAATAAACCAGGAATATTATTATGGTACGAAGCCATGGAGATGCGAATTTTATGGCCAAATGCAGTCAATTCTTATTTATACATGTGTTTATTTATCACTGGCCAAGTCTACATACATTTTGTACAAAAGGCAACTCACAGACTTACTTTAAAATACATGTTCACTTTATAATTATAAATACAGCAGGTACAGATTAAAAAGCACACATGTATCATTGCACTCACACTTGTGTATTGCAACTTATGTAAAACGCAAACTTCACAAACTAGAACAACTTATATCGAAGGAGAAATCTTATTTCTAATGAAATTTTCAAAATGAAGATTGAGAAAAAAAAAAGATACACTAGGATCTCATTTTAATGCGAATTTTGAGCTATTTTCTAGTTATACAAGATATAATATCAGAGTTCCGCCATTTGTAAAAAGCAAAACAACGGATATGGAGGAAATGAATATAATAACAATATTTTCGAAATCGCTTTTACCATTACACACAATTTGGAGAACTGTTTTCTTCCACTTCTACTGATCTTCTATCTGTAATAGTTCCAAAATTGCCCAAATTCACACATAAAAAGTGTCCCCTAGTATACTGGGAACAACCAAAGTCGTTTCATAGTAACCTCCTTGATCCAGATTCTCCTCAAAATGGAAAAAGACCACCAAGTACGGTTATCAAAAGATTTCAATACTAATATTTTGAGCTTTGCATTCAGTTTTCGATTAATTCTTGATTCAAAAATATGACAGAACAGACCAATGAAAATCCATTATAATGTATCCAAAAAACACTTAAATGTGAAATTTCCACTTGAAAGTTTACAAAACTGCAACACCTGTTTCACTATACAATAGCATCTTCAGGCGTTACAATGTATTGTGTAGAAAAGTAGAAATCTCATATTAAAGTGTGTATTAAATATATCATAACACATTTATGAAATCGATCATAAAATTAGAAAATTCACAATGGTGTTATAACAGTACTTGAAATTATTCAAAATTTTAATTTCATAATGTTGTTGAATTCCAAACAAATCTCTTCAACTTTAGCGTATTCAAAAAAACACTTCATTGTGAGATTCTCACCAAACAGTTTTTCAAAAACGCAACACGAGTTTGCTATATTTATTTATTTATATGGCGAATACGTTAGTTATGATAGTTAGTTAGATATGGATTTTCATTAAGTATCGGCCAATTCCATCATATCTAAATATTACTGGAGTTTTTTCCCAACACCAAACCGTTATTTTAACACCTAGACACGTGTTTCGATCGCCAAGTGATCAAACAGTTTGATCTACCTCTTGAAGATGATCGCTTGGTGATCGAAACGTGTTTCGAGGTGTTAAAATAACGGTTTGGTGTTGGGAAAAAACTCCAGTAATATTCATTACTACATTCCAAACAGTGCATCACAGGTCCATCATATCTCTTCAACTTTAAACGTTTCTCAAAATATTTAAAAAAGAAATCCTTCTCTTGACCTAATAGAGTGAAATCAAAATATTTGTATGAAAAAAATTTAGCAAGAAAATTTTAATGTCACTTGAGAAATCAAAATAAATGATGGTTCACTATATTATTTTTTGTTTGCCACTGATATCTTATAAAGTGTACAAAAAAGAGTTGATTGCCTAATAAAAAACTGATGAATCCCAATAAAGTTACATCTAGAAATAAACTGGCTCTTCAACTCTTTTCAATGAAGAATTTCAATCTTCAAAAATTTTCGAAAATTGACGAAGATCTACAAGTTTGAACCTCTGAACATTCAAAATCTTTGTCAGAAGAATAACAGAAGGTAGGTGTTTTGGAAATGGGAAAAGGAATGTCATATTTCCATAACAACTCTTGACAGACGGGTATTAAGTTCAATTATGATTAGAAAGTGTTGCGATCAGAAGAGAAAAATATAAACTTTTATTTTTTAGAGTTTATCAAAATTTTAGACTCGATTACGTGGAAAAAATGAACTGGCGAAGAAAATAAAGAATAGATATATCTTCAAGGGCACTGTTAAAAAAGGGAAGAATGGATTTGTTTACAACTTCCTCTTAATGGCATATACAAAAAACCTGTAGAGATTTTGAAAAATTCAACATGAAAAGCTGATTCAATGAATGAAATGATGCACTATACAAGTATAGTGATTAATCTGCATCAAACGCAGAGAGAAAACCTCAACATGTAGTTGATACAACTGTTTTGACTTGATCGAAACTCCCCGAGTATCATCCTATATAATAGGAATCAAAGTAGGAAGCTATCAAAAAAGTGTTATTCCCAAGACTGAAAGTATTTTTATATAATTAATTTCCAATAATCAATTTGTAACAGTTGAATTCCGCTAATTATATAAATATATCTTCATTTCACCCTATACACTGGATAAATAACAGTAGGTCATTGGTGTTACAGATTCTAATGAGGAAATGGTAGTTCAGAGGTAAACAGGTAATATCCGTTTTACGAAAAAACTCGTCACAAAACTTTCAATCTATTCCTACTTTTACAAGCAAAGTAAATTCAGAGACGTCTTTTATTTTCTCAGGATTTTTTTTAAATATTGCGTCAAGGATATTAATATTTTTGAATGATTAATATTAAAAACAAAGACTTCAATTCATCATTTTAATGTACGAAACATTATTACGAAGTATCATTTTTACAGAATTCAAGATTTTTGGATCGGATGCCTTTTACAATATTACGAACACTATAATTAGAACAGAATTTGTTTTTGTTCAGCTTAGAATAAACTTTAGTGCTTCAGAACACTTTCTGTTGTTTGTCACTACGTCTCTCTAACAAGAGAAATTCCCTAAGACTAAGTAACTATTATAAAAATGAAAACACAAACATCAACACATACAAAAATAACAAGTTATGATCTATTTTCAATAATAACCGATAAATAAATAATACGAACGACCGTAATCAAATCGTAGCTTCAAAAATTGAGAGACTATTCATTTATATTACAAGATAAAACAATTTGCTCTCATCGTCAGTTTTTTTCAAACCTTGAGCGACTATAAAAAAGGTCGAATCGTCATAAATTTTCAGTGTTTTTTTCGGTAGTTTCTGCCATTGAAGACTATAGCAATTATCAACTTTATTCAAAAATAAATGAAATGAGAGTGGTTGAGATCGAGAGATTATTATTGCTCCAAAAATAATCTTGCTAAGTTAAATTACAAGTTTTCAACAATACACCATCTGGATAATAATAACGGTAATATTGAACTCTTTTTAAGCTGAATTGCCAACTTTACTAACTAATCGATTATTAATTTCCGATCTTGTTTCTCTTAAAAAAAACTGACAATGACAGCAAATCGGAACTGTTTTCATTATTATATCACACACCTACTAAGTAAACAATATAGTTTGTTTATTTACTGATAAGGAGTGGGGTCTATATAGTAAGGTATCGGTATTTCGTATAACCAATTTTTTTCTTACTGTGAATAGCTAGCTTGCCGGTGTTTATAATAATAATCATTATATAAGTTCATTTAAGATTAGCCTAGGTAAAGATGAATTTGTGCTTCAAAATCAGTAACCTGAAAAAAAAATGTGATAGTAGTGACAGAATATAGAACTGATTTTGGAATTATTGGATCATATGTGGTGTCACAAAAAATTGTTCAGTAAGGATTATAGATAGATAATATATTTGTCTCTTTAGGTTGTTCTTACAACATGAGATATGTCAAAAAAAAATGAAAAACAAACAACAAGTACAAACACATTAACAATAGTCAATTTCACACAAAAGTTAAAACATATTGTATGGATACATATTAAAAACAGTACATATAATGCATACTACATAGATGAAAATGAATCAGCCACACTTTTGAATGAAATCGTCTAAAGTATAAAATGCTCCTTGGATTACGAACTTTTTCAGTGTATGTTTAAAGTTTTTATTTTTGGTTCCGATTTCATGCTTTCAGGCAATAAGTTGAATAAATATGCCCCTGCATACAGAGGTGATTTTTTGTGACGTGATCTGAGTATGGGATGTAAGTGAAAGTCATTTTTCTTTCTCGTTTCGTATCTGTGGTACTCACTGTTTTTGTTTAGTTTTCCTTTATTTCAAAAGGTATATGTCAGTAATTTATACAAATAAATAGATGTGAATGTTAAAATATTGTTATTTGTGAAGGTGTTCCTACACGATTCTCTGTAGTCTAAATCATATATCATTTTGATGAACTTTTTTTGTATTCCAAAGACTCTGGATGTTTCTGTGGACCTTCCCCATACTATGATGTTGCAGCTGATGGTGCTGTATACCAGTGCATAATATAAATTAATCAAGTAAGGTCTATGAAATCAATCAAGTAAGGTCTAGAAAGCATAATATAGTTTATTTAGTTTTTTGCAAATAGAATCTATTTGGTTGTTGAATGAGAACTTATAGTCTAGTTCCATACCTAAGTATCGTGCTGACTCTGATGTGTTTATTTCAATATCATCAATATTTATTGTAAGATTGTGTGTTCGCCTGAGGGGACTTGTAAACTCTATGAACACCATTTTGTCTGTATTGTTAATTAGATGAGTCATCTCACACCAGTGCGCAAATTCCTCTGTAACCAATTAAATTTTCCTGTGGAATTCAGTAGCGGTGTCAGCCACAACAATAACTGTGGTATCATCCGCATAGATAAAGGTTTGTCCATACTTAATGTGAGTGGGTAAATCATTCACATAAAGCAAAAATAGCAAGGGGCCTAAGACACCACCTTGGGGAGTGCCAATTGTAATGTCAAAGTTATCAGAAAACTCATCCTCAATCTGCACCTTAAGCGTCCTCCCAGATATATATGATAGGATCCACTGCTGAACTGGGCCTCGTATACCTATTGCCTCTAATTTGATTGGTAAATACTAGTGCTTTATGGTGTCGAATGCACGCGACAGGTCAAAGAAAGTCCTCCTACAACTTTGTTTTCGTTGATATTATCATATATATATTGTGTCAAATCAACAGATGATGTCTCCACTGAGTGGTTAGGTCGAAATCCATGCTGAGATGAAGTAATAAGATTATATTTATTTAAATAGTTGATTATTTGGTTGTACACCGCTGTTTCCATTATTTTGGAAAAACAGCTGAGGAGGCAAATCATCCTATAATTTTCAACACACTGTGTATTCCCTTTTTTGAATATAGGAATCGACTTTGTGATTTTTAGTGCATTTGGGAATGTTATATTTCTGATTACGTAGGACTTAGGTTAACATTTCTAAAAGAGTCATTAATGACATATAGGTCAGATTTTCGTTCCCTTCCTCAACTCATTTTTCACCCTTTTTCTGTTGTCTAACTAAAGCTGCCTCTTTCTCACTTCGTCCATATCTTTCTTGATATCAGTGTATCTCATTTAACCATGTGTGGGACACTGAAGTTTATTAAAAAAATTCAAATAAACAGTGATCAAAAAAAACACTCAACAAGGTATTGTATTTGTTCACAATTTCCTATAGAACATAAACAATCCATCTCTATTATAAAAACACCTTTATAACAATTCATTTGACATCCTTCATATCTCATCTCTACTTTCTCTTTCTCTCTGTCTTTCTGATCCGCACCTCAATTCTACAGCACTTTCCCATCTTTTTTAACTGACAATATCCATATCGCCTCTCTCTGGAAATCGTTCACTCTCTCTATCTCAAATATCTCTCTTTTTCAGGACACTCTCCTCTCCTTCTCATGTTATCTTTCATTGAAAATAATTGCTCTCTTTCTCTCTGTGACAATCTATTTCTCTGTCTCTTTGGCCTTCTTTACAATTTTTCATATCTCCATCTATCATCTCTCTTTCTGAAAAGACTTTTATGAAATACTTCAAATCTCAATTGATTACCCTTCCATCTCTTTGTCAGACAATATTTCTACCTCTTTGGCAACTTCCCATATTTATGTTTGACAAATCTCTCTAACATACCTCTCTTTAACAATATCTCAATCTCTTTCATTATGCCTCTTTTTCTTCTATTGTTTCACTCTCCTATATTCTTTCACGCACCTCATATCTCAATCAATAACATACCTCTCTTTGACAATATCTCAATCTGTTTCATTATGCCTTTTTTTTTCTTTTATTGTTTCACTCTCCTATATTCTTTCTCACATCTGATATCTCAATCAATCCTCCCTTTGTTTCTGACACTGTCACTTCTCTGACAATTTCAATCTCTCTTCTGTCTGACAGTATCTCCATCCCTCTGACATTTCTTTTTCTGAACATATCTTCACCTATATCTGACAACCACATTCTCTCTCATACTCTGGACTAATTCAATATATTTTCTCTACCCCTCTTTCTGACAATATTTCTTATTATCTGGCAAACTCTATCTCCTTTTTCTGTCTGACAATATCCCTATCCCACATTCAGAATATCTCTAGCAGACTTCTTTCTCTTTCTATAGACATTCCTCTTCTCTCCTGGTGAATTGTTCTTTCATGCCTTTCTCTGACAACCTTTTTGTATGTCTTTTTAACTCTTCCACCTTATTTAAATACAATAATATTGAACTTACCATTTGGTTCGTTATTGACAGCCGGACTTAGTTGTGAACTTGAAGATGCCCTTCCATGCGAATTTTCGTATTCCATAACTTCCTGATAGATCAACTCTTTCCACTGTTCGACGGTGTGTTCTCTCTCGTCAACGCTGTGGTCGTAAGGACCAGGTGCCGGCTAAAACATCATTAAGATGTATTTACATATTCCGTGTCTAATTTGTTCAAAGGTTTGCCTTTCATGTTTTCACAAACTACCATTAGATGGTGCTACTGAAACGTATTGTTGAAAATAGCCATATAGGACGAAACTGCAGTAATGTTAGTTACAAATAAAAGTGGTAAAAAACATAGAAATTTTCATTTCTCTTTTCATATTGTTGTCTTCATTATCTCAAGAAACATTAAATGTTTATAAATAGGGAATAAAAACTAAATATACACATTTTACAAAATAATGACAAATCAAACAACATTCATTTCATAATAAGCTTTGAAAACTAAAATACAAATTTAACAAAGATAATAAAATATTCGATTAGAAAACACAAGTAAAATACTTAATGTGAGCAAACACTCAAACGTGAAATTATCTAGATTGAATATTAAAAAAATGTTGATGACTCTGGCTATAAGAAAACTTGTTTAAATCTGTACTTAAATTCAATTTATTGTATACTTTTTCAATTGATATCTGAATTTAACAGCAGTTGCAGATTTTTTAATTTCTTTAGAAGTCGTTTTATAAATTATAATTCCATCATGACAAATTGATTTCTGTCCAGAATTATGAATGGACTGAACCGTTACTTGATGAAAATTAATCACACTATCCATGATAATAATTAAACAATTTTCATAAACATTTTTATTTCTAGACACGCTTTGCTAACACCGTAGCTTACTCGTTAGAAATAAAATCCATTCCTGCCGGAAAACAATTACTTCACCGGCTAATGCCACAGAGATTGGTCTCGCAGATGTTTCTCGTTCATCCAGTAGCAGGACCACGCTCGAGGAGATAATCAATCCTGCACTGATGGGAGGTAATACCTTGAAACCAGTCTGTAGGTGATCTACTAGATTGATTTCAGCGTGGACCTGCTGCTGGGTGGATGAGAAACATCTGCAAGACTAACCTCTGTGAGATATCTCGCATAAGTGTCTGTCGGATATAATACAATATCTAGCGTGGTATTGGCCGGGGCAGTAATTATTTACCAGCAGGCATTTACCAAAACTTAGAGAAAGATGAATATTTCGAGATTTCATTTCAGGATACTTATTTTTTTATAAAACTGTAATAGCTAGCTAGCTACTTCTATTTTAGTGTTTAATGATGACAATTTTATATTTATAGTAAGATGGATTGTACAATTTCCATCTTTATCTATTGCTATGATAATTTTTCGGTTGTAGTAAAAATAGATAGATCTTTATTTGCTCCGGTTACATATAATGTACATATATAAACTCCAACGAATGTGGAACATATCAGTAACAAATAACAACTAAATAACAAATCAAAGCTTCACATACATAATCAACATTATCACACACGTAGTTTTGAGACAAAAAAAATATATAAAATCAGGCATAAATAAATAACATTCATATAGTTAGCATACTATCATTTAAGAATTCCTGCAAGCTATAATAAGGTTTTTCTAAGAGGTAGTTCTTCAAACGACATTTTATTGTTGAAATTGGAAGATTTCTTAGAGTGAGTGGATATTTATTGTAAATGTTGCATATATAGTATAGTTAGTTGTATTTCTCATTTCTAAGATCATTTTTTGTTCTGGTGATCTATACGTGATCCTTTTCACAGTTAATGAAAAGTTCTGATTTATTTTCTGTTACAAATACTACTGCTTCATATATACAGGGCTTTTCATGATGAGCGTTAATTAGTCGTTTCTGACAAACTATTTAACGGATCAACCTGAAAATTTCACAGTATGTATAAATCAATATGACCTACACGCATAAAATATTGTATTATCTCGAAAACGGTTCAAAATAGAAATAGTATTATCTAAACAAAGTTATTCTAAAATTGGATGTAGAGCTCAAAAATGTTGAAATATACAGGGTGTTCCATTTGAAAAAACTGAGTTCCACTCATTTTTTCATGAGATCAAAGTATCTGCATTTTTTGAAGACCCTGTATGAGGCAAATGAAAATATGACTCGGAGTGACGATCCTCATAGTATCACTCCACTCCATTTCAAATTTGATCGTTTTAGTGCAAGAGAGTTCAAGATTATTAGCATTTATAAAAGTTCATGTTTGGTAAAAAAAATATCGAAATTAATTTATATCTTCTAAACGGTAATAGATAGGTATAGAGAAATAGTATATGAATTTGTTGACAAAGTGATAATGAATCATAATATAATATTATATACGGGGTGTTCCATTTGAAAAATCAAAGAAGCCGCTACTTTATAGTAGAAGCGACAACGCCTCTTCGTCTGAAATATTTTAGGCGTGTAGGTCATACTGACTTATGCATACTGCGGAATTTTCAGGTTGATCCGTTGAATAGTTTGCCAGAAACGGCTAATTAACGCTCATCATGAAAAGCCCTGTATAGAGATTTATTAAAGTTAAAATTTTGCTCGTAATAAAAGCTTCTCTGCAGCTACCGTTTTTTTTCATCTTATAGATATACCTAATACATTTTTTTGTAGTATGAGATATCAACAGAATTTCCCTAGAATATAATTCCATATTTTATTAATTGATTTTATAGATTGAATATAAGCACGGTATGCAGAGAAGACAGCTTCGGTTGAGAGATGTTCCAACAGTATTCTCAATGCATAGTAATATTTTGCAATATTTTTTAATAAGTAGTCTATGTGATTTTTCCAGTCCAGTCTCCTATCTATCAACAGTACCAAATATTTTACCTGATTGCGTAATAATATGTTTATATTTTGATTATTATATTCAAAGGTATTCAACTCTGGCAAGGATCTATTTGCGAAATGAAATATTTTAGTTTTGGCAATATTAAATAGTAGTTCATTTGCTGTGAGGAAATTGTTTAATACATCTAGCACGTTTGTTGTCTTTGTCATGACCAAGTGAGAGTTCTTTTCTTTTACAATGACCGATATATCATCTGCATATAATACAATATCTTTATTAACTACGTTTGGTATTTGATTTGTGTACAGTAGATATAATAATGGGCCTAGGATGGATCCCTGTGGCACACCTTTTTTATCACAATTGATTATGATTTAATGCCTTTGATTCCACATTTATAAAGTTTGTTGCATAAAATTTTATGGCTGACAGACTATCAAATGCTTTTGACAGGTCAATACACAAAGTTACAGTACAATCATCTTTGTTCAAATGATGTACATTTTTTTCAATGGCTTGATATATTGCTTGTATGGTTGATTTACCTTTACGGAATCCATTTTGTTCTTTCGCTAACAACATATTATCATCTAAAAACTTGATTAAAAGTTTGTTCATGAGCTTTTCAAAAATTTTATTGGGATTTGGCAATAATCATATGGGTCTGTAGTTACTTTCTTCATCTCTGTTTCTTTTTTTAAATATAGCTTTCTAGATACCATTTTTAATAATTATGGAAATACTGCTTGTGAGAAACATAAATTTATGAGTCAAAGGATAGGCTACAATCTATAAAATAAGGGTGAATAAAAATAATCTATAGAATAAAGTTGTATATTCCGTAATATACACCATTATAGTAAATAAATGAATAAAATAAATTCACTTTAAGAAGCGAATATTTTTAATAACAATAAAACTGTAGTAAAAACACTCATTTCATAATTTTTGTGAAAACTTGAGAGGTGACCCTCTTACTACTTTCAAACTATACAAGTCAATAAAAACATCATGCTTAGTACCACCAATACTGTCTAAGTTCTACTCACATTTGGACTTACCGCATTGACTTCTTGCTCGTCATACCAGACGTTGATGTAAGGATGGAGCAGAGCATCGTCCACAGATATTCTACTCTGTGGATCGATGACTAGCATCTTGGACAGCAAGTCTCTGGCCTGGCAAGCTTTCAGTTTGTTGTGTTCGCTGCTGTCGGAAGGAAATAGCACGTCCGGAAAGAGTTTCTCGAAGGTGAAGCCCGGGAAACGCGGTCTGTTCTCCACGTAGTTGCGAACTGTTGGCTGCAGTCGCACCATGAACTGATGAGAGGGCGTACCCAGTTGTTCTAAAGAGAAAATATGGGTTACAAAATCACTAATCAATCAATGATAGCAAAACAGTTCTCATGATTCAGGGAAACACTTATTCATCAATTAAGTGTAATGAATGAATACGTTTATTTTAGGAAATCCTAATATACATACAATAATAATAATATACAATAATAATGATAATAAATCAGTAAACAATAATAATATGTCCATAAACAACAATAATAATAACTAATAACTAGAATCATACATATGCTTGTAACCTAACAATGTTGAGAAATAAAATAGAAAAGTAAACAAAATTCAAAGTTAACTAACCTAGATAAGACTATATTAACAATTTAAAACATACTGATACATGATAGTAAATGTTAAGATTTAAGACTACTGATGTTCTGCATCATTCAATCTTTTCCTACAAAATTGTGTTTGTTTTGATACAGTTGTTCAGTTTATATTTAAATGTAAATGAAATGAAGAATAAATTGTTTGAAATGGATAAAAACTACTCTGATTTAATGACCAAATACAAAGAACAAATCGATGTCAATAAAGGACTACAAAACGGAATAAGAGACCTGAAAAAACAACTAAACCATGAAATTAATGTCAGGGAACAGAAGGAACTTAATAACAAAATTATTATTAAGATAATTCCGGAGTCAGAAAGTGTAGAAAACTTAATGGAGATCGTGAAAAAAATGGGTAGTATACAGACGGAACATAAAAATCTTAGAGTATATAGGCTTGGAAAAGGATCCAAATATCCAGCACCAATAAAGGTCTGTTTTGAAAATCCACAAAGTAAGGAGAAGTTTGGCAAGTTACCAGAAGAAAGAGAATTACTACCAAAGATCTCGGTTTCGATAACCCTTCGATTGAACCTATATACGTTGACCATGACCTTACAAAGAGAAAACAGGAGCTATATAAAAAGACTAGGAATTTCAGATAGGAACACAACTTCAGATTTATTTGGGTCAAGGATGGAAACATTTTCCTGATGAAGGACGAAGGTAGCAAAGTTAACCTGAATAATGACGAAGATGACTTAAAAAACTAGTTCTTAGGCTGGCAATCAAACTTCTCAATTGTTATGCTAATAATATGCAAAGTTTGCGTAATAAATTGGACGAACTACATTGTTTTATAAAAACAAATGGCTGTGATATCTTGGTATTGACGGAGACATGGCTGTCTGACAATGAAGTTCAATTTTTTGATCTAGATGGATTTGTGGCTGTTCATTCCTGCAGAGAAGGAAGAGCTGGAGGTGTTTCGGTATATATTTGTGAACATATTGATTTCAGTGTGATAGAAAAAGTTGATAGTTCTGATCAATATAATTTAATGACAGTTTTGTTAAAATCTTTAAATCCGCAAATATATGGTATTTATAGACCACCTAAATATCAGTTTAGGGAATTCATCGATGTATTTCAGAATATATTATGTAACAAAAAAAATAAAACTATTGTACTGGGAGATATGAATGTCAATCTCCTGAATGAAGATTCAGAGGAAACAAAAGAATACATTGATGTGGTAACTATGAGTGGTTTTAGAATAACATAGTTGACCAGAATAATGCAACTCGACAAACAAGCAAAATGAATTCTCTACTGGATCATGTCCTGGTTAATAAAAATATTAAGTGTGATGTCTCAATATACAACTATGCTCTGTCTGATCATGAGCCATTAAATATCAATGTAGATATTGAGCCTGTATACTATAAACCAAAGATACTAACAAACTTTAGTGTAGTTAAGCAAAATTTATTCAAACAAAAATTTAGGGACGCGTCACAAAATTGTGAATCCATTGACACAATGGATACGCTAACAAAGGTAATAAATGCATGTAAAGAAAGTTCTAGTTATCAGATAAAATTAAAACATCGCAAAGAATGATTGGATGACCTATGATCTATTGAACTTAATAAAAGAACAAGATAGTATATATAAAAAAATAAATGGAACAAATCCAAATTCTGAAAATATAAATAAATTGTGGATGGACTTTAAAGTATTCAAAAATAAAGTTACCAATGAGATAAGGAGACAAAAATCAATTTATTTCAAAGCAGAATGGCAAAAGGCAGGTAACAATGCAAAAAAACAATGGAGATTAATAAACTCGATAATAAATATAAAGAAGAAAAAAAACGAGTCAATTAAATTAGTTACAGATGATAGAACTATTACTGACCCTCAATAGGTGGCAAATATGTTCAACAGGTATTTTACTAGCATAGGTCAATCAATTATTTCCAATATAGATATTAATATAGAAAGTGTAGATTTTGAGGAACTATCGTGTGGCAACTCAGTATTCCTAAAGGAAACCAATGCTAAAGAGGAAACTCATAGTTGCACTCAATAAAAACTCTGCAGCAGGGCACGACAACATATCCGTTAAAGAAATAATATTAATTGAAAAAAATGTCATTTCCATACTCGTTAATTTGATAAACGATATTTTCAAAGCGGGGATAGAGTAGAGTAGAGTCGAGTAGAGTTTATTCTCTTGTGTGACAATTGAAAAAATTTGTATACAGTCGTCAAAAAAATAGTAAAAGGAAAATTTTGTACTTGCAGAAACAAATTTTAAGCTATTTAAAATGTAAAATAAAGTTATATATATACACAAAAATAACCTATGTAAAATAGTAGGAGAACTTAGTTATAATACATTACTGTTACTTAGTCATGTTCCATTAAGTATGAACTCTTCACTTTTATAAAACACATTTTCTTTAAGAAAACTATTTACCCTTTTAGCAAATTTAACTAGGACTAGTTCCTTCCACTCGTTTGGTATCATATTGTAATATTTAATAGACAGAAATCTGAAAGACTTGAGATTCTTGGATAAGCGAAAATACGGCACTATAACGGATTTATATCTGGTATTATATTTATTTTGAACAGTATAACTGGAAATGTTTTTCTTGGCAAAAAGTAAGCATTCATAAATTCCCGAGATACTGAAGACTGGAAAAGTAATACCAATATTTAAGGGTGGTGATAACAAAAACTTATAACCTATAACAATTGTGTGCTCATTCTCTAAAATTATTGAAACTAATAAAAGACAAGAAAAATAGACTTTGTTGATCGTTATGTGGGATTTGATGAGTATCAGTATGGTTTTATCAAGGGTAGCAGCACTCTAAGCGCTACCATAGATTTCATTCATAATATTACATCGGAAATGGATAAAAAAAGAATGGTTATTGCAGTGTTCATTGATTTAAGAAAGGCATTTGACGTTGTTGACCATACTGTTCTTCTGAACAAACTATGTTGCATGGGTATAAGGGGCAAAACTTATTCTCTCATTGAGACATTTTTAAAGGAAAGATCCCAGTTTGTCGTTGTTGGTGAGAGCATGAGTGAGTATATAAAAATTAATTGTGGCGTACCACAGGGTTCCGTTTTGGGGCTCCTTTTCTATACACTGATGGTACTGTCACTGAGGCAGGCCAGTCTTAAGGGAAGGTATTTCACGTTCGCCGATGACACGGTCCTTTTGTACAGTGAATATGATTTACATTTACTGGAGAACACAGTTAATGAAGATCTCTCTAAATACTCAAATTGGCTTGCACATAATAAACTCAAGGTGAACTCTGCAAAAACCGTTTACATGCTATTTAAAAAAAATAGAATTTGTGGCAGCATTTCTTTTTCACTCTCGTTGCTTTGCTTTTGATTTTGTATGTTCTCGGTTTTTTCACAGCATATCACTTTGTTTTCCGATAATACCTTCAATTGTTGGTTCCTTTTCGCACAACTTTTTTGATAAATCGCGAAACAGTTTATACAAACTTTTACTCCACATTTTTGGTTCTCACAGCACTTCATAAAGTGTTCAATCTCCGCTTTTTCAGAGCTGTCCGACAATACATCTTCATTGTCGGCCATCTTGTTTCGAAGATCCAAAGATGATCCAAAATCTTTCTGGAATTTCATTAATTCAAAAAACAAAACTCAAGAATTCCTGGTAAAATGAACTATAACAATCAAGAACTAGAAAGCCCTCAAGATATAGTAAATGCGTTTGCCGAGTTCTTTAGCAGCGTGTTTCTTCCTTACATTTCAAATCCAAGAGATCGTTCGGAATCGGTAAATAATAGTCAAAATATCAACATCACAAATATTTCGGTAAATGAAGTGAGAGAAGCGATAAAAAACCTCAAGAACAAAATAACTTCCGGTTTTGATTCCATACCATCTTTCATAGAGAAAGACTGTAACTCAGTCTTAGCTTCTCCTCTCTGTTACCTCTTTAACTTATCAAGTTTCTCAACTTCTGAGAGTTGTCGTTCGTATGGGAGTGACAGCTGAATAACGGAAAAACAGATTTTAAGACAGACTTAAGCAACGTTTCCCGATGTTTGGAAACTTGCCAAAATTCGCCCAATTATAAAGAATGGGGATGTTTTAAACATATCAAACTACAGAGCAATTTCAATTATCTCAAACTTTGTTTGAAATTATCTTGTATAAACACATTTACTTGTCAACACACAACCAAATTAGTGAATTTCAACATGGTTTCATGAACCACCGCAGCACTGAATCAAATCTAGCATTGTTTTCCCACTACGTATGCTCAACATTGGATAATCAAGGACAGGTGGACGTGATATACACAGATTTCTCAAAGGCCTTTGACAAAATTTATCATAGCATCTTACATTCGAAACTGGATCTTATTGGCCTTAGTAATGAGCTACTTGGATTTTTTTAATCGTACCTTTTTAACCGTAACCAAATAGTTTATTACAACGGATACAAATCAAACACAATAATTGCTAAGTCTGGCGTACCTCAAGGATCGAATTTGGGACCGCTGTTGTTTTTGATATTTATCAATTATTTAAGCACACAAATAAATTCTATGAAACTTTTTTCTGATGATCTGAAAATACTGAATTCTATTCAAAATGTGAATGATTGCATAACACTTCAGGAAGATATAGATAATGTGCAGGCTTGGTGTGAAATTAATAACCTACATTTAAATATAGGTAAATGTAAAGTCATGTCATATACTAGAAAACATAGACATATTGAACATTCATACAATATTCAAGGTAATTTGCTAACCCGTTGTGTGGAGACTAAGGATTTAGGTGTATTTTTTGACTCTAAAATGGCATTTGCCAATCACATAAACAAAAAAGTTTCCGAAGCCAATAAAATGTTAGGATTTATCACACGAAATTGTCAAAACTTCACAAATATAAACGCCTTGAAGATATTATATTTCTCATATGTCAGATCCAAGCTTGAATACTGCTCAATTATTTGGAGCCCCTACTATTTCTGTCATGAGAACTTAATTGAAAAAGTTCTTCTCAATCACTTTCAATTAATTTCTTTAGAAAAAAGGAGATGTGCTTCAATAACCTTTTTGCATAAACTACTGCACGTAGACTGCCATTTGCTCCTGCCAGAACTGAACTTTAGGGTGTCAAAAGCTCAGTCACGGCTGAATCTCACATTTTACTGCTCTGCAGCATAAACTAACATAATATCGCATTCTCCAATTAAATATATGTGTGAAAACTACAACTCAATATGCAGCTTTTGAGATATTAATACTTGCTCAGCGAATCATATAAAAAAAGTTGCAATGGAAATCTTAAAGTGATATCAAAACTGTTTTTTCCTTTTTTGTGTTGTGAGAGAGTCAGTTATTATAACCACTCTTACCAAGTAGCGCAATGAATAGTTATACTATCAGTTTTTTTCTTTTGTTTTAGTTTTCTTTCTTTTGTTTTCTATTCGAAGTTATATATCATTGTTATGTTATATTCATATAGTATGTCAAGAATGAACATGATTTGTTAATTTATTTTATCTATTATCAGTACCCCGCAATTGACTTTTTCCATACCCGAGCATTCTGTAGTTTTGACCATTTGTTTTCTTTTTGATATGTATGATTGAATCCACTGGTAGGAAAGACCCCTGAAACCATAGTAGTGAAGTTTTTGCAGCAGAATTTTATGATCAACGCAATCAAATGCTTTAGACAGATCACAAAACACTGCCGCAACCCCTTCGCCACCATTGATTCCAGTGTAAATTTCAAAAAGTGTGTGAAAAATTTCACTGAATTCCAATTCAGTGAAAAAACAAGAGGTAAGCAAACTCACCGATTATTTTATTCCATTGATCGATGTGATCTGTGCCAGGAAACAGGACACCTCCACGTATCATCTCGCCCATGATACATCCAACGCTCCAGATATCCACGTTCTCTGTGTAACCCATCCCTAGGATAACTTCCGGGGCACGATAGTATCGAGTCACCACATACGGTGTCATCATGAAAGTTGTTCCTGCAGTTCTGGCCAAACCAAAGTCCAAAATCTTCAGCGTGCAGTCAGATTTCACAACTATGTTGCTTGGTTTTAAATCCTATGAAATCGAAAACATTATAAAACATTGAACATTGGCTGAAAGTAAGTTATTCTCACTCTGTGTATGATTCCAGCCGAATGTAAGTGTTTAATGCCGCAAAGCATCTGGTACAGCAGATAACTCATTCTTTCGTGGTCCAAATCCATCTGAATGACTTGACAAAGATTGGCATCCATCAATTCCATAACTAAGTAGACATCCTGGAATTCCTCAAGAGTTCTTTGAGGAGTGAAGGCATTCAACAGACCAATTATCTACGAAATAAACTGCCATCAGAATGAATCAAACTAAATCACATGATGATAAAGGCATAATTGAAAAAAAAGTTTCAAGGTATATTCACTTGGAATAAGAAACTTTTTCTGTCAGCTTAAGTATATTTATTATGAAGTCAATAAACTGTCTTGGATTCAACAAACAGTTCACTTACATTCTTGTGATTTACTAGCTTCATGAGTTTGAATTCTCTGTATGCCCTTTTGGCATGTGTAACATTTTGAAAAGGTCGGCTGAGTTTTTTGATTGCCACATTCTGTTGAGTCACTGTGTCCAATGCAGCACTGAAAAAATATGAATTTTAAAAAACTATCAAAATATTCAAGGTCTGTTAAAAAAAATGTGAATGTTCAAATTTCGAGGGCCACATACATTTTTTATTTTTTTCAAGTTGTACACTTGTCCCGAACAACAGTTTCAGCTGTTGTGCTCGGGTGAGCAGTCATCACCCGAAGACGATTGTGGATACTAACAATCGAAACGTCGTGAACTAACTTGGCTTGAAATCTCTCGACTTTTTTATTTTTATCTTTATTTTCATTTTGTATTTCTTTGTTTTTATTTTTTGTTCAATTGTTTTATTTTCACTTGTATTTTATTTCACTATTATTTCATTTCAAATTTTTTTTGCTTAATATAATTGTTATTTACACCTATTTATTTTTAATTCTTCTTTTTTAGTTGTTTCAGGGATTTCAAATCATTTTATGTATTAGACAATGGAAGTCCGAACTAGGGAAATGCATTTTGTCGAATTACTAGGGGCAATTGAAGTCACAGGGCAAGGTCAATCAATGGGCTTTGACGTGGAAAGCCTCTTAACCAACGTTCCTGTCGAAGAAGCACTTCAAATCATACAGAGGTAGCTATCCAAAGACAAGGACCTGGAAGACAGAACGAACTTTCTAACAGAAGTAATCATGGAATTACTAGGATGCTGTTTACGGAACCGCTATTTCCAACTGAAGGACGAATTCTTCACGCAAGATGAGGGATTGCCAATGGCATCGCTACTTTCACCATTAATGGCCAACATACAAGAAAGAAAGAAAGAAAGAAATTTTATTGATGCTTTACACTCTTCATGTTTACAAGTCAGGTGGGAATATACTAGTAAAATAGGTAAGTCATGGTTATAATTACATCTACATAATATAAAAGGTTTAAACTTAAAGTTATAAAATATTTATGCTCTACCTGTGTGTCACTGAAACATCCGCAAAGAAGAGACCACATCATCAGACAGGAATTCTTCACGCTTCATACACTTTTTTGATAAGTAGTTTTTTTATTATTTGTAGGAATTTTTTAGTAGGGGTACAGCATATAGCTTCAGGAATTTTATTGAAGAATATTGGACCATAATAATTGTTATAATTTCTGATTTTAGACAACCTATGATACTATAGAACTAAATTATTTTTTTGTCGGGTATTATGTAAATGAGTAGTGGATACATAGTCATAAGTTTTTATATTGATTTTTATAAACTCAGTGCATTCATAAATGTATAGTGACGGTATAGTTAAGATACCAAATTTTATACATTTTTCTCTAATATCCTCCCTATAAGTAAGAGAGAGTATATATCGAATAGCTCGTCTCTGGATGCTAAAAATTCTTTCAGTATGTGCCGATTGGCCCCAACAGAGAAATGCATACAGAACTAGTGACTGAAATAAAGCATAGTAAGCCTTTAATAGTACTTTATTGCTAACAATTTTGGCCAAGTTTTTTAGGAGATAAGTTACCCTGTATAGTTTTTTCGCTAAATAATCAACATGAGATTTCCATGTTAAAGATTCTGTCTGAAGTACGGCAGCTCAGTTTCATTTAAATGTTATTCATTTAAATTGAAGAGACCTATGAAAGGACGGCGTTTCGCGACGATTGAGGTGATGAAAACCGAAGTGCTGAGACGACTTAAGGACATACTAAAAACTGCATATCAGATTCGAGGATTGGAAAAAACGCTGGCACAAGTGTATTATATCTATGGGGAACTACTTTGAAGGAGACAAAATAGAAATTGAATAAATAAATATATTTTCTGCGAAAAATTAAAATTCACATTATTTTTTTAATAGATCTCATACTTTGTATATTAAATCCTACATCATATGAAAATTATCCAAATTTTCCTGGAGACATTTTCAAGGTACTCACCAGACGATACCCTGGGCTCCTGAGCCTATAGGCTTCAAGTTTTGGTATCTCTTCAAAATAGTAAACTTTGTGTCACCCACCTCAACGGTGTAAAACTGGAATGGTCTCGACATCTTTTGTTGTTAGCTTTGGTAAATCGAAGCCATTGTCTGAAAAAAATCAAACCTACTGGATATTTTAACGTTATATCAACAGAAAAATGATTTTGGCATTGTGAACAAAAGTATATCAGCAGTTCATTACCAATAGATATCTGTTTATGTTTCTGATATACTATTAATATCAAAAGTGATTCGAAAACTAGCAACTTGCAACATTCAAATCAAATCAAATCAAATCAAAGCATGCTTTATTATCTGAAGAATAGAATTCTTATTGACAAAGCTCCTAAATATAATAGTACATAAATTAATACAGTTAATATGTACATACATATATAGTCATACATACACACCTACCTTTAAAACTATTTAGTGAGAGACATAGATACGACATATTTTGTACTGCTGTCACAGCTATTCAAAATTTTGTTCAAAAAATTCCTTCAAATCATAAAACGGTCTTGTTATTAAAAATTTTTTTACAGCCCTTCTGAATTTCGGAGTGCTATGAATATTTTCAATTTGCTTCGGTAGATGGTTGAACATTTTCGTACCATTGTAAACAATTGAATTTTGGTATTGGGTGGTTCTGGGGACTGATAAAGGTATATATTGGCCATTTGCCCTAGTATTACGTGCAGTGTCAGATTTTAATAAATGTAGTTTATGCTTATGAACTAAACTAGTTGATTCTAGCATGAAAATTGATGTTAACGTGAGTATCCTGTGAGATGTAAATAAGGGTTTACATGAAGTTTGGTGATTAACATGGCATAAGTATCTCAGTGCTCTCTTTTGTAGCTTAAAGATCATTGAGAACAACGCTTGTGAGCAGGCTCCCCAAAATGCTATCCCATATCTGATGTGAGATTACAGGAGAGCAAAGTAGGCTTTTCTACCAATAAGATAACCGATGTCATTTCTAATAACTCTGATAGCATAACACCCAGATGACAATTTCTCTGCCATTGCCATAATATGCTCATCAAACTTTAAATTATGGTCCAATACAACACCTAAGAATCTGTAATTATCAGATTTCATAAGTGTATCATTATCTAGTTGTATTTTGTCGATGTCCCATTTAAATGATAACACTTTAGTTTTCTTAGAGTTGAAGACCATTTGATTGGCATCGCACCACCTTTTTATTTCAGTTAGATCTAAGGACATCAATTGGCTGAGAATATTCTTATCTTTAGTGTGCCACTCTATAGTTGCATCATCTGCAAATAAAGTGAACCTACCACTAATATTCAAGTTCGTGAGATCATTCACATATATCAAAAATAATATGGGCCCCAAGACAGAACCTTGTGGAACTCCGCTGGTCAATTTTGTTTCCTCAGATACTGCACCCGAAACTTTCACATATTGTTCCCGGTCTTGCATTACTTGACAATAGAGAGAAGACAAATTATGTTGAAAGTTTTTATCTCCAAATTGGGCATTCTACTGGTGTTGTTGAGAATAATAACAGTTGCTGCTTACAACTGATCTGATCTCAAAACTATTCCCACCAAGTTGAACAAACCTGTATTTATTTTACTTTAATTTACAAAGGGAAATATAAATCATGAATAATAATTGGATTTTTGTATTTTCTTTTCTGTGACCTACATCTTGCATCTCTCGATACGTGTTTCGCTAATCAAGTTAGCATCATCAGAAGGTAAATAAAACTAAATCCTTGCAACTAAGTTACAGCCTTTAATATACATCTGAAGAAACCATTATCTTTGGTATTAAGGTCATTAAATGATTTCTTAGTACTAATTATTGTGTTAGTTTGTTATTGTATCTTAATCCCTAATTGTTATATTAATAACGAACTGCTACTGTCTACGACTTCCAGCAGGGGCCGGCAAACACAAGCACTACAGAAAAATCCTTAAAACAGCGAAAATAGCGATTCACATTGGATTTGAATCGCTGAAGATTCAATCCATTTGGAAAAACGTTCTCAGGCAGTTTATCCGCATAAACACAGTTCTCCAGATGAAAGAGTTCTTAAACAGTGAAGTTCGGGATGTACTGAGTTGAACCTCAAAATGATGAGCAGCCACAGTCCGTTATGTATTTCTGATATGTACAGTTCTTGTTGGAATCAAACATACCAAATCACTTGAACACTTCCCGTGAAAGTATCTATAGAAGAAAGACAAATTTCCAACCTTTCTTCGATGTTTCAGGCTATCAAGGTTGCACATGATGTCCACTTCCCCAATCAGGCGGATGGCGCTTTTCTTGATGGAATCCAGCAACTTCAGAGTATGTTTAGGGGCAGAGCTCCATACATGAGAACAATACTCCAAAGAAGGTCTGATCTGAGCTTTATAAGGTGAGGTGTGTACAGTTTTACGGTTCGGAAATGGTGAAAGTATTTTTAGAGATATTCATCGAGGGCCACTTGCAGGGAACGTTCTTTCAGGAAGCTGAAGAGCCACACACAAAAATGATCCAACAAGCCATAGCATCAAAGTTTGGCCAGCTCTTGATTCTCCATGTTTCTCGATTGCATTATTCCAAATACGGGTGACATATTATTGAAATTATTGAAAAAATCATAAAAAGGCGGCTAAGTTACTTTCTCTATAATAATAACATATTGAGTCCCCAGCAGTATGGGTTTCAAAACAACAAAAATACAAGTGATGCAATTTTTAACTTTTTGCATAAGATATGAATTCTGGTGCTGTATTCTGTGACTTTTCCAAGGCATTTGACCTCGTTGATCACGGAATCTTACTGCGGAAGCTGAAACATTATGGTTTTGAGTACAGAAGCATTAAATGGTTTGAATCGTACTTATTGCATCGAAAGCAAATTATAAGACTCTCAACCGACTCAAATGTAGGAGAAATCAAAGCAGGTGTCCCTCAAGGTTCCATCCTAGGACCCATCTTGTTTCTATTGTATATTAATGATATAACACAACTGGATCTAACTGCTAGCATCACATTATTTGCAGACGACACAACGTTGCTGTGGCAGGGAGAAGATCCTACAAAACTAGCTCAAGATGCCACTGTAGACATGGAAAAAATTAAGAGCTGGTGCGACTCAAATAAGCTTTCTTTAAACTTTGATAAAACCCATCTCCTCACCTTCAAATGTGAACTCCCACCTCTTAGTTTGAATAACAACATTCTCGAGATGAAATTGTCCTCCAAATTCTTAGGACTTCACATTGATAATAAGCTTAAATTTGAGGATCATATTATCGAGTTGAATAAAAAACTTGCGTCTGGCTGCTTTGTAGTGAAGTCAGTTTCGAAGGAACTGGGTAGAACCTTTGCAAGATCTGCGTACTTTGCCTTTGTGGATGCACATATAAGATATGGTATTGCCTTCTGGGGAGTATGCAGCAAAAGCATGCTACAGACTTTCGTTTTACAGAAGCGAGCTGTCCGGTATGTGTGCGGAGCACAGTTCCAAGATTACTGCAAACCATTATTCATTGAACAACAAATTCTGACAATAATATCTCTATTCATTCTTGAAATAGTAAGTCTGATTCATAAAAATATATCTGCTCCTGATAATATAAACGAGCCACACTATAATACACGTCAAGCTAACTTGATCAGACTTCCCCTGCCTACAACAACAATGGTGAAGGACTCATTGATATACAATGGAAAAAAGATGTACAACAAAATTCCCACATACCAGTTATTCTTTGAATATTTTCAGGAAAAAATTAAGCGACATTTTGATTGATAAAGCCTATTATAGTTTAGATGAATTTTACAATGACAACGCTTTTTATGATTTATAGTTTACTACTGCATGTCACTATAATATAGCATTTATTTTGTTTCATAAAGATGTGTTTCACACCCTATTTTATATAAATGGGCTTTTAGGAATTACTTTTATACTACTTTGACCTAGTTCATAATCGTTTGTCAACAAGAACTCTTTCTTAGGACAATAAATGTATTTCTCTCTCTCTCTATGATAGAAGGTCGCCTGTTGATATTTGTTTCCGAAAGCCATACTGATGATTGCTCAAGATGTTGAAGCCTTCCAAATATTTGGTTTACAACTTTATCTATGAGTTTTGATATCACTGATAGCAAAGCGACTGGTCTATAGTCATTTGGAAGATTTTTCTTGCCCTTTTTGGGAATAGGCTGAACGCGAGCAATCTTCCAACAAGAAGGAAAAACCCCTTTCTTGTAAGACAGGTTTAAAAGTCTGCAATCAGACAGGAAATTGAATAAAAATTGGTTAGAAGCGGTCTATTAAACACTTCTTGCACAATAGTTTGTTGCAGGGAAGTGTCGCTTTGATTCTGGGTAATTGTTATAAAACTTCTGATTTAACAATTTAGCAGTTAGAACTTCTGCTAGTTATTTTATACAATTACTCTATATCATTCCCAGCTTCAAGATTATTCATCACAAACAAAAAACATCGCATGGAAAAGAAATATTTCTGATCGTTTATTGGACTTGGTACCTTAATAACTAGATAAAAGGAACTAACATACCATAAGGAACCCATTTCATCTCCTGGTGATGGACGGCATTGCTTGGAAATCCTGTAAGCAAGTGGTAAAGTTATTTATTTAATTTATGAGTAAAATCAAATTGATTAAAAATTAATGAGTGAATGTGTTGTTAACTTTTCAATAGTAACAAATGATAAACATGAATTCTGAACTCAACTTGCAAATTAAGACTGGTGCATGACTAGACCCTTGTAGTCCTTCAAGTTGAAGAACACCGAAGTCTTACGAATTATACAAGATGGGGTGTGAAAATTCAGGTGAAATTCAACTTTCTTGGTTGACTTCAAGACAGATGCTAGGTTACATTTGAATAATAGTTCTATCAAAAACCAAAAGTACTTTTTGAATATTAACCCCTCATATATTTGTCAAAAAACAAAAATAGACCCTTGTCCAAGATAATTACATACCTATACCTGAAGTCGAATGATATTGCACTTGACATTAATCTCTATATTTTTGTCCTTTGAAAGTTCTCAACTCATCTACAATTTATTAAAGTCAACGTATTCAAATTTTTATTTTTCAGAACTAGAATATGAATAATAGATCTAAGTCAACAGAATTTCCATGAACTAGAATTTTTTTTCACTTCTAACCTAGTTTTGATTAATCAGCTGAGAGACATGTTTCATATATATTGAGCAATTGAAGACAGAAGAGCGCATTTTCTCCTCTTATTTTCGAATTGAAATCACTACATTTTGGTCAGAAATTAGTGAAGTTCAAGACAAAAGTACTTAAAAGTGTCAGATAGGATATAATCGATTTTGAGTCTGAAGTTGTTTACCCCTATAGCCAAATTAATGTATACCGCAGAAGGAAGATGAATATATGTGTACTTACAAATACTGCTTGGTAGCAAAGCTTTAGTCACGCTTGTATTGAACACCAAAATACGGTTTAATTTAACACAAAACATTAAATAAACAACAAAAGTTCAATAACACACACCACATAATGCTAAAAAACTCACTGTCATTTACAATGAGCAACTTAAATGACACTTTTGACAAATGTACGTCATATGGTCTTTTCGTTCTCGCTCTTCAGATTTGCTCTCATTCTAATCTTCACCAAAAACATTAGTAAAACAAAGATAAGAGATAGAGGAGTGACAGATCCAGTCGTCGATCAATGACCTAAAGGCGTTTTAGAGAATCTATAATTGCGAACCACAGAACTTAAAAGTTTAGTGTGAGTTGTGAGAACAATTGTATGATCAGTCTTCACTATGGATATAAATTCGAGTTATTTATTATAATATATATGATTTTCACCCTTTCATATTTCAATGATGCTTCACTCTTGATGTAATAGCATTAGATATGTTTTGTTGAAACTAATCTTATTCTTAATGGGGTCTTCCCACCGAAAAGAATTCGTTCTCTCTGCCCTATGGGACTTATTGAACAGGGGTAGTGAATAACTTCTGGCTCAATCTGGAATGAGATTAGTAACAGCTGAGCACGTCTGTTGGGAGCAACCAAATGATTTTTTTTATAATTGCATTTGTGTCTACTAAATGGAATGTTACTTCTTTGAAAAAAAAAATTAACCCTTTTTCAATACCCATATTCTATAGCTATGAAGAAAATTCTACGAAACGACGAAACACTAACTCTTGTCCGGGAAAGGTACTAGAGAAAATCATTGAAAACCGAGTAGAATGGCAATTAGAAAATCGCCAGCACGCCAGCTTCTCAGCCCATTTCAATCCGGTTTTCGGAATGATAAAGGGGTACATGATTATCTGAGAGCCCTATATTCTATCTGGCAATCAATGAATTCGCCGTTTTAGTACTTCTTGATGTCACCTCGGCATATGATGAAATGTATTGATTACAAAATTACAGGAACGATCAGTGGATGTTATTTTATATAAATTTCTACTCTCCAGTGGAACCTTATTCCAAAATTCAAGCATAGAACATAATGCATCATAAATTCACAAATTCAAAAAAATCTCAATATATAAAAATGAAATAAAATATTGTTCTTAGTTCACAATGAAAATTACAGTTCAATCTAATAAGGTACATTAACATCCTGAACAACTACTGCATTATCGATGTCTATCGAATGATTCTACTTCGTATTGCAAGATATAGAATATTCACGTTGAGAGAATGACGTCACAAAATGACAAGTTACGGCGTTGCCGGCATGTGCACTATTTAGAACTTTCAAATTCTTTTGTAATGTTAATTTGCTTTATTGCTATTAACCTTACTTAGTATTACTTAGTTGAAATACAAATTTCGACAATGCTTTAGGCATATTAAATATACGCAGATATCATCAGAGGAAATGATTAGTTCTGAAAAGAAAACGAAAGACTGACAGTTTTCGAGTTTTTTTTTTTCGATTCGGCAACGTCTGAAATTTAACTATCAGTTGAGCAACTTACAAAATGAAATTTTACTAGTTTTATTACTATTGAACGCATTTTATTGGGAATTTTTACGTTGTAATGTTGGATATACAAAATTACCAAAAATGACGTCATTCTCTTCTTAACGTAAATATTCTATATTTACGATTCCAGTGATAATTCGACTATCTCTCTCTCTCTCTCTCTTTATATATTTTGGATGGTTGTATAATTCAACAATCCAAACAATTCGATTTGTAATAATTCGATTATCAAAACAATTCGATTATGCATATCGCTATGTAGAACTAAAAAGTTAGGTTTAAGTTTTGTGGTGCACAATGATGTGATCTTGGAAAAATTAGCATATTGCTGACTGAATGTCAGGACATCAGGATGTCAAGAATTCGTCTGAATTTTCAGTACAAAAAGACAATGTCGAGTGGCAACCCTGTCCAAAGATCAAAGGTGGAACTTTGGTGCAAGCAAGCAACGTGATAATTAAAAATAAACTATTCGAGGTCCTGGATATTACTGTTACTAAGCACGTAGTACTAATTCAGAAATTCAGTGTTATTTATTATAAAGGAGTTAAGCAAAGGTACCGAACAAGTTTTATAATTTTTTCTTTGAATTCTACACTGTTTTTTCATTTCAGATGTTGAAAGTTTTCAACATATGGGTGGTTTAATTTAATAATAGTGGATCGATGTATGCATGAGATCACTGATCGTTTCTAGGCACTGTCCAAAGTTCTAAAATAGAGCATTTTCTTATTGGTTGGTCCCGAATAAACTTGAGGTGCATCTTGTATATGTCACTTGTCAATACATTTAGAAACCTAAAATGTCTGAGGATGATTTATCTGACTGTTTGGAAGAACCCAACATGGAAATCCAAATCAAAACTCTCATGGGAACTACATTTGATATAAAAGTTTCTGCAATGGATACAGTCGCTGATATCAAGAAAAAAATTTATCGAATTGAGGGTGAGTGTTTTTCTGTGAATTTGGCCCCAAGACATTAGCAATGAATACTGATATCTGTAACTGATTATCATTGCTGATTATATTATTAAGAATTGACTATTAGCTTCCTTAATTGAATATTTCCACTGTTTTTAATCACATTGATGAAAAAGTGTGTTGTGTATGTGTAATCATTGACAGTTCATATTTCAATTCAAAATGTACTATCAATAAAATTACTCACATCTAAAACAGTTAACAAATGTTCATTGAATATATAATCCTAAATAAATTATCTATTTGTTTCTGTTGGAAGAAATCGAAACTAATTTGTTGAATGATCTGAAAATATCATTTGGCTATCTTTAAATTTTGAATAGTCTTCTTTTATGTTGATTTGGATAGAATCCCAAAAATTAATCACTCCTGAAAATATAACCCTTTCAATTTAGTCCATTATAATGTATTCAAAAAACACTTTAATGTGAGATTTCAACTTGAAAGTTTACGAATCCGTGACATTTGTTTCGCTATATGATAGCATCCTTGGGCATCACAATACTGCTTATACAAATTTTGTGTGATGTTTTTATCATGCCGTGATACCTGCCTAACTTCTACATGAATAATTCATTACTTGAACTATTTACCTATCTAGGAACAACTCATAACAATGGAGAATAAATACAATTTTTACCTGGGATATCATTTTACCTACTTGTATGTTCTATCCTAATTACCAATTTCCTGATTGCAAACTAAATTCAATAAAGGGGAGCAATCAAATCTATTCGATCAATGAGCAGTAATCCCGAATTTTAACATCTATTGATTTCTAAACATTCCAAAAGGTTGAGCTTTGAACCTTTCTCTTCCAAATGCAATATGTCATAATCTTGATTGAACTCCTGTCCCTCTGCCAAAAGATGCTTTGCAAATGTTGAATTGGTCTTGCCATTCATAAAACTACTTCTATTCTCTTATTATTCTTTTGGAGTAAGTTTATCCGGTTTGTCCCATATAAAATTTTGGACAAGAACCACAAGTCAACTTGTATAGTCCCAATCTATCCGACACTGGAATTTTATCTTTATTGTTTTTAATGAAATTACTCAAATTGTTATCTGCTCTGTAGGCTACATCCAATTTGCCTTCAAAAAAATAAGCGATATTAGTAGGAGCACCAAAGTAAGTTAGAGTTACATAATGTTTAGTACAGGGACATAGCTGAAACCAACGTGTATTGTTCAAATAATGTTGAACTTGCTCACTTCAACAAATGTTAGGTTACACTAAAGACAAGATGGTGGAAAAATGAAAAGTCGGGGATATATGAAGTGTTAAATGAAGTGATGACAAATTGTGTTTTTGGAGATTTCGCCAAGAAATGTGGTGGACATCTTAGCTCTTTTATGTACTATATGGAATCCACTTTTCCATCTGATGCTCTCTATGCGGAATGTCATGTATTTGATGTCTACCAACTCTTTCTCCTGAAAATAAATATGTATTACCACCAAAAACAAAAATTTGAGTTACCCACACATGAATATGATACATGTCAACGAAATCAACATATCACACCACAAATACAAAAACTAATATCCCAACGTTCATATAAATATTTTGCTTCAAAATTATACAACACCCTTCTCCATGAAATCAAATTGATTAATAACTCACATCGCTTGAAGTCACTCGTGAAGTCACTGTTGGTCGACTCGAATGATGAATACTTTTTATACTTCTCTCCTACCATTCACTACTTGCTAGTATGTAACCTTATGTATTACAGTATTAAATTATATTTAATAGGTCTAAGTTTATATTTCTCCAATGTAATTTTATCGATATTGTCTTTGTCTTTTGTCTTTTATTATATATTAATTTTTTTTAGTATTATTTTATCACTAACAAGCACATTTAGAGTTTCTGTGATTTCTTGTTTGTTTATACATAAATCTTATATAAATCATGTAAATTGACAGGATGAATAAACTTTATTATTATTATATAGTGTAGCAATCCTGTGAATGATATCTGATTCAATTCCATAATGAATGTTTGGGATACAAAATGAATAGAGAAAAGTGTTTTTTGGTGTAATTCAGTGTTCATATAAAAGTATTTGTTTCGAAAGTATTTTATTTCGTGTAATTCAATGTTTATATGAAAGTATCTGTTTCGAGAGGGCTTCCTCCCCCAGTTTATATCTGAAAGTTACTTCTTTACATGATCAACACATCTTTGTATAGAGTTACCTTTTTTAAAATTGATTTCTTCCTTCTTTTCTTTGGAATATTCCCACACGTTTTTTGTATAATGATGGAGAAGTGGAAAACCAAAACTTTTCTTTCCCATAACAATTGATTATTCATCATGGCCAGTCGACCCCACAAAAACAGTGAGTAGGTGAGACTTTCACTTACATCTCATACTCAGATCACTTCACAAAAAGTCATGCAGGGGCATATTTATTCAACTTATTGCCTGAAAGTGTGAAATCGGAAACAAAAATAAAAACTTTTAAACATACACTGAAAAAGTTCTTAATCCAAGGAGCATTTTATACTTTAGACGATTTCATTCAAAAGTGTGGCTGATTCATTTTCATCTATGTAGTATGCATTATATGTACTGTTTTTAATATGTATCCATCCAATATGTTTTAACTTTTGTGTGAAATTGACTATTGTTAATGTGTTTGTACTTGTTTGTTTTTCTTTTTTTTTGACATATCTCATGTTGTAAGAACAACCTAAAGAGACAAATATATTATCTATCTATCTATCTTTATTGTCCGAAGATTTGCATCTTATTGACAAAGTCCAAGAAATACAATGTTAATATAAAAAAAGTACTAAAAAAGTATAAATGTAGATATAAAAAAGTTCCAAAAATGTGTAAATGTAAATATAAAAAAAGTTCTAAAAATGTATAGATAAAATACCACCATGTATAAAGTGATAGTACAAAGAATAAATTGCTGATATATTGTTAAAAGAATTCGCTAAAATACTCTTCCAAACTATAACAGGGTCTATCAACAAGTAGGTTCTTCACCACCTTTTTGAAATGAAAATTGCTTAAATTTGCAGATCTTATTTCTAATGGTAATTGATTGAACAATTTACCACCTTTATAGTATATGGAATCCTTGATTAAATTCGAAGTTGGGATGGGAAGTATAAAGGTATAATTGCTATTGCGAGTAGCATAAGGAGTAGAAGCAAAGTTAAACTTCGATTTATGTTTATAAATAAGGCAAACTGTCTTTAAGATGAAAAGTGCGATGACTGTTAACGTTTTATTGGCAGTGAACAAATTCCTGCACGATTCTCTGGGTTTGACTTTACAGAGACATCTTAGTGCCCTCTTCTGTAATATCAATACAGAAGAGAGAAGGGATGACTTGCATGCTCCCCAAGAAGGCATTCCATAACGTAGTCGAGATGCAATAAGTGCATGGTAAACGGTCTTTGCGACATGGAAACCCAACTCATTTGAAACTACTCTAACTGCATAACATCCTGAGGAGATCTTACTCTTCAGTTGTTCAAGGTGTTCATCAAATTTCAGCCTATTATCAATGAATACACCGAGGAACTTTGTGTTTAATTTATTTTGTAATATGGCAGCGTCCATTGAAATGTCATCTAGCGAACATTTGAATGATATTATATTCGTTTTGGATGCATTTAGAGAGAGTAAATTTGCATCGCACCAGCTCTTCATCTTCTTCAAGTCGGATGATATTTTTTTATTTAGCTGCATTGGGTTTTTTCTTTCCACAATATTGTAGTGTCATCCGCGAATAGAGTGAAACTACCAGATATGTTAATCATAGATATGTCATTCATATATAGCAGAAACAGAATAGGGCCTAACACAGAACCCTGTGGTACACCAGATTAAATGGTCCTGAGGTATTAATAAGGGCGACCAAAGTTTCTAGAGCATTGAGTGGTAAATTCAAAAGAATCTTAACGGAAATATCATCATATCCGGCCGTGTTTTTGTTTTTAATGTCATGAAGTGTTTTGAACAATTCATTAAGGTCAGTGTCATATAAAATAAGACTTTCATGAATTTTTATATTTTCTAAGTTGATCAATGGATCATATGGAGCATGAATTGTGTTACTCAACTGTTCAGCAATAGAACAGTAGAAATCATTTATTATATTAGGATTAAGTGAGAGTTCAGAGTTTTTCTTTTTTGTTTTACCTCTTATATCACTAATAATTGACCAAGTTTCTTCAATCTTATTCTTCGATTCCCCCATTCTGTTGCCGTAATATATTCTCTTAGCTAGACTGATAGTGGATCGATAGACTTTTTTGTAATCATTGAAATAGTTCCAGAAACTATTTATTGATAGGGGGGTGCCGCATACTTCAGTTTGTGATTTAGGGCTACCATCAAAGGGGTGTGAAATGTTGATATTTATACTACCCGCGCAAGGAAATGCCAAATTCTGTCGAAAGTATGTAGAAACAATAGATGTAGTAACATTTGAAAAGTGATCAGCAATTTTTTATCGACCTTCTTTGGGTATTTTCACCACATTCGCTGAGGAAATTTAGAAATAAAGAGAACCGGCAAAACTGCTAATATACTTAAATTTTTTCCAATTCTGAAGACGTAGCCTCTGAAATGTTGAGATAAGTAGCACGGGCTGCATATATTACTTACAGTTAATGATTAATTCACTTAATATTACTTTTTTATATATATCGGTTTTCTCCAAGAAGATAAATGTCTCCGAACCAGATATAATAATGTCAGGTCAGACAATTCCGCTTTTTGCTTCGACAAGTTTGTTGAGGGTTAAAATGGACAATATGTCTTGGCACAATTAAGTCGCTGAAATTGCAAAGGCTGCTTCTCAAAAGCTTGGGATGCTGTTCCGAACCAGAAAACTATACACACCTCAGCAATTTTTTATGCTTTATAAAGCTCAGATCAGACCTTCTTTGGAGTATTGTTCTCATGTATAGTTGCTGGAACTCATCCAGAAAAGAGCTCTCCGCCTGATTGGAGACACGAATATCACTTGCAACCTTGAGTGTCAGGAACATCAAAGAAAGGTTGGAGATTTGTCGCTCTTTTATAGATACTCTCACGGGAGGTGTTCAAGTAAATTGGCACATTCGATTCCACCAAGATCGGAACATATCAGAAATATGCGACGGTCTGTGGCTGCTCATCGTTTTGAGGTTCAACTCAGTACACATTTCATCAGTTCAGACTTCCATTCTAAAATGATATAAATTGATTTGAAATCCCTGAAAGAATCTGTAAAAAAAATGTTAGCTGAAAAATAACAAAAAAAAAACTGAAATTACCAAACAATAAAAAATAAAAAAATTGAACTATTAACACGAGATGAAAATTAAAAAATTATTAACAAGAAATGAAAATTAAACTCAAAAGATTCCGAACCAGGATATGAGAAGACTATGGTCAAGCTTACCAAAAAGAAACTCACCTCAGCTTCTTGTGCAGAGCAAGAGACAATAACATCATACTCAAAGGTTAGTGAAGTAACTTGGTTTGGAATCTTTTAATTTAATTTTCATTTCTTGTTGATAATTTTTTAATTTTTACCTCGTGTTAATAGTTAAATTTTTGTATTTTTTGGTTGTTGCTTGTATTGTATTTCATTGTAATTTGATTTTTTTCTACTTAATATAATTGTCATTTTTCAGCTAACCTACAGATTCTGTCTGGGATTTCAAATCAGTTTATATCATATTAGATAATGGAAGTCCGAACTGATGAAATGCATCATGAAACATTGTCAACCACTCTCAAACAAACTCAGTACCCCTCGAACTTCACTATTTCAAATCAAATCAAATATACTTTATTGTCCAAAGTATAAACTCGTTGACAAAGCTAATCATGTATAAATGAGTTTCACTATAATAACTATACATTATACATATATATTGGTTTAATGTATGTGTCATATATCGTATGAAGTATATATATCAAAAGGGCTCCACGAAGTTTAAAATTTATAGGCCAATTATTTATACCTTTTATCCCATTATTTATGCCAACGGAGATTGGGAAAAAATTTGTTAGTTAACAACAACTTTTTGAAAAATGGTGATAACACTTTTTTTTTCTATGGGACTCGATTCATTCAAGTGTTAAGAAGATACTAGATTTTTTTCAAATTTCAAAACGATTCGTTTCGGGAGTCGGGACTTTTTCATCGGAAATTTCCGCCTCTTTAACGAGCTTTTTTCAAAATTCCTTAATTATTATTTTTTGAGTTATTAAGGAAAAACTAAATGCCATTTTTTTAAAATCTCATTTTGTTAATAACAATTGCAATTTTTTACCTACACCAAAATCCTTCAAAAACATTTTTCTAGAGGTGATTCCGAATCGAATGTGAATCGCTACTTTCGCCCTGGGAGCTCCTTAAGGATTTTCCTGTAGTGCTTGTGTTTTGTCCTTGAAAAAAAGTTACTGATAACATTTTTTCAGATTGTGGTAGGTAGAAACACCCAAAGAAGGTCCATAAAAACTGATTTCTTCCACAATAAATGACTTTCGTTCAATAATTCAACAATTAAATCAATGCTTTGAAGATAATGTTTTTGACGTGTCTCTGAAAATATACTTTCTATTTTCTAGGCATACCGCCATTTCAACAAAATTTAATATTTCAATCTCTTATCTTGAGAGATTTCAGCCGGTTGCTAGATGCTGGCATCACAAACGGTTCAACTCTAACCCTTGTACCTTCAATGAAAGGAGGACCGATATCCACTAGACGGCTATCGGTGACCTGTGAGCGTCATGTGATGCTTAAAGAGCTGCGGGAACTTCTAGAAAATAATAGGTAAATCATGATATTGTTTTTCGAACAAGTATGTCCTGAATTTAAATATTTTTCAGCGAGGAGATTACTCCTGGCTCCAAGGTGTCTGTGCTAATCTTCAAAGATGGGGTGGTGATAAATTTATTGAGCGTAATTGAACATGAAGATGGTTCCCACGCACCTCACAGCGAGAAGCCGATATCTCCCCCTTCCAAACCCTCTCGGAGAGGATCTCGCATGGAAATATTCGAGCGTTTCGTAGAAGATAACGAAATGTCCATGAAAATATCTAACCTTCGCAAAAAAATGGATGAAACCAATTCCCGCAAACAAGGCAATAACTCCAAGGAAGTGACTGACTCTCCGTCTAACTTGGAAGCTAGTAGCTCTTGTGCGGGTAAGAATAACCTGTCTTTTAAATTTTTGGCACCGGACGGAGTTGATGTGAAGGTTTTTGAGAGGAATTCTGAGGAGGATGAAGAGGAAGTCGCGCTCAAAGACAAACATAGGTGAGCTGTTTTCAATTTTTTTCAAGGTTCAAACCATCAACTTTCACCAATTAGAGTTTTTCACAAGGAGAAGCAAGTTTGTACCAATTTAAATCAATTGAATTATTTCGATTTAAATCAACATATAAATTGCTGTAAGAACAAGTCGATGAAGCAAATAACTGAAATATTAATCAGGAAATTCAAAACAGAAAGTTGGTTTATATAAAAGCGTTTACATACATTATGTAAGTGTAAAACCATAACTAACCCTCATCCAGCATAAATATTCATAAATTGTGAAAACACAAACAGTTTACATTTACAACAACAAAAACATTTTATAGTTTATGAAATTATCTACATGAATGAACAATAAAAATTATTGATGAATATGTAAATTGTATAATATTTACAGTCCAATTACTAAGATTAACCTACACAAACAAACACAAAATATGTTTTTGGGAAGTCAATCATAGTATCAATTGTAAATGACAATCTTCAGGATTGGCTCACTCCAAGGCGTTCATTCACCCTTTGAAGCTTGATACCAAACAGTTGTGGACTACAGTAGAGATGAACTACGATGTCTAACAGGCCTTCTGACAAGTCACTGTCATTTGAATGATCATATACAGGGACTCGGTCTGTCAGAAGAGTGTATGTATCGCCTGTTTGGAAAATGATGAAACAGCAGAGCACATACTTTGAGCCAGCCCCGCTGTCGTACTCTTATCATCTGACCTGTAAGACTACTCGCCATACAAACCAATCGGCTTCGTTAAGAAGCTGGGTTTATTTGGTCGAGTGTGAATAGGTGTGTGCCACAATAAACCCTTGCGGGTTGTGGTGGCGGGTCGAATAAGCACACTCACTTTGGGCTAAACCTACAAGGGATCAGGCCATGTACCAGTCATTTATAAAATCTTCTATTGAATTAAAAAATATTCTATTGGGACATTTTCCAGTCAGGTGGAGAATTTACTGAAATTTTTCTTTTTCACGAAACCTGGTATTTTATATAATTTTGCCCCCAATAATCACATCTTTGTTGTTTTTCTTCAATTGGTGATGAGGAATTCACAAGAAATTTACAATAAATCTTAATTTTTGGCGATTACATTTTTTGAGAACTTCTCTGGATTTGCATGAACATATCTTAGACAGCTATATATATGTACGCCGGAAATGGTAAGTATTCTTTGTTAGTGAAAAGCATCTTTGCTAAATCTCTATATCCAAGTCTACATATAGTTCTAATGGCTTTTTTTTGCTAGACAAATATTTTGTTTGCTTCAGAACCTGTACCCTACAAAAAGATTCTATATGTTGCTGTACTATGAAAGTTTGCATAAATTTTAGCTGCTTGGTGTGACAAAAACATTTTCCCCTTGTACAATATTTTATTCAGTTAAGCTTCTTACTCGAATTACTTCCAATGCAGTTTAGAGTCCGTACACAGTTTGTCTCACTTTTCAGGGAAGCACCCCGGTAACTTCCGTAATTATCAAGGTAGAATGATGAAACTGGCAGGATTGACTTACCGGCTAAATGGTGTTGGCCAAGTGATGTACACTGCCCGCCATTCGCGGTGGAAGAACCCATTTTTACGGTAAATCATACTACGGGGCAAAATAGGCTGAAAATTCCTTCAGATTCGTGATCGGGACCCCCAAATTACTACAGGTACACTTTTTTCTGAAAAAATTTCAGCCTTGAAAAATCAAAATTTGTCTCACTTTCCATGGAAGCAACCCCGAAACTTCCGTAATTATCAAGGACTGATGGGAATATTGAAAATTCACTCACCGGCTCAATAGCGTTGACCCAAGTGCTATACACTTGATGTTTCGTACATTAACATGAATTCGTTCATCATAGTAAGGTGATTTCAATTCTAAAAAGTCATTTGGGTTGGGGTCATTTTTGATATAGAATTAATTCTCCACAAAAATTATTTTATATTTATTTTCACACATTATATAAATAGAGGAATTTCGGAAACTATCAAAACTATAGAAAAACGATACAATTTTTATTTTTTGTCGTTGAAAATGTCTCTTTTTTTCATCAAGAAAGTTCTTTTTCATTTAGAGTTTAATATATAATGACCTTTTGGTGTATTGACAAAATTCGATCTCCTGAGATCTATTTTTCTATTTCTCAGGAACAGCCTTCATATTTTCTATTATGGACTGGATCAAACCACTCATTGTTTTGGAAATTTCCAAAAATGAAGTGGCTGTGAACTGAACTTCCTAGGGAAAAGCTGCGTTACTTTCTTCTCGGACAAAATTTTATAAAGAAATGGCGCCCAACGTGGGGCTCATAAAATTAATGATGAACTTTTGGAGATTGAAGATTTTTCTGTTTCAGGTCAAAGCATCACCAAATCACATCTCTCTTCAGAGAATCGAAAGGCGCTTGCAGTAACATCAAACAAAAGTATGCCAGAATCAATAAAAAGCTTCAGGAATCCCAACTGAGCGAAGAACTATCGTCTGAATCGGAACTCTCTGCGACATTTGGCGTTTTCAATGAAGACGCCTGCAGTCAACCTCGTCCGATGCAACCTGCGAATAGGATCCATTTGACCAGGTTGGTGCTTTCTGACGGTCCGGAAAGCCCCAAATCGTCGTCTGATAGCATAGAGCTAGAAGAGGATGTGTGGGAGATCCACGAACCTGTCGCAGAACGACTCAAACATAGCACCACGTGCAAGGTGGGCGTTCTGAATCGCAGACAGAGCTTGGATTACTCGTACGGCAGTATAAAGAATGACCCCAAAGGAGAAATCGGTAACTATCCATGCGAGAACTCTGATTTTGGGGTATGTTCCAGCAATTTGTACCGTATACCTCAGTTCGTGTCATCCCCTGATGCGTTGCAGCCGCACCACACCCAAACCGAGCCCAGTTTTCATGATTACTATTTTACGAAAACGGATCGCTCCCCGCTTTACAGCAGGAGCGAAAGCAACGGCCTATCTGCCGTCAATCCCAAAAGAGATGAACTGACCAAGGAGAAATTTGCCGTACTGGACGATTGCTCCGGTATCGAGAGACTCCAAAACGAGAGCTCAGAGTGCGATAAGTTTTTCTCCCAGAGCATCGACGATTTGCGACCTTACAATCCGTCCGATCTGCTCGGGGAGAAGATTCTAGATCTGCCGAAGAAGAATGAAAAGAAATTAGAATTGCCGCCTGTGATAAAAAAGAAAGCTAGATGTAACGAATGTAATAGAAAACTGAATATAACGAATATACACAATTGTAGGTGTGGAAAAATTTTCTGCTCGCAGCATAGGTATTCAGAGGTTCACCGATGCAGCTACGACTATAAGCTTGAAGGACGCAAGCTGTTGGAACAGCAGAATCCGAAAGTCACCGCTGAAAAAATTAATAAAATATAACGCATATAATATATATCTATTTCCCCTCTTTCAACTAAAACCCTGTATTGTCGATAAAATATAATGTTTACAATGCTTGAAATTTTATTTCTCCCGTTCTAAAGACAAAATTGTTTGGGGTAATTCAATAAAAATCATTGAAAACAGATACCAAGTTCACTGTAATTTTATCATATTCATCTCATAAATTTGAAACTGAGAATAGTGGTTTACAAAAAAAAACGATTTGCAAAAAGAGTGACAGAATGCTATTGTCATCATTGGAAGACAGTGTTGCCAACTAGTAGAACTATAAAGTCGCTACACATGAATCAAAATTCCGCTACGCTTATATATCTGAGGCAATTAGTTGGCTCATGCGCCCTATCCAAAATCCACAGGACTTATAGTTTGTGTACCGTTCAGATACCACCAAACTGAACTGTAACTAATGTAAGTTATCAGGATCATGCTAATTTTTAAAAGCTGTCGTCTCGACCGAATATTTCTTAGCTTGAAAAAAAGATTTTGAAAAATAAAAATCAATTTGTTCACGTACATATAGTTACTGAGCTCTTGAACGATCATTCACGACAGGTCTAATCCATCCATTCAAGTTGGAATCAGACAAACAATGTTGAGAAAAAGTTTGTTTTCGAGACTTTTTGTATTTTTTTCAACATGTCCCATTCCCATCAATTTCAACTGCGATAGCTCTTTCGCTCGAGTCATAATCAGATGAACTATCTTATATTTCCACTGCAATTTGTTTCATATGTTATAATACTCGAGATATTCGAGACTTTTAGTTTCAAGATATTGGAGATATGGTTTATGATATGAATGAAAATATTCTTCTTCTCATTCATCATGTAATGGCCTCACTACCAAGACTATGACGTATTAGCTGTCAGCTAGCCTTAGTTGCTGAGGCCATTGAATGGAAAAGAAGGAAAGTGCTGTCCACTGCCTCTTCTTCTTCCATATTTTTTTCAATATTGATTATAGGAAATTTCGCTACTTTATGTTCAAATCCGCTACCGTCGAGTAAATTTCGCTACGGTTGGCAACTCTGTTGGAAGATTAAAAAAAAAAGTAATTGTATTTTCAACTAATGAATTTTTTGGCTGTATTATCAACCAAAATCGAAAATTTGATAAGTTAAGAAAAGGACTCCTACAATTTATAACCATTGAGTAATTTGGGGATGGAAGGACGATTTCTTCCAAAGGAATGTAATAAAAAACATATTTTTTAAATAAACAGTCTATTCATAAATAAATAAAAGCTTTAGTTTTCTCCCCTCGGAAAGAAAACTAACAATCAACAAAATTTTTCAACAGCTTGGACGATTCAACTACTTCAACTTTCACCTTCTTCAGTGTGCTTACCTAACATTAGTACAGGGTGTTCAGTAAAAATTTCCTGAAGCTTACCAGAATATAAAAAGATTTGGAATATATAAAGGCTCAATATCACATGTGATTCAAATCGATCTATATGGCACCCACAATAGTACTACTGATGAAATTACAGCTCAAAGCAAGAAAATTTTACAGATTTAGTGTGCTCATGGTGCTAGGAAATGTGAAACAAACAAGATTTGGAAATGGCCCTACATTCTTCATTGCCATTATAATTGAACTTTAACTAATTTCACAAAGTGAAAAGGCAAGTAATAAAATAAACACACTGTCCATAACTATTCTATAAAAATAAAATTATCAATACAACTAACTTAAGTACCTATTTAAAAGACACTGGGATGATAGCCATCAGAGAATCGATAAAAGATATTGTAAAAATAAAAATGTTGAAAAAGCTTCAGGTGAATAAAGACATATTACTATTATTATTACTAAAATCATGTTTGACCCTAGTTTTGTTGCTATTTTTAAGTTTTTCTACAGCTATTTTTCAATTACATCTTACAAGGGACGTTCAAAAAGTTATGTTAATTCAGGGGTGTAACAGAAGTGGTAACAAAATACAGCAGACTTTAGAGGAACAGATACCTGAGGTAGGGGGAATTTCGTGAGGTCATTTGGCTATACTGAAAGTGCAGGCAGTTCATTTGTGGATTATAATTATTTGAGTTATTATAGTTGAGCGTTTTGCATGCTTTTTGGACATTTGACTTATATGTGGAAAATTGTAAAAACACTCAACATGACTTACACTTGTAGTGAAGTAGTCACGGATATCCTAAGTAGGTTTTAGTTAAGTAAATATAGATATTCACATTAACTGAAATATTTGTTGATAATATTAATTAGAATCTTAATCATGCTGAGGCTGTTGAAGGTGTAAGTATTTTCTCTAGAAGAATATGTTTGTATTTTGGATGTTGTTATAACACAATTTTCCTAGTACTGGAAAGTTGTAAGAACTAACGTGCCAGGAACCACATTATTAAAGTGAGACTTCATTAATTTTCATCTCGTCTTTTGAGGAGAGATCTTCAATAAAAAGCGTTATGATAAGAAATATATTTTTTCTGAAGAGATTCAACATTACCTCTTGAACAGTCCTCGTATTTTCTAGATAAATTCGAATCTGAGATATAATACCAAACGTCACCTAAAGAAATTTCACTTCATATATATAATGTAAGGAACAATTTTTATTAGCTGCCTCAAGGTAAAATTATTAAAAATGAAACTCAGTGAATTGGTCCAATGTGAACTGCTCTTTCGACTCTCAAATCTGACCAATTCATGAAACGCTTCTTCGATAACAAACTGTTAGAAATTCTCTCGATGGGCCATATTCCGAGTGCTGAGAACATTCAAAACGGTATAGGCAAATGGAAAACAATGTATGAAATCACATTTCTATCAAGGAGCACTTGCTTAATCCTCATCACCGATAAGTACTTCGTTGCCATCAGTTATTTAAGTAACGATTCATCTTCATCTTTTCGCTGCAGGTTTCCTGATAACGTGGGATCGGTAACTCGTTTTCGTTTGAAGAAACCGCATTTGTACAATATTATTACGAGCAGTATGAGTAGCAGTAGACCAATCAAAACGCTGCCACCGATTATGATCCAATTCAGCCCAGAATCCGCAACGACGATTTCTGGATATGCGATTGTCTCCGCCTAGAATAACATGTTTATCAATAAAAGCACCAGAGAATATATCAAATTTTCTGGACAGAGTAGAGAAATTTATTTGACCACTTTATATACAAAATTACATTTATGCCGAGGCATATATACTATAAACTATAGGTACTATGTCAGACACTTAAAATCAACAAAAACGTTTCTAGATTAAAGTAATAAATTTTATAAATAAATAAAACTGGCATATCAAAATTCCTTAAAATGATCACAGTGTCACATGAATGTTAATAAAATGAAGATATTAATATAAAAAGGTCAACAAACATAAGAACAGGATTTATCACAGCTTTACAACATGAATTATTTTTCAAGAACTATGAATTGACCAGCTACAGCAGCATATTCTTCGATTGTGTAGAAACAGTGGTTGAGAAGATATCTCTTGATATTATTTTTGAAATTTCTGAAATCCAAAGATTTAACTGAGGGACAGAGAGGGAGGAGACAGTTGTATAAATTCAAACTTAGAGAGTTTTTTTGACTAACTGCTAACCTGTCTTGTATTATTCAATAAACATGCGGATCTTGATGAATAATCATATATACACACATCAGAAAAGTCTAGGGATATTTTTTAAAATGGCAATAATTTTTTTTTAGATCGCTTTAGGGAAAAAAAGTTGACGGGTGATTATTAAACGAATGTAACTTACAACAAAATTTATTAAATGGTCAAAAATACTGAGTGCGCATACAAGCAAAACTAAAAAAAATATGGCTCTTCTTTGGCACCCTGAAAAAAAATCATAATACAAAAAAAATTGGAATCAGTACAAAGTATGGCCTCCACGCTGGNACAGTTTGTAAAAAACTTGATAAAAGATTAGTTACCGTTTTTGCAGGCTTTGTTCAACCCATAGAAATCTACAGGGTGGTCGAGTGTACCAATTTAATCGAAATTAAACGACCTCATGCATTTATTTTTATGATATTTAGTATGTTATAAAAATATCCCTAGACTTTTCCGATGTGTGTATGTTATGGTTTCATGTTTATGGTTTCAAATTTAATAAAAATAGGACGACAGTGTTCCCTATATCCTACGTTTGCCATGATTCTCATGGCTTTTTTGTGACATCTGAAAATTGTGATTGCGTTTGTGGAATGTCCCCAAATCAAGACTCCTTATGAAATAACTGCGTGGAATAGGGAATGATATGTTATCTTAAGTCATCAAACCTGCAGCATTTCTCAACTGTCTAAGAACAAACAAAACACTAGACAGCTTACGAGTAGTTGCTTCAATATGGCTGGACCAACTAAGTCTATCATCAATATGAATATCTAGAAACTTAACATTGTCTCCTAGAGTAACACTGGTGTTTGAGGATATCACAGTATTCTGAGTTTTTTTGTTCAGTTTCAGTTTATTTGCTGTCCATCATTTGAGGTGAACTGGTATGTGATTTATCTGAGCATATGAGGATTGTGTCGTCGGCAAACAAGACACATGGTGAAATAAAGCTACATGAGTCATTCATATAAATGATGAATAATAACGGGCCAAGGACAGAAACCTGAGGAACGCCATATCAAATTGGCTTTAAATCTGACTTGATATTGTTGACTTTTCCATCTTTATACGGAAAATGTGGAAAACTTCACAAAGATGTGTGGATCATGCGTAGAAGTTACTTTCATATATAAACTAGAAGATAAAGCCCCCTCAAAACAACTTCTTGATGATTGAAACACATGTCGAGGCGTTAAAAATAACGGTTTGGTGTTGGGATAGAACTACAGTAATATTCATTGAATTACATGAGAGAAAAAAAGTACTTTCGAAACAAATACTTATGATTTACAACAGTACTTATACATTCAGGAAAGCTACATCACATAGTATATGAAAGAGTTTGATATAAAATTTCATCTACGTGGAACTCAGTTATTCTCAAGGGTGACTTCGAAGTTTCGGAATAAGAAACTTGTCTCATTGCCTCATCATGATCATTCTTGATAATAATACAAGATGAATCACTCAGAATAAACCCCTTTTAATTCAAGCAAGATTCCTATGGCTGGGATTAAATCAATAAAGGGTATAAACGTCTTTACTAATGGTCATCATGAGCTGAGTAGATTTTTCTAACCGTAATGTTATAAATGAAATCAGTGCTTAATCTTGAAATATTATCCAAAACGGTGCTAATGAGGTGATAAGACAAGTCTCTTATATTGTAACTTTTTTTTATACTTGCTTTCCTAGGAGAGATATCCGATTCAATTCCATGAGAATGTCTGGAGTACAAACTGAATTAAAATAGGTGATTTTTGTGTAATTCAATGGTCATACAGAATTCGTTGTTTCGAAAGTATTTTTCTTTCGTGTAATTCAATTTGTATATGGAGTATTTATTTCAAGGGGGCTTTTTCTCCCAGTATATATATTAAAGTAACTTATATGCATGATCTAAACATCTTTGTAAAATGTTCATATTTAACTTATTGCTTTCTTATCACCTTTGGAAGTTTTCCATATTGGTTTTATGAAGATGGAGCATTACAAAGCCAAAACCTCTTTCCCAAAAACTAATATCTTGTAAGTACATACCCCTTTCAATTCAATCAAATTTTTATCTCATGAAACTCAAAAATATTTTTTTCTAAACACACAGTTACTGATAATTTTTGCATTAGTCTAAAAGGCTACAAAACTTTTTTTTTCAAACAAGATATGCATTCCCTAAAAGATATATCTTACATATATAGGTGGTTCCAACAAAAACTATTGAAGACTATTGAAATGCATGACAACAAGTTCAATAAGGAAAGGAGCTGAAATGTTTCTGAACTGTAAGAGAGTCCAAATAAGATATTCAAAGTAATGCAGGTTATAAAACTCCAAAATGATTCATTTTTTCGAAATAATTAGTGATTAAGAAAACTATTCAACAAGATATTCAAGAAATATAAGGGTTTTGAATATTAGATGAAACATTGGTATACAATCGATTTATTGGAGTAGTTTTGAGTTCCCTATATAATATTTCACCTAATTCTTTGAAAAATATCAGCAGAACAAAATAATAAAATTTTTTAAAAGATATCTTTTATGTGAAAATTTTATGGGTTTTTGGCCTGAAATTTCGTCTACTACTGCAGTAGACATTATTATTGGCAATGTAGTAAAAGTCGCTGCTGGTGCGTTCGGAACAACGGGAGTATACTACCGCAGTTGTAGACGAAACGTCAGATATAAAATTCTGCCGACAGCAAAAAAACGAAAATAGCTTTCACACAGTTATCTCTGACCGTGAAAGTTTACATTCTTGGAAGAAATCTTATGTTATAAACTATTATATTATTATGAATACTTTGTATATTTCATACATTTTTATTTGAGCATATTATTTGATGTTTCTTTTGTTCTTTTGTATATTGTTCTTTTTCCCCTCGTATAAACATTGTACTTTTCTTTGGAAATGAATAGATAACATTATTATTTGTTTGCAAACCAATAAGAAAGTAATTAACCATAGATTATAACAGATCAGTAAATAAATTAACGTTGTGGTTGAAAAAAACCGATGTGTTAAACACATCAACTAGACTGTTGTAGAATGTCAAAAGAAAAAGTACTCGAACCACCTACCGAGAAAAATGTAATGGAATCTTTACTGACGCTCCTCTTGTCTGCGATTTCAACAGAAGCGTCCGACCTAATGACAACCCAGTCAACATTGGAGTAATCCTCTACAAGGGTGGAGTTCCAAATTCGAGATCGAATATCTATGTCAGCTTGGTTACCACTGCTCAGCTTTTTGATGGTGCACGTTATATCTATACACTTTGCCGTTCCATTCAAACACTCCTGGAAATGAAAAAACGTTGTTACCCTCTGATTGACAGGAAACTTACAATTTGTTTTCAATATTCGATACTCTTTTGATGAATTATTAAAAAATGTAAAAAATGCACATCAGGAAATTATTCTCTCATAAAAAGTATGATAAAACCATTAAAGCCTATTTAAAAAAAAAACAATCAAATCAAGATATTCTTATAAAAAGATGGTGGAAAAATTCATTTTGAAACTCCTAGACTAATTTTCCAGAACCTAATAGAAGTAAAATATCAGGACTACTAAGTGTTTCAAATATACGACGGTGATTCCAGAAGTACCCGGTCTGACCTAGAGATGGCGATAGTTGTTTGAAAAATATCACTGTATTAGAAAGTACACAATCTATAAAGTATATGGTTCAAATCTGAAGACGCTGCGTTGTTTAGTCTTTGTTTGGCAGCCATCAATAGCGTCCGTTTTCGGTGAATTTGTGAAAATGAAGAAAACTGATCATTGTTTTGTGATACAATACTTTTATTTGAAAGTCCTCAGCCGAACCAATATGAAAGCTGAACTGTAGGCATGGTCATGGCATCGGTTTTTTGGGATGCATGTGGGATAATTTTCAATGAATATCTTAAAAAAGGTTAAACTATCAATGGTGAGTAGTATGCGAACTTACTGCAACGTTTGAGTGAAGAAATCGAGCAAAAACGGCCGCAGTTGGTTAATAAAAAAAGTACTTTTGATACATTGTTTGGAACTTTTGGTGTAGTAATGAATATTACTGGAGTTTTTTCCCAAGCCAACACCAAAACCGTTATTTTTAACACCTCGACACGTGTTTCAATCACCAAGTGATCATCATCAAGAGGAAGATCAGTTTGATCTTCCTCTTGAAAAAAATCCAGTAATATTTATTTAATAAAAAAAGTGTTGTCGTAATGACAAATTAAAGAATCAAAGTTAGAATTGAAATAATTATATTTTTTCCAAAATTTCTGTGTTTTCTTTGTTGGGCTGGGTACTCTGGAACCATCCTCGTATATTATATGGTTTTTAATCTTTACAGAATTTGTTATTAATTGCTTATTGATTTCTTTAACTTCATGAATTGTTAATAATACCCAAATCCTCACAAGTGCAATAACTTCATAAAGCTTTAAATATTTATTCACTAATTGTTTATTTTACTACTTTGGAGAAATATTGTGAATAAATTATCATTATCATTGTTTTTATTTGTATAACGCTTCCAAAATGCAAATTATGAAATTATAAAACAACAATAAAAATTAATTGGCGCTCCGGGGCCACTTTATTGATTCCTGTGGCGCATTTGCTTTTTTAGCTGCAGGAAAACCCGGAAAAACCTGCAGCACCACATCATCTGAAGATCTTGATCTGCCAATGTCCTCTCTTTAATAATACAAAATGTAAGGTGTCTCCAGAGGCTCCAATAAATTCAATACATCGCCAGAACACTTCGTGACACGACTATCGTCAAACTTAAAACAGTACGTTTCGTCTTTGACCAAGGCGTAATAATGATCAAATTCAACGCCAGAACCACAGTGAACAATGACTGCATGAATATTATAATAGTGGTCTGCTAGATTGCAGTGTTCATCTATTTCAAACCTTCATAAGAGTTTGGTGCTTATGTCAGAGGTTGAGTCATGTTTAGAGATCATCAGTGTTATTATTAGATCAACTGGTGCCTGAGCTATACTTGTTTCCTTATAACAGTCAGTTAGTTTGGCGCATGTTTGGCAATATAGTCGATCATCACCTGTTAAAAGTTCCATTTTCAGATGATTTAACAATAAGCTTTGCACGGACTGGTTATTAGTCATATTAGGAAACGCTAGTTGAAGTTCCAGAAAGTCACATTCGTTTTTGCTACCTCTTGAACATTTACTACAGAGTAAACAAAGAAATATTTTTCCAGCAAAAGATTTACAAACACAAGACGAGATAGACTGTATGGAATCATTCAATCCAGAGCGGTCAGGAGTATTGATTCTGTTATTGTTTTGCTCACGAAGAGTATTCAACAAGAACCCCAAGAATTTGAAACAATCTTCTTGTAGTCCTAACGAGAATCTAGTGGACTTCAAAGGAAATCGGTTGGAAGGAAAGATGATACATTCTTACGAAACTGCAGCTGCATGAACAGGTGTTTGAATTTGGTGAATAAATAGTTTCTAAAGAATTTATGTATTACTTTGAGGATTCACTGTATACATACCAAAACAACTACTTTACGATTTTGACCATTCTTTTTCGTCATTTGATATGGAACAACATAATTCAAGCTCCTCTTCCTTCTTCTACTTGGCGCGTCAGTTGACATTGGAAAATCGCTAGGCAAGAGCAAATTTTCTGGTGGTTCTTCGATGCCGCTCTTCGACATGTTCAGATTTAGTTCATTCAACTTTGCATTGCCAAGTAGTTCGCAGTAACCATCAATTGCGATGCCTGAAATTGAAATTGTATTGACTGGTTATCTGGCTGCCATTTGAAATATGCAAAATAGAAACGACGTAGTTCATTTAGATGACAATCAGTATCAATGTGTAAAGCAGAACAACGTGAAGTCAGATTACCAGAAAATAGAGAACTAAATTCAGCACATAATAATAGACATAATAAAGACAAAACTCAAAATTGAATTGTTTTTTCAAACACAAATTAGAATAGAATACAATTTATTTCAATAAGTTACATCAAAAAATTGTAGAAAGTATTCATGGGTTCAAACTTCATTATTGCAGATTTATTAGAATTGAACTTGAGCTTATAGGCTGTAGAAATGTCAAAGATGGCTTGAAGATCATTATTAATTATGACTGAGCAGATGCAGAATCACGAAACGAAAAAGAAAAATATAACTGCGTGTCATCTGCATAGCGATGTATATTGCATTTTTTTACAAACAGATAAAAGCTAAAAAGCAAGGGCCCAAGGATAGATCCTTGTGGCACTTCCTTTGATACCGGTAGAGCATCCGATTCAACTCCATGGCACTCTGAAGATATGAATTTGCTTCGAAAAAAGGTTACAAGAGACCTACAAAGAATCAAGTAGTGTTGCGATGCAAATTTTCTACGTTTTCAACGAAACAAAATTTCTCACATTTAAATGTCTTCTTCCGAATATAGAATTTGGTGCTGACTCTATATCATCTGGCAACAATATAGAATTCTTGGGACTTAAAACATAGATACCAATTTGAAATTCACAAATCATATTAACATGCTAAACAAAATATTATCATCCGGCTGTTTTGCCCTCAGGTCGTTTCTTCATTATGATTTCCTACCACATAGTAACGGCTACATCCATTAATTTATGGCTAAAGAGTTAGGTTATGCTGCGGCAAAAAATGTCTATTTTACTCTCATTCAGTCAAACTTGAGGCATGTAATCCAGTTCTGGGGTTCGTGTAGTAATGAACTCTTAGAGAGTGTATTTTTGCTGCAAAAGCGAGCGGTGCGGTATTTGTGCCAAGTAAATAGGTTGAATTCCTGCAAATCTCTTTTCCTGAAACACGGAATACTGACACTAACCTCAATCTACGTTTTAGAAGCTACATATCTCATTTACAAGAATAAATCTTTATATAGAAATAACATTCGTACTGCACGAAATGCAATGATTTTATCATTAATCATCCCTAAATCCACACTGATCAAAGACTCAATAATTTACGTCGGTGTCAAAATGTATAATAAACTTCCTCAAGATAAAAAGAACATGGATTCTCTTAAAACTTTTAGGAAAAAGTTAGATGAAAGACTGGCATCTAAAGCCTATTACAATCTGACAGAATAATTTAATGACGAAACGATATGAAATTGACGGTGCTTATATGTGTGGTGCTTATATGTGACGGTGCTTATATGTGACGGTGCTTATATGTAATAATATATGTGTACTTTTACCTAGATGTGATTATTTATATGTATTATTTTCATGTGATTATATAATTGTATATTTATCTGGATGTAGTTATTTACATGTTCTCTTTTTACTAGTGTTTGTCAATAAGGTCCTATATCTTGGATAATAAACACATACTCTCCACTCTCTCTCATCCACAACTATTCGAGTACGATTGTTCAGACAGTTTCCTAAGAGTGACACTGCTTTCCAAGAAAAACCAAAGTAGACAAGTTTGTCACGCAATATCTCGTGATCAAGCGAGTCGAAGGCCTTGCTATAAATTAGAAGTATTTAACAGGTCAAATTCTCATCATCTAGAACTCAAAAAAATCGTCGATAATTGACAGAAGAGCCGTGGTGGTATTATGCTGAGGTTTGAATCCTGATCGACAGATTTAACGATTTTCATCAACATAAATAATCTGATCTTTCAGTGTCAATACCACTACTTTAGAGAGACTCAGGAGAATTGTAATTGGTCTCAGGTCTGGAAGGACTGAAGGTATTGATAGAGTTTATGAGAAAGTTGAAGTGTGAGATAGTGAGATTGATCATTTTGAGGGATGTCCTGTCTAAACCCAAAGCATTGCTCTTGATACTTCTTAGGGAACTTGTCAACATTTCACTGGCGACTGTCATGAAATGAAAGGAATATTCAGATTCTTTCAAATCAACATAACGATCTAATAAGGACAATTTGTGAGCAGATCTGATATGTTGAGGTATGGAATTCAAGTACTGGTTAATGAGATTAGCGTTTTTCAATTCATCAGATATATCTGAAGTTTTATTGTTCCTCAGGATATCAAAAGATTTTGAAGTATTTCAAGTTGATTTGGATTTTTTTGTAAAATGTAATCAAGATATGTTTTTTTTCACGTCGTATCGCACTACATGTATATTTTATGAGTTCCTTATGACTAATCTAATCGGTGACCGCTAATGATTTCTTGTATTTACCCAGAGCTCGGTTCTTGAGTGAAATCGTTATCTTTATATTATAAGTTGACCAAGGTGTTGGAGGTTTAGTTACTCTCTTCGTTTGACAAGGGGCGTGTTTTTCAAAAAGATTGGGTATGTTGTCGTTTAGGAAGGAGACCATGCAAGCCACATTATCGAATTGGTAGATGAGATTATCTTGAAAATTGTCAAAGTAATTTGAAGAGCATATAATTGTTTCATCATCAGCAAATAATTCAACTAATCCCCTCGGAGGTAAATTCGTTAATGAGTTTTATGTATATTAAAAAAAAAGAACTGGCCAAGAATAGATCCTTGCGGTACTCCAAAATTTATTTTTCTCATGGAACTCTTTTGATTGTTGTCTATCACTTATACAATGTACAAACCAATTGAGGATATTCCCTATAGTATTAGTATTATTGATTTACGGTGCAGTGATATGCTTAAGAACGAATATCAAAATTCATCTTTGTTGGAATTTTATAAGAGTCTTCCACTGGAACAATTTGATAATTTGCATAAATGCACGTGGATTGTTTTCTGTTTTTGGTACTACTTACTTGTGTGAGAAAACGTTTTCCAAGATGAAGTACACAAAGAATATTTACAGATCTCAATTTACCGATGAGCATCTTAAATCTCTTCTGATAATTGGTACAAGTAAAATTGATCCACAACTACAAAGTATTGTCGGTGGAAAATCACAATTACATAAATCTCATTAGTGTTTTTGTTTTACTGTGATTCATTTCAATTATTTGTTAGTTATTAATATGCTTAAACTTAGATACTTAAGTTGAGATTTTTTTGTCATCATTTCTGTCGTTAAGTTTTACCTTGCAAGTAAATAAAACCGAGTAATTATCATTCTGTGTTTTCTTCTTCAACTTATCACAGCAATAGTAACAACAATTAGGTAATCATTGGCTGTCGCGGGCCAGATTGATGACAGTAAATCATTGGCTGTTGCGGGCCGGATTGATGACACTGGCGGGCCGGATTTGGCCCGCGGGCCGTAGTTTGGAGACCTCTGTTCTAGATCATTCCTGAATATTCCTTGATGTTGTGGAATGCTCTGGACTGTTCTAGGGAGTTAAACTTCCAGCTTTCATATCTTCAAAAACACACCCTTTAGGTTTTAACAGGGACCTTCTGGTGTGACACACAGAAAAAAATGAATGTTCTGCCACCCGTGCGAAGCCGAATTAGGTCACTAGTTGAAAATAATGTGTTTTGAGCTGTATGTCAACTAACATCCAATTTGTGCTTTCATTAACTATAGAAAAAAGATTACCAAATATCCATCCTAATATTTCATCAGCATTTTAATCACAAAATTGATTGATGTAGCCGTTACTACGTTGTAGGAGACCATCGTGAAATGAAACTTTCTCTTGTACCACTTTTATTTGTTACTATCGTACTTCAGTTTTGTCCAATATGGACACTTTCAAACTAATACAATAGAAAAATAAAAGTGGTAAAAACATAGAAAGTTTCATTTCTCATTTTAAACACTCATTACAAATTTACACAATACGATATTCTAAAAAACTCACCGTGAACCATGGCACTTTCCAGATATAGTAGCCACTTTCCTGGTCTATTACCTTCACCAGGACCTGGAGAAACCTGCAAAGGCCACTCGATGTTTACTTTCACATCGAACATATCCCAATGCCCATTATTATCGATCTGATATTTATGGATAACTCTGGCGCCTATGTCTTCCAAATAGTTTATGCTCGATTCTCCCATGATTTTACCGCCGTAGAATAAATTAGAGGTTGCTTTGCTGTAAATGAGAAAAAAGTGAAATTTCTCAAGAAAAATCGGTGAAGGAAAAAACCATTTGTTCGCCATTTATTTCTCAGGATCATGCTTATTTAATAATTATTTCAAACCATAAATTTCCGAAGTTAAAGTTATTTTCGTATTAGACAAAAGATCAAATTAGGCGATTTTGAATGTAAAATTGCTTTCTGCATTGGGCCTCGTCATAGGGCCGTGGCATCCTTCGAAGTAGTCCCCATTTGAATGAATCACACGCTCCCATCGGTGGCCTTCAGCTCGCGCGTCGCATTACTCGGAATCGTATTGGTTTTCTTGAAACCGCTTTTCTTTGATTGGCATTATCAACTTCGGAAACATCGGAAAGTCGCAGGTAGCTATGTCGGGACTGTACGAAGGCTGGCGAAGCTGTATAATCTTGTGTTTCGCCAACAATTGCTGCACAAGGTTAGATGGATGCGCTGTCGCGTTATCATGGTGAAGAAGCCATTCATCACTTCACCAAAGACGTGGCTGTTTTCTTCTCACTGCATCAAGCAGTAACAACTTCAACGTAATATTCTTTGGTGATCGTCTGCCCTCTTGGAACAAATTCGCAGTGCACAACATCCTCACAATCGAAAGAAATGATGAGCATTGACCTGGAAATCCGGTGGTTGTTTGACTGGATGCTTCCACTGTGAAGATTGTTGTTTACTTTCAGGATCGTAACCATGAACCCATGATTCAAAGAAGGGTCACTGTCAACGGATGTGCGGCCATTTTTAAACACCCTGTACCATTCCTCATCTGTCTTGTGCACATAATGGCCTTCTGTCATTTCAATAGTCACCCTTCAACTCTTGCCCAGAATGAAGCAGAACTTGATGCAAATGCCATGATCTGTTTTCTTTGTCATTTTCAACAGTAAATAAGTGCGACGAACGGAGGACATAAACACAAGCTGCGCGCGACCCAAGGCGTTCATCCGGTAACTACGGTTATCAGGGAGTTCGTGAAGGACTACTGATTACCACTGAATAGTCTGATCAGGCTCATACCCTGCAGAGGCCAATCAAGCTTTCTGGCGCGTAGATATGAACGCAAGTCGGTTACTTTTCGTTTACACCTCGTATAATGGACGCAATGCCGGTGCTCTCAATAACTCGTCTGAAAGAACCAATTAGTTTTGCGTATTAAATGAATGGAGAGGTCCTAGAAAATTAAACAGAAGTAAAAGATCTTGGAGGAACTTATAATTCACGATTCTCATTTTCTAGTCATATCAAAAAAATATCAAATCTGCCAATATAATTCTGGGTTTTGTGATCTGGCGGGCATCATGCTACATTAAGCTACTATATTAGTCTTTAGTATGGCCTAAACTAGAATTTGCTTCTACTATTTGGTCCAGGGAGTATAAAACGTATCTATATGAATTGGAAAAGGTTCAGAATGAATTACTAATACATTTATAGTTGAAACAGCATCATGTGTGTGTGGCCTGACTATAATAATGTAACAAATTAATGAATTAACTGCCTTAAACAACAATATTTCACTAATCACAAACTAATTTATTTACAACACTTAGCAACTAACGCTTAATTCATTTCCACTATTTCAATTTCTTGTTTAGCCGCTCGATTCACTTTCTGAACTGCCCTCTTTGGTCGGGAAGACGTGCTTATATCGGTAACGGTCCTTTATAGAAATCTGTAGTCGGTTAGGTCCTAGAGTTTTAGCGGCGATTCCCGACTGCATTCTTTCGCAGTGATGTCATGTGTTTGTTCGCTGAGTCGGCCGGCATATCGGTCAGGGGCGGCTTCAGATTCTTCGGAATTCAAAATATTATCTTTGGAACAACGAAAGAACTTGAACTGTATAATATATCTGCACAAAAAAATAAATACTTAAATTAACTCTTCGAAATTCTCAATGCGATTCCATTCAACGTTCCTCCTCATCGTACAAGTTCTATACTCATTTTCAATATATCAAGAAAAGGGAATCTAGCAAGGGGACCACTGGTTTTCATCCTCAAATTAGCTAATAACTTCAACACTTTCAATAAGACTGGACCTCACCCCCAGCGCTCTATCACAAGAATGGTTTAGACTGCATATCGAATACAAGTATTTGAGGCTGACTTTCCACATCTCCACAATTTTGAACTCAGTTCCTACAATTCTGGGCATTGATTAATAGGTAGTAGGTATAATATAGACAATATTTTTATGTAAATATTTGTAATTCACCTTATTTATCCAAGCCTGTTTGGGTAATAAATGAATGAATAAATAAAAAACCATTGCGAAGCTCCAGGCGCAGATCTTAATGCGGCTTTTATCTTTTATGAGAAGTATATAAGTTGCAAATAAATAAATGAATGTAGCACTTCAAAATACTATACAAGAAGGTTTATAAAAAAAATAAATAAAAACAAAAAACAATATGGGAACCTGAAGTAGCAAACGTTTCGTCTGATACTGTGGCATACATCATCAGTGGTATGTGCATTGACTGTAAGGATGAAGGTTATATCTCGAAAATGTTGAGTTTATTTTAAACAGTTCAAATAGTTTATTCACGTATTTGAAAAAACTCCATTCCTAACTTGAAACAAGTTTAGTCAGTTTCCGTGGAAAATGTTTTTTGTTTAGGATATACACTATTATAATCTCATAAAAAAACTCAAATTTGAAAATTATATGTAAACTTGGACCTTAGAAAACTGAACGTGACATTAATATTTCCCAAAACAGTTTCAATAATTATGTTCAAGATCTCTAGACTTAACTCACCCTCTGATCTGGAATTTTGCCACTTTCCGTAATATCACATTGATTGTCTGAGAGGTTTCTTTTGAAAGTTCTATCGAAGTCGAATTCACGAACATGTCTATCTTCAACTCCTGATCTTTGGTGTCTTTCCTAATTTCGAATTTCAGTCTCAGGTTCAATTTGCTACCTTCTTTAAATGGATTACCAATATCACAACTAACTAACGTTTCATTGTGGAACACACATTTGACGTGACCCTGGAAGAATCACTGAGATTATAACCAATATTGAAGATTAGAAAGTGCCAAATCAATCCTTACCGGAACATTTTTATCAGATTTTAGCGAAACATAGCTCAAAGCTTTGGGATGGACGACAAATAGTTTGGCTTCGTAGGCAGAATCTTTACTATTCGTTATATTTGCTTCAACATCGAAAACTTCGTTAATGCTCTTCACTTTGTAATTACCCAAGCCATCGCCTGAAACAGCAAATTGGGGACGTTTTGATGATATTCAAACTGACTGTAAAAATCACAACTGTAAAAATCGTTTAGACCATCAAAAGTAGCAAACTTTTTGAATCTCTTAGTATATTCATCATCCTACAATATGAACTCAAAACCAAGAAACTAACTGAAGAATGCTTCAAGTAAGTACTCTAAATTTTCAAAAAATTTGGACTAGACCCGTTTGCTACGAGATTTCAGAAGTTTTTCCAATGACCTCTTTCATGAAGATCTCAGGAACGCAGACTTCGAGTCAATTTATCAACGATAAAGGAGACACATTGTGTTCTCTGCAGTTTGGGTATAATTTACTTTTAAGTGTTTTACGAGTTTTACCTGAATTTCCAAGATAAACTGAAAATAATTAAGCAAATTGCAGTAAACAATCAGATTTCTCTAATAGAAAAGATAATATGAAGTAAAACTCATAAAACACTTATAAGTAAATTATACCCAAACTGCAGAGAACAAAATATATGTAAGTATAGTAGCATCAACTACTCTGATAAACTTTCAGAAAATACTCAAAATCACTTTTTTAAATACAAAATAACAACAGCTTTCATAAGTAATAATAATTTAGGCACTATTCTGTTCAAGGAAAACCCGAACGAGATAGAATGAAAAAATCAGGTATATATAGTGGCGAATATATAATGTGGCGAATGCTTGACAGTATATACAGGCCAAAGCGATAGATATTTTGACGTCTGTTTGGAAAAAAAATCTACAATGTATGAAAATTTTCAAGAATCAAAATACAAGCTAAGTAAAGATAACCCCAAAATCCTACTCATATGTAATAAAGGGAAAAAATTAATTCACTGGAAGCCATGGAAATTAACAAATCAATTAAAAACCTGAAACATATACCCCTAAACGAGCAACTCGATTTATGTAGGTCACTCTTGAATTCATAAGTTTGACAACCCCTATAATATTCAGTGTTGAATTTTATAGTTGGCACCCTGGTTCGTTCAACAACCTGTCCTTCTATCTTACCTAAAAACTCCCAATATAACCGAGTTTTCAAATTTCACATTTTAGTTTTATACTTGATGATGAGGTTAAACCCAAAACCGGTCGTATAAATAAAATTAACTAGTGGAAATTAGACAAAAGTGTTTATTCATTTCACTAAAGTAATGTTGGTATGTTGAAAATTTTGAAAAGGCTTTTAGAGCTTGCAATTTTTGAGACCTCTACGTCGTATAATCTTTTTGTGGGCGACAAAACATCTTTGCATGAGGAGGATACTCCCCAGAGAGAAATATCATACCAAAGACAGGACTCGGCTTGAGAGTAATACAGCATAATCAGATGTTTATGGTCTAGAATATAACGGTTCCAAAGCATTTTTTTTGTCTACTGTGATTATTTTTTCATTTTTATTGTAATCTGTGAAATGAAGACCTATCATTATTATTATTAACACTATTATTATTAATGTTAGTTATACTGAAGAGAGGTTCGAACAATAACCATCACCATGATGAGGGAGATACTCAAGAAAGAAATCAAGCATATCAAACATGACAACAAGATATGGAACTCTTCACTTGAAAATCTAACAACTCACTTTCCAAATTAGTTCCTGCCTTGAGAGTGAGATAACTTTCGCAAATATCGTCGTCGCCACACTCCTTCTGAAATGTTGCCTCGAAAAGTTTGACAGACGTTTTATTCAAAATAGCACTGTGAAATGTATTATTCTCCAAAGTGTAATTCACTCGAAACTGAAACGAAGAAGAACTCAAATAAAATATCGCTCAGAAGAGAATCTAGCTCGACAAATCATTCTGTACCTTAATCGGCGATAAAATATCACTGACGGTCTCTTTGAGGTAGGCTACTTCTTTCTGACAATACTGTTTTGAGTAACTACTGACTGAAATCGTTTTGGTCCTGGCTGAATAGTGTTTGTTTTCATGCATTTCGTCCAATAACCAAATGCGGTTGATGAATTTTTTTTCTTCGGCTATATTATAGATCACGTGGAAGTTATCAGTCTTTTTCAGTTTACCGACTATGGAAAAGCAACACTGGAAGGAAAAACTGGAAAAAAACAGATGTAAACAGCTAAACCACTGAATGGAGTGCATTTTCCTTACCAAGTGTAGTTACTCTGGCCCACAGAGCATGCTTTTCTGGAAGCGTTTATATTTTTCAACTCGTTGCTTTTTATTTCGATTTTTATATCGATTATAGGTCTCGCTTTGAATAACAAAACCTTCTCCGATTCGAATGCTCCGACAGCCAAATCTGGATATCCGTTATTATCCATGTCCATTCCTCCACTCAAAGAGTAACCGAAAGTTTTGAGAGTTGATATCCTGATCACCTGAAACAATTTCATTCTAAAATGTATTTCGTTTCTCAAGATCGTCTGGGAAAGACATAATACTATGCAATATGTATCTTCTTTATTTGCTAATGGATAATAATACGTTTATTCAACAAACAATTTACAATAGGCAATTGAATATCACATAAATACAATAAAATTAACATACGTACTCACAGAAACAAGTGATTGCTTGTACGTGAGAGAGATACTATTTGACAATTGCAATAGAGCTAATCCAAGAAATACAATACTATTTATTGTGGGAGAATCCTTCTCACTATCGGAAAATTTATGACGGAAATCAAAACAAGTCTGAAGACTATCGAGTAGAGATAAATACCTATAAGGAAATAAATATTTTGAAATAAAATCTCGAAACATTTATCTCTCCCACAACATACTGTTGTAAATCATGCCCTAATGAAAATAACGCCGGCCGCCACTGGTAGTCATAAACCAATCGTGATGTAGCTAAGAGCGCGCGAATGTACGATGTTCGCTGCCGCTCTAGATGCAGCAAGAATAATGCTACCGATTTCGATGGAATTTCGGCGAAATTTTCTACCGCATTCGATTGTGATATATAAACACTAGCCGCGAGCATATCGACACAGTCAAATGGAAGTTACAGTGCGGTACGCGAAGTGATCTAGTAAGGCGATAGATATTCGAATAATAGTTGAAGTTTTAGTTGAAGTGTTCATTGTATTTAAAGTGAAATAGAGTTGAGTTGGATTATTGTAATTGATAATTGCTTGGAGGATCGGAAAAAAAGCTGGCACAAGTGTATTATATAAATAACTAATATTTTTTGAGAAAAATGATTATTTACCTCATTTTTTGAACAGTCCTCGTACACTGATATAAAAATGATAATAATAATAGTCATGATTTGCTGACTGAGCACTAACCTGCGATGGTTCTTCGTTGAGGCCGTTTTGAGAACCCAAGTATATGTAAACGGCGCCCCGTTCGTTATCGTAAGGCGCTCCAATAGCAACGTCGTTGTATCCGTCCTTATTGATGTCTCCTAGGGATGTCATCGAAAATCCGAATCGGGATTGCTGCGTACCGTGGAGGACTTTGTTCCATGTGCAGTTCTCCTGCACGCAATTCTTCATATTATAATAAATATAAACGGCGCCTCCCTTGTTTTCTCCGTAGTAAAACGGAGCGCCTACCAACAGATCGTCGTAGCTGTAATACAAACCAAAGTGAGAAATCTTATATCAAACATGAATTCTGATGGTAGGTACAGTCAAAGTAAACAGTATTCTGCACACTTCAAGTTGGCGACACTCTCAAAGGCAAAAAAAAGCAATACATAGAAATGAACCGGCAGCGAGCTAGTACTGTAGACTTGTCGGTTCATATTTGATAATTTCTACTAACCGAGTTTGATGATTAGCTGAAGAGTCATAATATTAAATTTGAATTCATGTTACGAATAGAAATCGGGATTGCGTGGATGGTTATCGCCGTCGTGTTCAGTTCAGGAACTGATCGCGATTTGAGTGTTGAAATTCGATATTGGTGCAGTTATAATTAATACTTAAAATTTTTGTTATCTGTTTAAAATGTGGCGTTCTTGGACAGGTACTTATAGTAATAACGAGTGTGATAACAACGCATACTTTTTCCAGTGCAGTGATTCCAATAGCAATGGTGAACAATGCGAAAAAGAGATACCAGTGAATAAGATTCGGATGCATTTGAATATTGAAACATAGCGAGTATGTTTCAATGTATATAAGAATCTACATATCAAGTTTGGTTTCGAAGGTAACAAACTATTACAAGCAACATCAGGTTTGACATTATTTCCTTTCTCAACTGCACGTAAAATTGTCAAAAATAAACCTTATGAACGCAAGACGCGATGTAATACAGGATTATCAAAATCTTTAGATGTTCCTCTGATAAAATCATTGAAATGAACAATATATACGACTGTTACAAAAGCAATGAGATTCCTACAACTGAAATCATAAGAAAAAAATTGAATACCTCCGGCCATAACGTGGGCTGCTGTGACAAAACTCTTCAGAATTGGATATAGAAACTAGGATTTAGATTTAAAATAATAAACAAACACCAAGCAGTTATGGAAAGCAGAAGAATAGTGGAATTGCGTAACAAATACTTAGAACAAATAACTATATATAGACAAGAACAACGGCAAATTTTCTATTTGGACGAAACTTGGTATGACATTCACGACACAGTTACGAAAAGATGGACTGATGGTTCGAGAATGTGTACGCCTAACGTACCAGCAAACAAAGGACCGCGACTAATAATTGTGCATTGCGGAGGATGTAAAATGTAAAAGATGGGTTCCGAATTCTTTGAAATTATGTGGAAAAAAACTTGAGGACTGCAGTGTTGACTATCATAAGAACGTGGAAGATAATATTTTTAAGGAATGGTTTGAAAACACATTAATCCCAAATTTGGATGTTATATAGTTATTGTGATTCTTATATAATCAGAAATGATTATTGAATAACAAAATTAATTAGCTCCCTAACAATATTATTAAAGGGGAGCTGTTGGAAGGTAGCTTGCACTATATCGTTTACTTGAACTATACTACCGCCTTCAGGGGCCTTATTTTTACCTTATAACAGTTACTTAAAGTGAAAAATTTTCACTGAAAACCAAGTGCAACAACTTACCCATCATTATTAACATCCACAGCAAGTACCTCATACCCAAAACTGGATGCAAACTGTTCACCAGTGATAATCAAAGAAATATTGAATTCTTCGTTGTTGTACTTTGTAAAAAAGTACACCTTTCCCTTCATTTCTGCTCTTGGGGCTCCCGAAATATACGTGTACTCTGATTTGTCAAAGAAGTGTCCGCCAGCGACACTCATTCCTAAAAAATATACCCTATACATTTCGGACTCATTATAATACTTATACTCGACTTCCATGATATCAATTTTAAAAGTTTTCAGTAACTTGTTTTCAGAATACTTCAAACAATTCAACATCTTTCAATCTCAAACTCATAAAAATCGAATGGAAGGAAATATTATCAATGATAATAATTATATATTTTCACAATAAATTTCATTTTCAACTATTGAATGGGATGAAAAGTTCGTATGGTAACTCACAGGTGGTGCTACTAGTATTGAATCCATATGATTTTCAGTTAACCCTAACCTTCAAAAGACACGAGTACAAATGTCACAGCTGTCGGACTATTAGTTTGTGGGATAGAACATTCTGAGTCAAGCAACTTTAGTTAGTTCGAAGAAAACTTATAAAAATGAATTTCGTGTGTTAATAAAGCATTGCTTTTCGGAGAAATAAATACTGTTGAAGCCAAAGCTTGGCTTGATAAACATCAGTCGGACTTTCCACCAGGAAATCAACCGCTGAGAAGTGGTTTGCTAAGTTTGAACGGGGTGAAATCAACACCGTCCACGCAGTGGACGCCCCAAAGAGGTTGTTGTGATGAAAAACCAAAAAAGTCCACAAACATTTCTGGATAACCGCAAAGTGGAGTTGATCCAGACGGCTGAGGCTCTGAAGATATCAAAGGAACTTGTTGGACATATTGTAACGAATCTGAAGCCGCCCCTGATCGGTTGAATTGATACGCCAGCCAACTAGTCGAACAAACACAGCACCTCGAAAGAATGCAGTCTGGAACTGCCGGTAAAATTCTAGACGAGTACCGAACCGCCTACAGAATTCTCGAAAAGACCTTTACCGATATAAGCCCATCTTCCCGACCCAAGAGGGCAGTTTGGAAAGTGAATCGAGCGGCTAAACAAGAAATTCTAATGGTGGAAATAAATTAGGCGTTAGTTGCTAAGTGTTGTAAATAAATTAGTTTGTGATTATTGAAATATTGTTGGAAGTAAATTTGTTTAAGACAGTTAATTCATTAATTTGTCACAATATCGTGCATGAAAATTTGGATGTGTGAAATTTCGCACCAGAATCAAAACGATCGTCATCTGAGTAGACCTCACGTGGTGAACCGACTCTAAAGCGTGCAAAGAGGCAACAGTCGGCTGGGAAGATTATGGTATTAGTGTTTTGGGATGCGCATGGTATGATATTCATCGACTATCTTGAAAAGAGAAAAACCACAGTAAAAATAATCAACCAGTAAGTGAACTCCCACAACTTTTATCCATATATTCTCGGTGACCTTGAAACGAAGTGCGGAGCCAATTTCGTTCTTTTCACATAGGCGTGCGCTCATATAAAAAAAGAAATTTAAAGATATTATAGAAGATTTTTTGGTAAGTTACTTATTCCCTACGGCGATGTCACCGGCTTTTCAACAGCCCAACCCTTGAAACATGCGGTCCACACATGTGTTGATATTGCCGTCCGGCCAACCCGAGCAAAAAATCCGGACATTGACCATTTAAAAAAATGTTCACCGAAGTTTTGAATGTGTATTTTCTTTTTGTTTCATTTTCTTTCTCTCTTGTCTTGAATATTTTTTTTCTATAATGCTGATACATATAATATAATGTGCTGCAAATAAGTACTCATGTGAAATAACAAAAAACAAGATTTTGGGGATGACGTTGAAGTAGAAGGGATGGCTAAATCTAATAATGGTGTGAAGTCTGTCCCAGAGGTTCCCAAAATTGAAAATGGCAAAACAGTAAAAGGTATTGTTTATAATTGTTTAATAACATAATCATTATAAACAACATTATCATATCTATATCAGTACTTGACTTTGATAACGATTGTACAGTGTTTCCAATTTTGTTAAGCAAATCAAGTCTGCAGCATGCTTCCAGCCATACAGATTGAACAACTTATTAGGTACTTACTTACCTTTCGGGATCTTTCGGGAATCTATAAAATTTCTCACTATAATTGTAGGCCTTGTTTTTGCAATCATTGAAGCAGCAAACATTTCCTGACTTCTTTTACTCGTATAATTTATTTTTTACATCTCTCATTTACTATTCGCTCAATAATAAAACAAACAACAATAACCAACTACAAAAACTAAAAACTATAATAACAACAGCGAATAAACAAAACACAATATCAATTTTCGACCGTCTATTGTAACTAATCCGATGCCCGTGTCACCGTCGAATCCTTCGATACTACAGCACTGAACGCGTTGGATGAGAATCTCATCCTAAGAGCGGTTGAAGGTCCCCGGCAACTCGGGCGGATCACGTGATAAGAGAGCCTACTGGTTGTATTATTCTACTGTGGAAGAATAATCAATAGCGATTATTACATAGCGTTATTGGAGCGTTTGAAGGGCGAAATCGCGGAAAAACGGCCCCATATGAAGGAAAACAAAGTGCTGTTTAATCAAAACAATGCATCGTGTCACAAATCAATGAAAACCGTGGCAAAATTGTATGTATTGGGTTTGTTTCCTCATCCACCGTATTTTCCAGATCTGCCGCGACTTTTTCCTGTTCTCGAACCTCATGAGAATGCTCGCTGGAAACAAATTTAGCTCCGGTAGTCGAAACTGAGACCTATTTTGAGGCTAAAGACAAATCGTTCTTTAAAATGGTATGACCGCTGTAATCATTGTATTGCCCTCGAGGGCAACTATATAAAATAATAAAATAGAAATTTCACCAATTTTTTTTTTCAATGTTAGCCTATGACCTTTTCGGCCCAAGTTACTGGTTAATGGTGTGACCAGTAACAGATGAAGTTACCGTGTAGCGAAACTACGCGGCCATTTTGAATAACGGCCTGTTATACCGTTGAAAATAGAATTTCATATCCGATCAAATGGTTAGAAAAAATATACGAGATTCTGTTATAGACATAGATTGTCAAGTGGTTTATCATTAAAAATATCGGCTTCAATTATCAAATTTCTTACATCATGAACAACTGAATGACACCGTGTAGAATGATTTCGTTGCCACCCGGTATAGCGAATGAAAAATATTCTTTATAATTATATTTTCACTATAATGGATGTTTTCATATCGAATTCAGAATAGAGATTTCAGTTTTGTTTATATTACATTTACGACTTGACATCCATAATTCATTTTTATTACGGAGAGTTTATTTCGAAATATGACCCAATTCAGCTCTACGTAACAAATCATAAACCCTTACCCAAATAACTATATTTTTCAATCTCGTCGATATCTCCAAAGGGTCCGTGATAAATTGTCTTGTCTTTAGTTAAAAAGTCACCGACTACGACTTGGCCGAAAACGGTTCCTCTCCACGTGTAAGGTCCGGGAGCTCCCATCAGAGCGAACTGATCCCCAACAAAAGATACGCTAGTGCCCAGTTGACAGAATCCGAACTGCTGATGAAGCCTGAAATATATGAAAATACGTCAAATAATAGTGTATTCGAGTGTGGAGTAAATAAAAGTTTATTCGAGACAGTAATGGCCATTTTTCGCAAGTAGATTACTATACTTTTTCTATGACTACTTCTCTATAGTATAGTATAAAATGAGATTAAAAGGATTTGGAAAAGCTGAATACACTTATTTCAATTAATGAATCGAAGAGGTTTTGTATTAAAGTGTATAATATATTAAAATTCTTGCAAAGCGCTTTCGACTTTTGTCATCATCAGTGCTCACTATATTATACACTTTAATACAAAACCTCTTCGATTCATTAATTAAAATGAGATTAATTTGTGAAAAAGAGTAATATCATTTATTTTCGTAACAAGAAACAAATTAAAAAAGCATTCAAAAAATATTTTCTATCTTTGTGTAGTGAAACTACCTTGGAAAGATCGGATAATGGTAAACACACTACACTGTGTTCTAGATCTTAGGTTAGGTCCAAAATGAGTGGGTCTATTCGATCCTTTACCGCAACCCGCAAGGGTTTATTGTGGCTCACACCTATTCACACTCGACGAAATAAACCCAGCTTGTTAACGAAACCGATTAGTTTGTATGGTGAGTGGTCTTTCAGGTCAGATGGTAAGAGTACGGTTCTGCCGAACTCTAAAGACCTGATTCGGTCCCCAGCGGGGCAGGCACAAAGTATGAGCTCTGCTGTTTATCATTTTTCAAACAGAGACGACAGACACACACTGCCTTCCGACAGTCCGAGTCTGCATATGATGACTCAAATGACAGTGACCGGTAAGAAGGCATGTTAGACGTCGTAGTTCATCCCTACTGTAGTGCAACAACTATTTGGTATCAAGCTTCCAAAGGTGAATAAACGCCTTGGAGGGATCCAATCCTAGAAGATTCTGCCAGAAGTCCATAAATCTTCTTACCATCCAGGTGTTCAATCTTTGTTTGGCAAAGCCTAAAGCACACAGGTTCTGTTCCAATGAAGCTGCTTGTAGCACCCTCCTTTGTAAGGGAGTCAGCAGCAGCAGAGATAATCTGTTAAGTCTTCCTATGGAGGAGAGTCGTTTTTGGCAATTTGCTACCAATTTATACGTTGCTCGGTAGGAGCCAAGAGCTTCCAACGCCGCCTGACTATCCAAGAATATTTTTATTGACTTGTGTTTAAGGTTGGATTCTTTCATCTCTCCGCACACAATTCAATAGCGTAAATTTCCACTACAGATATATCAACCTGCCTAGGTTCCTAGGCAGGTTGATATCTCTGTCCCGGGTCTGCGACTGAAAACACCTGCACCAGAACCGGAAGATGTTTTTGATCCATCTGTGAACCAGCAACTATCTGCTCTTAATATTTCCTTCTCCTGGAGGATCCAGTCCTCTCTACTCGGGAACAGTACTTTATAAGGCAGTTCGTAGTTGACAGTTGGATGCATAAAGTCAGAGGTCATTTCCAGAATGCTGTGACTTCCAGTGTCAACCAACAGCCTGTTGCACTTGGCATTAAAATGATTTGTGCAATTAGAAATGTGCACAAGTCTATATGCAGTCCATCTAGTCTCTCTCCCCAGAAAAATGTGTAGAGGAGGTAGATCTAGAAGGATCTCCATGGCCGCTGAAGGTGTGGTACTGATGGCACTACTGATGGTCAGACAAGCCTATCTCTATAAGCTAGAGAGCTTTGCCTGGGCCGTTTTCTGTAAAGCCTTCGGCCACCAGGCAATTGCACCTTAAGTGATCATTGGTTTGACAATCATCACATAAATCCAATTGATTTGTTTGGGACCTAAACCCCAAGTTTTACTACAAATCTTACGACACGTCCATAGGAACAGTCTGGCTTTGTGTAAAACTTTTACCAAGTGAGCGTTCCAGGTGAGTTTTTTATCAAGGACAATGAGATATTTCACCTCCGTTCCAAAATGAATGACCTCACCATTGAGGGAAAGTGGCGTTAGATCGTCCAATTTTCTCCTCCTGATGAAGGGGATTATCACAGTTTTGCTGGGGTTGACAGACATCTGCTCCCTCAGGCACATACTGCGAATAACGTCCATCGTGCTTCTTCTAGATCTTAGTGAGACCTTGAATTGTGTTTGTCATAACTCATTGATCCAGGAACTGGCATATTAAGATATTCGCTGAAACTTTTCGAAACTCATCTCTACAATAGGATACGAGGCAATTTGTTTCGATTGGTGACGAATTTTCTACCACAAAACCTACAAAACATGGAGTCCCACAAGGGTCGGTTTGGGGTCTACTTCTTTTTATTGTTTATGTCAATGATCTATTTTACTGCCTTTTTCCAAAGAAAAATTTAGATTTGCTGATGACACAACTCTCATCAGTTCTTATAGAAAAATTGTAAATCTGAACTCTGACATTGAGAGGACAACAACAGATTTATCATAGCTCAGAACAATTCAACAAACTCACTACAGTAAACTACCTGACACCATCTCAAAAATAAACTGAAGCATTCCTTTAAAGCCAATGTATTTTTCGATTCCCTTTTCAATTATATTATTTATACACACTCCATTTCATTGTTTCAAATGTATTCATCTGACAATATCTTAACTTTGACTTGTTTCTCTTGTACAACTTGAATTTTTAATTATCTTCACTCTGAATTTCACTAGTTCGGACTTCCATTGTCTACTATATAAAATGATTTGAAATCCCTGAAACAATTAGTTGTTCCAGGGATTTCAAATCATTTTATATAGTAGACAATGGAAGTCCGAACTAGTGAAATTCATCATGAAACATTGTCAATCACCTTCAAACAAATATCATCACTCTGTTTGATTAGTTTATGTTATTATTTGACTTTCTGTGGTTATACAGTGTGTAAAAGCCAAATAGAATAAATTTATTATTTCGGTTATTGTACATATTTGAAAAAAATCCCGAAACATATCAAATTTAAATAATAATTTGACATACTTCAACGGAAAAATGCTACCCTTACCTTGTATCCCCGTCAAATGACAAGTACAACTCCCAATTTTTTAAGTGGGAAGTATAGGTTTGTGAGATATCGTTTGAAAGGTATATTCATTCTCTATTCAAACGTGTTATTGCTTTCAAGTTCATTGCAACATTTAAGATATAATAAATTAAAATCATGTGATTACCGAAATTCGATAAAATACACTCAAAAACTAAAATGTAATGCAAAACGTATTGAAATGAAGAATACGAAAAAGAACTATGGATGTTAACGTAGATGTAGATGTTCAAAATGTGTAAGTAATTTTTCATAGAGACGGTTTTTAGGCTATCAATATTTCTGTAACTCGCCACCAGATGGCGCTGTAGAACAATTTTTTGAAAACACTGTTCTATAACGCTGCGCACGCCTGAGTTCGTTGACTCTGATTCTGTCAAAACATTGGAACAGCAGCGATACAGCAACATAGTACTAGTCTTAAATAAAACTGTCTTCTAACATTATTTAACATATTAGGCGTGACCGACCTAATAGCAAGCGTTATTCCTTCTTTTAAGTCATTCAAATCTGAAGGTTTAGTTTTGTACACAATGCTCTTTAGAAATCCCCAAAAAAAGAAATCTAATGATGAAAGATCAGGTGATCGCGCTGGCCATTCAATCGATCCTCGCCATCCTATCCACCGATTGGGAAATGTTGTATGGAGGTACTGCCAGACATTAACTAGGTACTGGGGTGGTGCTCCATCCTGCTGAAACCAAATCATATTCACTGGAACTTGAGGGTTTCCTGGATCAGGATATGAATTTGCTGAATTTGGAATGACATCATTTTGGAGTAGTTCCAAATAATTATTTTCTTGAAAGCAATAACATTTTTGAATAGAGAATGAAGATACATGTCAAACGATATATCACAAACCTATACTTCCCATTTATAAAATTGGGGATTGTACCTGTCATTCGAAGGGGTTGAAGGTAGGGGTGGCATTTTTACGTTGAATAATGTCAAATTATAATTTACATTTGCGTTTTTCGGAATTTTTAAAAATTATGTACAGTAACCGAAATTTTTTGGTTTATTGTTTAGTTGATATTCAAACAATGTTTGGAACATCAAGGTAATTTATAGGAGAATTAGAAGAGTATAGCAATTAGAAGAGTAGAATTACGTATCAACCCTGGCGTCCCTATGGGGGTTGTACCTGTCATTCGACGGGGGTTGAAGGTAGGGGTAGCATTTTTCCGTTGAAGTATGTCAAATTATAATTGAAATTTAACGTGTTTCTGGATTTTGTTAAAATATATACTGTAACCGAAATAATGAATTTATTCCATTTGGCTTTTACACACTGTATGTATTACTTTAGTTATTTCTTTTTGTGATTTGAATCTGAACAAACATTATTATTATATATTATGAGATATCATCGACATCGTTTATTCGTTTATAATACCTATTGATGTCAATTAGTTTGACAGATGTAGCTTCCGCAAGATGGCCGTTTTCACTTGTCAAAATTCGGAAGTCCTGTTGGAAGACCCTATACATTGATGTACGAAACATGTTGGAATAAATGAATATATCAACTAAATTATAATCTAACTTACTTTTCAACCGGCCTCCCTTTGCACAGCTGCAAACTCTCGTAGATGGACAGATCCTTGTCGAGCAGATAACAGAGCCCTTGACCGTAATGGAACTTGCCCAGGTTCGGGCTCTGGATGTACCTGTGTGCGCAGACCATGACAATACCTCCTGGTTTCTGTGACTTCACGGTCACCCCCAACCATTGTCCGTTTTTTATTTCGTCCGATCCGGGAGGATACAAACTTTCTTCTTCTTCTCCGTCGTAGTCAAAATCTTCGACTAGATCAAGCAAAAAAAATAAAAGACTGGAGCGAGAGACAGAAATATCTTCGGAAAAAACACAAAGGATAATAGTCCAGTCATTTGAGGTTTTATCTGCGGAAAAATTCTTACTGAGCTGAATTTTGGTATACACCTTCGTTATGGCGTTTTAATGAAGACGTGAAAAATCTACATTGATATCGTGCCGGCTAAAAAAATTATAAGGGTCGAAATGTCACGAAAATCAGTTTTTCGGGAATATCTCGCGACCTATAGCTCGGAGGTTAATAAAGGTCATTATAAAATTTATTCCTCATACGATTATCTACAAAAAATGTCTTTTGCATTTTTCTGTAAAGTCAACCGTTTTCGGACTAGAGCGCTGAGAAAGCGACTACATTATGATGATGCACCCGTTTCCGCACCACCTTTGAGGTAAAATCAAAGCGCGTTTTTTTACATGGTTTCCCCCGTAGGCATAATCCATGAACTATAATAAAAGGTTTTTTTTTTTCATTTTATGCTCAATAATTTTCTATTTGTACATTGAAAAATAGGGAAAAAAATGTTTGTGTATAATTTTCTTTTATATTCATTCGTCGTCGATATCCTCAATTTCAACTTCATCAAAAGTTGCTGACAAAACATCGAGTGGACTTATTACTCTGTATTTAAATCAACATCTTCATCATTTTCTTCACTAGAGGACTCTGCGTTTAAGCATGACTGACCACGACAATGTCCACAAGCTTTAGAACATCTCAATACAATTTTTTTACATCCACATTTGCCGCCACAACCTTTTGTACAATCATCGGGATCATCGGGTGCTGGTGGGAATAAAGTTGTTATTGATTGTAATATATTATTTTTCAACTCCCAACCCCACTGTTCTGGATCAATTTCTTTTCCTAGCTAGGTTTGTATTTGATAATAGACTCGATAAATATGCTGTTGAGCTACTGAAGAAGTGGGTGGTAATAACTGAAATTTAGTTTAGCAAAGCTGCAGTATCTGTAATTGTCAATTGAATTTTCTGATTTTGGAGCACCGTACATTGCTAGTCGAAAATGTATTCCAGCATTGACAAGGGCATCTCGAGCGCAATTTTCTTGTTGGAATATTTCTGCAGAATTGTGTAAATCTTCGTATTTTTTTTCAAACATCTTCATGACTTTAATTTTTCCTTTCCCAAAAAGTGTTGAAGTTGTGTCACATCCGGTCATAGCATGTAGAAACAGAATATTTTTCTTGCAGTGTGGATATTTGTTTAGGCTCTCAGTCGAGTATATTTTTATTTCAACATTGTTTTCCCAGGTTTCTTAAAAAAAATAATGTAGGTTGATCAAGTATTAGTGTGCATGCTATAAGAAGTACCAATAGATCTATGTCTTCGCCAACGATAATTGTAGTATCATTTATAGATTTTTCAATTGCTGTTTCAACTATCAAGACGTCAGCATCATCACGTGATTATCTTGTAGAAATACCAACTTTTTCAAAATTCTCAATAAGCATTTCAATTAATTTTCTTTTGTTGAATCGATTAGATAAATTTTTTTTTTGACTGATAGGAACTTCCATCGATTCATTGAAGTGCACTTCACAAGACATAGAAACGGCACCGGTTCGTCTTAGTTGTTCCATCGCTTTGATATTTTTACTGGTATCGGAGTGACCATCAAAAATGACAACAGTATTTTGACCAACATTGTTTGATAAATAATTAATACATTTGTTAATGATAATATTGAATGTATAATTTTTTTACCATACAACACGATGCATAAGAAATCCACTATCAATTATGTATGTATGGTTTGAGAAAACTTAAATAAATTGATAAAAAGCAATAGAGTTGACTCCTAATATGTATACGGTATACAATACCCTATGTGAGTGCATTCTACTCGCTTCCTCAGCGCTCTATTCCGAAAATGAATGACTTTATAGAAAAACGCAAGAGACATTTTTTGTAGATAATCGTAAGAGGAATAATTTTTATAATGACCTTTATTGACCTCCGAGCCATAGGTCGGGAGATATTCGCGAAAAACTGATTTTCCTGACCTTTTGACCCTTGATAACTTTTTTAGCCGACACGATATCAATGTCAATTTTTCACATCTTCATTAAAACGCCATAATGAAGGTGCATACCAAAATTCAGCTCAGTAGGAATTTTTCCGCAGATTGAAGTTTAAAAAACCTAAAATGACTGGATTATAAGAGAAGTGTCTGAAAAGGAAAGATAGAGAGAATATTTTACAAAATGAAGTTTTTTTTACTGGATGTTTCCACTCATCTCTTGAATACGAGTTTATTTAAATTCACTGAGGTTACGAAACGAGTTGGAAGATTGTGTTCTTCGTACTTTGTACCATTCACATTGGTGGAAATTTTAAAGAAAAACTTTTCTTTTCAGACAAAATCCCTAGTTTTCGATCAGTGCGCACCCAAACTCCACAAAACCAATAAATAGTGAGATTTTAGTTCAAAATCACACACTGTTTACCAAATCACCTTCCAAAAACAAAGTTAAACTAGAATCAAACCTGTAGTAAACAATACTTGAGAATACAAGAACAAAATTGGATCTGCTGGGCCGTGATCAAAAAACGTTTCATCTGCTACTGCGTTAAACATCATCAGTGGTATGTGCGTTGATTGGCGATGATGCAAGTTGTCGTTGTTGTCTTGCTGAGACTTCGAGATATAATTTTCGTTTCGCAGTCAATGCACACACTACTGATGATGTCTGCCGCAGTAGCAAACGAAACCTTTGATACTTCAGGTTCCATTCCATCACGGCCCACCAGCCCCGATTTTTTTTCTCAATTATTAAATTTTTGGGAAACCTGTTTTCTTGAACGAATATTCATTTCGAAAAAATTCAGGCGTTCATACAGGCATTACAAGGCAAAAGAATGACTTATATGTACCATTTACAAAAACAAATATGAATGGTGGGACGGTAGCCTGGTGGGTTGACGTGGGTGGTTTGCTCTACTCTTTCAATCGACCGGTGTGCGAACCGGTGGTTCGAACCGCAAGGCCGAACGCTCGATTTTCACTTCCTATCGACCCGTGTTAGGAATCACACGTTAAAAGGAAAGACCTCGTTAGTCCTTAGCTCGCACAAGTTTCGACTTTTGAGAGTTGTCGTTCGTAGGGCAGCGATAGCTGGTTAACGGAAAAACAGATTTTAACAGACTCAACGAATTACCGTGTTATACAGTGTGACACACAATAGATGACACTATATTTTAGTCATTTTTTAAAAGCAGCTTACTACGTTCCTGCGAAACGGGCATGTTCTCGATATTTTGCTTCGCGTTGATGATACCGATATAAGTTATTCGAAAAAGTTGCTTGGAAATCGATTTTGACTTTACATATCAAATTTCAATTCAAAATTTATCAAATTTTTCGATATACGGAGTATCATTAAACCTTTCTCGATTACTATGTGTTAGGTACTAATACAAAAAGCAAAAAAACTGAATATTTATTCGTTTTAAAATACTGACCGAAATGAATTTCTTGATTTTACGTTGTCTTCGGGTGATAACAGTTATCACTCGAAGACGATTGTGGATACTAACAATCGAAACGTCGTGACGTAACTTGGTGATAAGTATTGTTTGCCACTATCTAAGGTTGAAAAAAAAGACATCCTTTAATTTGAGGGATTACTTTCATTACCTCCCTTGTATACAGAAGTCACTGCAGTATATAGGTAGAATAAAGATAATAACTTTTGTCTAATTTCTATCAAGTTTATTAATTTGTTACGACCGGTTTCGGTTTATTAGACAATTCACTGTTTTTTTCAATAATAATTAAATATACAGTGTCATCTCCAAAGTATACACCATATGGGAAACTAATTTATTAAGGGTTTTTCGACAAAAAGTTATTCTTGATAAAAGTTTGTGCATCCCCTAAAACTAAACATGCACCAACAAAATACAGTAAATCACATCTAATATACGAGGAACCTTCAAATATTTGATTTTGAGACAAGAGTAAAGTACCCTTATTTTGAAAAATCTCGGGAAATGTTATTCAGAAAAGTTGTTAAGCATTAAAAAATACATTAGGATTTGAAGTTATGGCCATATAAGCGAAATTTTATTTTTTTACCCTTTTTTTTAATGGGGACTATGAAAAAAATTGCTGGTCGCAAAATCAAATATTTGAAGGCTCCTCGTATATTACGTGTGATTTACTGTATTTTACTGTTAGTTTATAATGTTTACTTTCAGAAGATGCACAAACTTTGATCAAGAATAACATTTTGTCGAAAAACACTTAAAAAAAAGTTTCCCATATGGTGCATACTTTGGGGATGACACTGTACAAGGTATGTTGATTCATTTGTTGAAACCCTAACAAGAAGTCAGCTGATGGCAAAAATCTTTAGTTCAATTTGAGATTGTAATTATTAACTGTTCAATTTTTCCACGTATTTTATCTCTTGTATGTACATGTGTTGTTCTACTACTAATTTCATGAGTAAATATCCAAATTACATAGATACCAAGAATTCCATAACGAACTCGTATATAATTAGAATCAACATTCACGAGACACACAACCTTTTGTTTTGAACATGAACTTTGGGTAAAAATTTATAGACCAAATTAGAATAACATCAGTAGAATCTACACGCGCACCTCATACATTTTTTGTTTTCGATTTGATCTGGTGGAAATAATTTGCAAACCAAATCCATGGACCAATTGATTCGAATAAAATATTTATAGAATATTTCATGATTCATAAATCATTCACAGGAAGCAGTATTAGTGTAGAATGTAGTGTATGCATCATATAATTACTTTTAACCGCAACTTCCGCATGCCATATACAGGGTGTCTCAAACTCCAACAAGATTTACCTCACTACGGATTGAAATCGTGTAAAAGTAACAGTTGTAGTTTGGCAGAAATTTCGGAAAAATTCAGAGTAAAATTACATCTCGAGATTTAATAAAGATGTTTTGGGACCTTTATA